CATCGAACACAATTTCTATTTTCGGCTAAGTAAACTACTCGACCGTTTTATTCATACACGACACAAACAAACAAACAAAAACACTATACAATTATTCACTCTCTTCATGTTAGACATGGAATGAAGTATATTTAAATCTAAGATAAACATAGATTACCATTGATTCTTCTATTTGAAACCGTTTCTTTGTCTTTCCACCTCATCGAGCATTAAGTACCATTATTTTTGTTTACTTAATACTAACAAATATATTTCAAATTCCACTCTTGTTAATCCATTTGGTGTTTGTTTCGACCGTTGAAGCACTTTGAATGGGCACTTGAATGGTTTCTGTTAGAGAGATACAGTTACGGAAAACATATAATGATAGAAGCATTACAGGTATTTCCCATGTCAATTTGTTCAAGAGATTCACTTCACACGCACATCATTTTAGCACAACGAAAAATACTGGATTTTCCATGTACGAATCAATATTTGCTGCAATTCGAAAGAAATTTTAACAAAAATATTTTGGACTTCTGCACAAAACAAATTTTGCTCAAAGTTAATTAAAACTGTAAACATTTGTTAATTATTTATTGTAAAATATTCATGTAATTTTGTGGTTTCCATTAGTAATTAACCTAAAGATATTGTTTGAAGTCTTGTACTGTTAGCATTTGTTTCAAACAATTCTACTACTACGTAATTTACTTAACTAATTGCAAAAGACATATAAAAGCTGAAAACTATATTTCTATTTGTTAGTAGATTTATAATATTTACATCACTTTTATCATTTCGAACATATATAGATTGAAGAAGTTATGTACCTATAATTTATATAATTTATTAACTATAGAAGTTTAACTTTATCATATTTGATATAAAGTAAAACAAATTATGTATATCAATTATTTTACTTGTAAAGTACAAAGTACTAAATATTAAATTTGGCGATCAACGTGAGACAACAACAAACTGCAACAATTAATTTCGAATTAACGAAAGCTTTACGTAACATGTCGCTCGTTGGATCGTGACCGGCAAACAGAAATCGTGATGTTCCGTCTTCCTCGGTGCGGCCTGGCGCCTCGGCTTGTTTTGAAACGAAACGACTTTACATAAACGCCAATTAAAGTTACTGAAATAGTGCTGAAAGTCTAAATTAAGGAGAACAACGAAATTTGACTAACCGTACATTTCTCTTTCCATTAGTTATGTATAATTCTCACACTAAAATCTTAATGACGCAATGAATAACCTTTAACGAGGTTTAACTTCACGAATATTCCTGATTTGCATCGAATTTACTAAAATAAGTAATGAATTTTAGTGAGATTTGTCATTTAGGTTGTCTGTCGTGTAAAAAATTTCTCAATTTTTGATAATATAAAATTATAACAGGTTAACATATTACAAGTACTTACAAGTTCTAACACTTGACATGTTACTTGACAAGTACCAAGTAATATGAAATTTAATCATTTCTTTAATGTATAATTAATTGATATATTTAGATATTAATGAAAGAATAAATGGCTGTAACCAAACGTCAGATTGTCCTGACATTTTAACAGACGCCGTCTGAAGGTTGGTACTTCCTAAAAATCATATGATTTTTCGATAGAGGCTCCATGTATTTGTCATCCTACGAACTTATTGAGTGAGGTGTTATGTTAGAAAGTAACTTTCATATTCACATTACTTGTTACTTTGATTTATTACGACTTAAAATGTCTTCACTCGGCAGTCGCAACTGAACGTCCTTGACTTTCGGTTTCAATTTTGTATAAGGTATGTAGGTGGTGACTGTTGCACACTTATACCATTTTATTTTCTCTCATTTCAACAAATTCCAATTCGCTTTTTTTTAGTTAAAAATGCTAATGCGTAGGTTAGATTTTTCTATTACCCAAATCTAAGTATTTACCATGAAGATTTAGAAGTTGACATTAATTCGTTTTACATAATTATTACTAAATGTATATTTATAAAAATGCGATTTTCTTATAAAGTAAATATAGTATTACCTCGCATAGTGCGGCTTCGATCAATCCGGATTCAATATATACTAGAAACTAAAACTTGGTATACACAATTAATTTTTTATAATGTGATTTATTTTTGTATATATTGTTCATATTTCAAACAATGCGAAACCGATTACCTGTACTGTGCGAGATATTGCTGAAACTATTCAGATTGCAGATGAACAACATTGATATGTGATGAAATAATCGCTGAATAAGAAAATGCAACTGCAATTAGAATTTTTCACAGTAAATAGATGTGGAATAGAGCAGATATTTGTAGAATTTAGCTTGAAACGTACAACGAACGGTATGCAATTTGGACACGGCCGTCTGGTATTCATTTTCGCTTCTATTTATAGAAATAGAGAGAGAGACAGATTCGCCAATACAGTTTTCCTGCGAATTTCGCAACAAAATAAAGAAGATATTTTGTAGAAGAAGAAAAAAAAATAGGACCAAAGAAAGTTGTTTGCTATTGTTCTTAACCTATCACAATATTTCGATTCGCAGTAAATAATTATGTAACATTTGATTCATTCCAATGGAGAAATAAATTATATATATATATATATAAATACCTTCGTTGAAGAATTTAATTCTTTCGTAATAATCGATTAATTATCTTGCAATCTGATGTGCGGTTTTGCAATTCGTAACTGTTTCTATAATTTTAGATGCATAGTGCGGGTAATCAGTTTTGTTAATGTACAGCACTGTTTGAAACCGCACTAATCGAAGACTGTAAAACTGCATTAAAATAATTTTATATAGAATATATTTTTATGTTGATCAATTAAAATTTAGTTTCTTTTAAAATTTACAAACCATACTTTTTTTTTTCATCATACTTGAATAATAATCTTACAGATTCAATTTGCAAATTGCTTTTTTGTAATAATTGAAATCAATTATGTCTATTTAATTATTAAACTTTATGTAAATCTCTGGAAACTATTTAAAATCATTTTTTGGGGTCACGATTGAACGTGTACTAATAATAAAATAATTTAAAAGCCAGACAACAGTGGATTCATTCATGCCCTGAATTATTCAACATTGCATAAGTTGTTGTTTTTTGCAAAAACAATCATTTATAAACTAAATATTTTACAATAATTGAATATTTGTTCTAATTTTTAACGAATTATAACTTTTTTTTCTATTTGCAGTAGGTAATAAATCAGTTGTTATTCTAGTATTTTTCATCGATTTTTCGTAAAACTTCTTTATTTTTGTAATTTAATATTCGCATAAACTCTATTATTCTGCGCTCCGTTGTTTATGATTAATATTTACATTAGGCCACGCAATTGCAAATGAGATCACCAACAAAAAAAGCTATTTTTATCTTGAAAATATAAAAATATTCGATCTGCAAGTACTTTTACATTAAAATAATATAAATAACAATTTAAATAATCGTAATATAAATTATATTTGTGCCCTTTACATTAAACGCTTCAAAACACACGACCCACATTTGAAAGCTTGTTTGCAATTATTAATACCCGTTACTTTCTTTATATATCGCAGGATGATTTCCTAGAAATGTGCAATTCGTTGCATAATCTAGATTCGTTTACGTAAAGTCCGTTCTTTTTTAAATATAATTTGACAACGTCAGATAATTTGACACTGACGTTGTCAAATTACCAAAATAAATATATAATTTGGAATAAATTTTAATAGTAGTACTTTACGTAATAGAGTGCATTATTTTTATTTTGTGTGTGAGTGTTTATAAATAAGTAATAGACATAACAAATTATAATACATTTATTAAATCGCAATAGGCATTTGCTTTTTTGTTGTTGTTTCTGTCTGGTGGAAATGGCACATTATACAGTTGGCACACGAACATCCCTACACTTAGTCAAGCTTGTGTCCAAGTAAAAATGCTCTATTTAAAGCACCTAAATAGAACGTAAGCACGTTATGAAAAATATTGAATTTATAATTTTTTTACTGGACCTAATTTGAAGCCCATTGGCTTTCAATTCATTTGCTTGTTATTGTTATAAATTAAACTAATGTGCATTTTACATTATTTTATGATAATTCAGGAAAATTAGTTAATTTTTCATAACTAGTTCTGAGAATATAAATTTTTAATGTACGTCCTTTATAAATATGTTAGATTATGTATGTTTCGTAAATATATGATATTAATTTGAATTATTTGATAAAATTTGCTATAAACTTTTATTACATATTTAGGAGTAAATTTAACAGATTAACTAAATAATCTAAATTAATGTGTAATTATAGATGACTAAAAGATTTAAATTCTTGTATTTTATATTCATGTGCAAAAAGCATTGCTATTTCACTCACATATTTGAGATCACACGATGTGAATGTATAAAACTAGACGCTTAAAATTCAAGTAAAATAAGAAAAAAAAAAATGAATATATTTAAAGATTTTGATGTGACTCACGTCTACAATACTAAACATACCTATATAACTTAACCTAAATATAGTTAGTCATAAATAATCTATAAAATGTAGGATGTTGAAAATCTGTATAACATAAAAAAAGATTTAAATATAAATTAATATTATTTACAGATATTTTAACTAGACATCATGAGGTTCTCAATGTGTATCATCTTCATTCTAGTAGTTTTAGTTTGTATTAGTCACTCTGTACGAACGTTACTTAAGTGTTGTAATCTAAGAGATGTTACGTCCTCACTATGAGTGACAGGAGACATAAACAAATGTCAGAAGTACCAACTTATGAGCTCATTACACAAACAATAGTAATTGGTACAACTGACATATACTTATGTCAATTGTCAAGTATAGTTGTATATTTTGTTTAATTTCCAATGAATTTAATCAAGGTGATGTTATCATTCGATGCATCCAATCGAAACTTGAGATGCTGCTGTGATCAAGTTTCTTTGTGGACTTGAGGCCGTGGCGAATGCAGATCGTTAAAGTCGATGAACTCATGTTTTTCCTTCGTTTTTCCAGGGAGAGAATAAGGCGCTGCGATTGAAGGATTTGTCCGTGGAGGCGGAGGATAATCGGTCGCTGGATTCACCAGCAGCTCTGATCCAAAGCGCGGAGACGACGGATGGCCGACTGACGTGGAACTACTTCGATGAATCTGGTTACGTGTCCAGGGCCGGACTCAGAGCCGGCGAGGATCCATACTTCCGGAACAGGTTCAACCAGGTAGCCAGCGACAACCTGCCCAGCAACAGGGACATTCCCGACACCAGAAACGCAATGTAAGATTTGCAGATTTTTATAGTAATCTCCAATTAAGTTAGGGTAATCAACCTGGAATTGTGTAATTATATGGCGCGTCATAAAAGGAGCAGCGCTACTGTGACAGCTTCTTACTTCAATCTCTTCTTCGATTATGGTCGTTTCCTTGTACCTCTTGCGTTAATTGAATTTTATAACAGATATAAATGCACTTCTTTTTGTTTTTACTATTATTACTACGACTCTTATGCAATAGCACGTTGTTGAGATAAAATTAGTTGCTTTATATTACACAACAACTGTCAAATGAAAACTGACATAACCCCAGCAGGAAAACAAATGGCGGCAAATTATAGGGTAACGCTATTTTTGTGACACTACTTCAATAGAAACGACCTCAGATCAGAAAATATAAATGTGTTAAAATAGTTTGAGAGTATTAATATTAATTATGTAGACTACTTAACTTTTTTGCTTTTTGACTATAAACAGATAGTTTCTGATAAAATATTGTTGTTAAAAAGATAAGAGAAGAAGTAAATATCAGAACGTTTTTGAAATCATCGAATAAATAATTTATTTTTATTTATTAAAATAAATCAAGTTTTTTGTCTCGTTAGTGATTGTTATGAATATGTCGAGTTTAATGGTTGAAAGGTATTGTAAATATTACGAGAATTCAAACATTATTAAATTATATTATTAGATAATATTTAATTAAAATTTTCTATTAAGGTTTTTATCTGCACATTAAACTGTTACTTGATATATTGCACTGATTTCTACATTTTTATTAACTAAAGAAATTAATTAAAGAAACGAACATCAAAATTAATTACTTAAAATAAGTATTCATTTAATATAAAATGAACAGCCAGAAACTATTTAAATTAGTTTAAAACCTCAAGGAATATCTTAATTAATTAGATTCTCATTCTTTCCGAATTAATTTGCAGTAAAATCCAAATGATTAAATTAAAATTTCCTTTTTCAATTCTCATAATTAATAAGTACAAACTTTATTAATTAAATATTAGTCTAGATCAGCGTTTCTGTCCCTCTAGGTCAGCCGTCGGGGAACTTTTTTTAACCATTACCCAAAATATTTTTGCGTAAGTTGATATTACCACCCCCCATTCTGAAAAGAAAACAATCAATATAACAATAATTACTTTAAAATTGGGACTTTTGATGTAAGAGCAATTTGAATACAGTCTTCGGCGTTTAATCGATTTCTGTTTTACGTTTTTATGTTCATTAGAGTGGAAAAGCCTTGTTCACAAAGGTAGGTTGTTGCAAATGGCAGCAATTTTTTTACCGCCTCCTCATGTGCAATTTTGAAAGCCTTTGCAGCCTTTGACAACAAAAAAGACGACAGATTTGCTTTGGTCTCAAATTGAATACGTGCTTCAGTATTGGATCGCAGTTCAAGAATTGCCTCTGCCAAACCCTTCACATTTAAAAGGATCTACAACCCAATTCACAGTTTGTACATGAAGATCTGAAAAGTAGTCAGAGAACCGCTCTCTGAGTTTCGTAAGATGAAATTAGAAAAATTTCATTTTTACCCCATTTGGGGTAATTTACCCCGGTTCCCCGACCGCTGCTCTAGGTCGTTGCTCAATATTGGGTTGCAGTACATTTGTAATGAGTCTCGAAATGACAGCTGTCAAAAAATCATATTATAAACAATACAACTAGAAACAAATTTGTAGGAACGCTAGTCTAGACAACTTTATATATTATTATTAATTAATTTAAATAATTATAATTAGGTCCTTCAAAGATTAAAATTTCCTTAAACTTTGAAGGACAAAAGTGGAAAAGTCTGTTTTAAATATGTTGAATTCGTTGAGTCTTAGTAACTAAAATGTTGTTCAGCTGTTGATCTGGTTATGTCTACATGATTAAATCAATCACATACTTCTTTCTCAAGCATTCAGACAGTAACGTAAATATTGTAATTTACTGTTACATACATATATTAACAAGTAATTTAGTATTATTTTTTAATCCATAAAAATATTCTATAATTAATAAGAAATTGAATTTATTGTTGCTGTAAATTACAGTTTTTTTTATTAATTCAATTTACAATTGCAAAACACGAAAAAAAAACCAGTCGAAATTATGGTGATAAAAAAATTGAAATTATAGCTGTAATATTGATGAGCTTGTCCAGATTTATGCTGGAAATGCATTGCGGTTTGAATGTAATCCGATGTGTAGTTTGTAACGTGATCCCTGCAGTACTTTCACATCTGGGAAGTCCCTCGATGGTCCATAAATATATATTTTTTCTTGGATGAGCGATCCGTGTAACGTATTTGTTGAAATGATATATTTTTTCAGTGGTTGAATAGAATAATTGGCCGGATGTGGAACAATCCCGTCTGCGGCCAAAGGAACTAGACATGGCGAAAAAAAAATAGAACCGACACGATTCGAAACGAATTAACTCAATTTATTAGTCGATCACGGTTCAAGAGTTACGCTGATTGTCACGTTTGTAAATCATATCATCTAATGATACAAATATATTTATATATATATATTAGTTTCATGTTCGAATAACTTTAACAAAGAATTCGAGGAAAATCACTTCTTTGTATTCTTAAATTTGCACAAAAATAGACAAAAACAAATAACATTGAACAAGAATTTTCAGTTAATAATGTTAATTAACAATAACTTTCTACTAGTATTTGATAGTTAGATAAGTCCGTTCTTATTACGATGAGGCTCAGTGGATGGTGAATAGTTATGAAAAATGATTATTTGAATCCGCACTGATTGAAGCCGAACTACGCGTTATATTACTGTATTTTTATAATTGTATATAAACAAACATAAAGTTTTGTGACAAATCTGTCAAAATATATTTGACATATCATGTGAATTAATTAACAAAGTTATTTCCTTTTATTTTGTTTTAAAATGTGCATGTTTATTCTTAAAATGTGTTTCATAAAAGAAAAGTTACCTTTATTTTTTGTTATTTGATATTCAGCTTAAAATATAACAATTTTAATTTGAAACTTATGGACAGAAAGTTAAGTGAATTGATTTATTTGATGACTAAGTTTGATTCTTCTTGATTGTTTCTTTACTTCAAAATTGACAGAAGTCGTTTCTACATAAATACAATGTCATAAATGAAGAGTTAATGTTTTTTCTGCTTTTGTCAGCACTCAAACTGAAGTCATATCAATTCAAGTATAGTGTCATTAAAGAAGCGTTACTATTTTGGTTTGCTTTCTTTATTTTCTGCTTATATCAGTAACAGATTTTATAACATGTAACAATAGACCGATCGTATCGGATCGAGAGGTTGAAACGTTCAAACATAGGTCTATCCAAAATATTCAAGTTAAGTGTCATAAAAGAAGAGTTACTATTTTGTTATGTCGTCATTCGTTTTCTGCTTAGTTTATGTCAATTTTAATGACATAACTGACAGTCGAGTAGTGTAATTCATCAAATTGTATTTGAATGAGTATGCTTATGTATATTTGTATCATGATATCCGCACTTGATCTGATCGTACCGAAAGGTTGAAACGCTCAAACATAGGTCTGTCCTAAAAATACCGTCGACGATCCAGCTACGCATCCGAACCGTCTATTACGAAAGCGAGTCTGTTGTGCATTTGACTACAGGGGATGAGCGCGAAGGAATGAATCGTAAAGCGTTCCAAACAAGAGAGGAAGACTTCCTTCGTGGAGAAGAGGAGTAACGAACAATCTCGTGGTATGAACGATCGAGCGGTGAAAGGGAATTCGCGTGCGCCACATTTTCAATGGCCATTACAGATTATGGAGGCAACGTAATTACATTAATCCCGGTGTCAAAAGTAATTGCTCAATGTGCGTCTGAGCCGCATCGAATCGTCGTTTCCCATAGCTCTCGCCTCACACAACTAATGATTCATTTACCAATTATCAAAGCGTCTTTCTTCATCATCATCAACATTTTCTATTTTAGTGTATTCATTACATCTTTTTATAATGTTTTTTTCCTTCGTTTTGTAGGTGCCGTCAGAAGCAGTGGTCTTCATCCAATTTACCAGCCACGAGTGTCATAATCACATTCCACAACGAGGCCAGATCCACGCTCCTGCGAACCGTCGTCAGGTAAATTCATCTGCTATTAATTAAATCTCGCAACTCAATTAATTTCCTAATCCCGTTTCATTACAAAAGCTCCTATGCGAACAGACAAACAAAAAATCGTTAGATCAAAAGTCGGTCTTTACAATGAATAACAATAGTACTGTTGCGCATCTAAAACTAAATTTAATCTGTTACCGAACAAAAAAAGGATTTTGTAAGAACGTTCGAAGAAAACCTTTCATTATTAAACAAAATATATAATTAAAAAGGCAACTTTCCATTTTACAGTATTAATATTAACAATCATTATTATTGATTATTATATATTAATTAATTCAAATGAATTGTTTTATATCAAAAGTTTCTCTGCGAAATCAAAACCAAAAATCTTTTATATCAAAAGTCATTCTTTACAATGAATAAGTATTGTTGCGTATCTAAAGTAAATATAATATGTGCCCGAATAATGATCATGCAGTGAAGAAGAAAAAATGGAGAGGTTCGATTTTAAGTGTTATATTCGGTTGACAATTCTGGAAACGTTTCAACTTTCTTCCAAGTTCTGCACGTTAATTATTACCGTTGTTCTCCACTCTCGAAGTGTCCTTTATTTAATTTCACTTTAATAACATTTCTTACTTTCGCCTCTTTCCCTCTTTCGTCGTGCATAATATCCATATTTGATCGCATTGCTTTGGGTTAATCCTAGAGACCTTCTTGCCCACTTCTTTCCTCTCTACTTTCGTCACATCTCTTACCACATTGTTTCGCCGACGTATTTATTCGCGTGCAGGAAATTCCATTCAGCAGATTTATTATAAACAATTCACCATTAACGTTAGATAACTTTTATATATATATTTACGGTAAACGTTATTTATTAGCATAAGAAAACAATAATGCGATAATTAGCAAATATATCATAGTTTCCTTTCGGGATTTTCACAATATTTATGAGTCTTATGTAAAAGTAACTGTATACATCTTTGGATTTTTTTTGTTTGAGGCTCAAAATTAATTTATCTTGATAATTTAGTTTTACGTTTAAGATTTGGGTCAAATAATTACAATAATGTATCAATTAAGAAACATGTCTTTGCTTCCTTATTGTAAAAACAACTTTCGTAGAGTGAAATTTTACATATTATTTTATAAGTATTAAACATAATACTCTTGAAAACTTTTGTATAATTTTCAATTATCTACATTATTTAAAATTATCTTTATGTCTTCATCTTCAATCAGGTCAAATAAATATAGAGTAGAAATGTTGTATAAATAAAACTAATACTTGTCTTATTATTAATAATAATGCATTTCTTCAAACTTTCATGTCAAATTTTATAATTCGTGTGTCAAATATGACATATGTGATTTAAACTAATACTGTCATTTGCATATGACAGAAATGTCATTTTTACATTTATTTACAGTATACAAGTTTATAAAAGTATAAAAGACTTTTTATACATACAAAAAATTGTGAAATTTATAGATTTCTCGATAAATATTTGAGAGTGTTCCAGTTTGTGTGAGCGCATTAATTATGTTCTTGCATAATGTAGCAAGAGGCAATTTAACGCGCCCGCGTCTATTTAAATATTTAATGATAAAAAGGTCCGATGGAAAAGCATTATAATTCAAGATATAAAAGCTCCTATCCATTAGGAGCACCCGAACTTGCATAAGAACTGCATGCATAATGCAACCATAAGATAAGAAATAGCGTTGTTTATCGCGAGAACCTTCCTGGTTTCACCTTATATCCTATCCACAATAAATATATTCTCCATGCTTAGATATAAGGCGATGCAATTTATCCGGCGTTTTGATTGTATTTTCCGCCCCGTGATTTCACCGTATTTGCAAAGGAAATAATTCAATTTCTGCATTTTCTCCTCCTCTCACCAACTTATCTCTCTCAGATTACCGAGAGAAACTTTAGATGGGAAGCAAACGATTCACATTCTTTACAAGAGACACACGGTGATCACGCGAAATTAAATAATGAAAAGAAACGATTTGTGTGTATGCGATTTATTTTCGAAATCCGAAAATGGAAATATGCATATTCCAGTCGTAATGTTTAATAAATTACGCGAAGATTGTAATGACTAAAGAATACAGTTGATGGGAAAACTTTTAAATTTTACTTGATTGCAGATTCCTTCTGAACGTGTGTAATTAATGTTTCTTCAATTTACATTTTTCAACCATTGATTAAGTCATGGGAAAGTTACGTTTAAATACTGAGGAAATCAAACTATTTATTGAACCGATTTTGACGCCGGACAAGGTAAATCGGACGAAATACGTAATCATTTGAGCCGCCGGTTCTGTTACGGTAATTTCCTTATTGGTGTATTCGTTCCGTGTCTCTGTTCCGGATTTTCGAGCAAACGCCAATTGAATTTACTATTACTACTTATAGTTTGTTCGTTTTTTTTAAGGTCGAACGCATTACGCATTCTTATTGCATTTTCTTTATTTGCATTGTTTTATTAAGGGGCAAAAAACAACGGAGAAGTAATCAGAGCATATCTGATACTATGGTGTTATGACTGTGATGATGTTTATTTGAGTTTACTGCTTGTTCAGTCAATGGACTTAATGTTCGGAACGCAGTTCTGAGTCGATGGCTAATATTGCTTTTTTTCTTGTTTGCAGCGTCCTCAACCGGAGTCCGGAACATCTGATTAAGGAGATCATCCTCGTCGACGATTACAGCGATAATCGTGAGTGATCTTTTGAGGTGTAATTTCAAACGATTTGGTTTGATTAAATCTTGATTTTCAGGTGAGGATGGCGAAGAGTTGAGCAAGATCCAAAAGGTCAAAGTGCTCAGGAATGAGAAACGAGAGGGTCTGATGAGGTCTCGGGTTCGGGGTGCAGATGCCGCCACCGCTTCGGTGCTCACGTTTTTGGATAGCCATTGCGAATGCAATTCGAATTGGCTGGAGCCGCTCCTGGAGAGGGTTGCAGAGGTTCGTTGCACCACATTCTAAATCATACATTTTCTCATATCTTCAACTAGTTTACCAAACATTTTTGTTCCGATACATGAACGATCTTACAAGCTCCTAAAACATTAATAGAAATCAAAATGTGTTTGCTAAACACTCGTTTGAAATCAATGATTATTATAGATATTTACTTTACGTACAAGTAAAGTCAATTAATTCTATAATTAAGAGAAGAATAAATTTGCTTAAACAAAATAACCTTCAATCGGCATAAATAAAAGATTGAAAACATTGACAAACAAAAATCGAATCACAACAATAATAAAATTTTACAGGGGAGTCATTATATCATAAATTATTATCATCTTGCACTTTTCTAGTATGCTAAAATGTGCTTAAAGTACAATTTAAAGAATTATTATGAGGTGTAACAGAAAGATTTTTTTATCTTTCATTAATATCTAAATACAAATTTATATAATTATTATATTCTCCAGTAAGATTAAGTACCTAAAAGCAATTATTCCTTTTAGTATGTGTAGGTTATATAAGTATTAGATTGTTAAGTTTAACTGAAAGATAGAAAGTAAATGTACTACATTTATTCAATTTATTTATACATTTCTTGAGTCTTGTTTTATATGTTTATCGGACTTCTAATCAGAGTCGCATTAAGGTTATTGTGAAACCTAAGCACCAGTTAAGAATTAGATGACAAGAGCATTACTTATACAACAAAATTAATGCCGAATTTGCTAATTACGATGCATAAATTATGATTATAGTTATCTCATGTTTACATCTGTAAACGGATGTATTTCTGTGTTTGTAGAATATTTATTTATTGGAAAGGTTTTGCAAAATGGAGCTGGTATTAATAATCAATCATTAATTTTTATGTTTGTTTATAAACAACATCATTTTAGAGAATGTAATAATTGTTGGTCGTAATATTGATGTAACGTGCAGTCAAGTGGTATCAGTTCTGAATATTGCATCTATATTGTCATTTCAAGGATCCCAGGAGGGTCGTTTGTCCCGTTATCGATGTGATCAGCATGGATACGTTCCAATACATTGGGGCTTCGGCCGACCTGCGAGGCGGCTTCGATTGGAATTTGGTGTTCAAGTGGGAATACTTGAATCTGGCGGAGAGACAAAGCAGACAGCAGGATCCAACAAAAGAAATTCGCACTCCGATGATTGCCGGAGGTCTCTTCGTAATAGATAAAAATTACTTCGATAAGCTCGGCAAGTACGACATGAAGATGGACGTGTGGGGAGGCGAGAATCTGGAGATTTCATTCAGAGTTTGGCAGTGCGGCGGAAGCTTAGAGATAATTCCTTGCAGCAGGGTAAATCAATCGAACGTAATTTAGGATGATATCGGTTCTATAGTAATTGTGTTTTCAGGTTGGACACGTCTTCAGGAAACGTCACCCGTACACATTCCCTGGTGGAAGCGGAAATGTCTTTGCAAGAAACACTAGGAGAGCTGCAGAGGTTTGGATGGATGAATACAAGAAGTTCTATTATAACGCTGTGCCTTTGGCGAAGAACGTTCCATTTGGAGAGTAAGTTTGTGACAGCTTAGGAGCTTTTGTGGCAGGTCTTTTCAATATCCCATTAATTTTCAGTATCGAAGATCGACTCAGTTTGAGGAAGCAGTTGGAGTGCAAACCATTCAAATGGTACTTGCAGAACGTGTATCCCGAACTGGCAGTGCCGAAACCAACGAAGTCGGCTTCCTTCAACGAAATCCGTCAGGGCTCGTTCTGCTTCGACACGATGGGTCACCTCATAGATGGAATGGTCGGTCTGTACCAGTGCCATCACACCGGTGGCAACCAAGACTGGGGCCTAACGTCGACCGGCTTCATCAAGCATCACGACCTGTGTTTGGGTCTGAGTGAGTTCGTAAAAGGTGAACAAGTAACGATGCGCGTCTGCGATGGATCGGATAACCAAAAGTGGAGGCTTCTGGAGCCGGGCGGTCTCCTCAAGCACGAACTCGCCTCGCTCTGCGTGGACACATCCAGTTCAGATCTCAGGGGCCTCGTGGTGGAGAAATGCAACAGCAATTCACGCACGCAAAAGTTCGAGCTGATCACGTGAAAAACTCACCGGCTGCGTGTCCTCACGTGACATTCGACGATTAAATTATATAAAATAAAGAAAAGAAAAAATAACTAAATAAAACGAAACCCAAAAGACAGCTTGTTGTCAATTCATAAGAAAAACAAAACAATTATAGGCGAGATACACCTTTCTGGGAGGCTGCAATAATTTACAAAAAAAAAACAATATAAATATATATATATTATACATACATACATAAAAGATATATACTTGTAATGAGAGGCTGACTAATTTAGTTATTTCGAAATCGAGGATGGAAGCAGCTCAACTGGCCAGTGACTTTAATATTTACTATATAATAAGCTGAAAGAAAACACACACGACAAGATTTTATTAGATAAGTGTAATAAATATTGTGATATAAATAATATACATTAAATATTTGTACGTTACTTTAAGTTTATTTTTATTTCTTTTTTTTTGTGTTTCAATTAGGAACTCTAGATATTTGGGACAATAAATGAAATGAGAATCGCGATGCGCGCGAAGCCGCACGACAACCTATCAATTGTAAATGTATGATTTTCTAGTTGACGCTGAAAACTTAAAAATATTCCATTAGATTATAAGTTTGTAAAAATTAAAGGTCTCCGTAAGAGCTAATCATCAATAAATAAATGAATCTGTTAGACGATGTGGATATTAGATGAGTGGATTTATAATTAAGTTCGCTCCAATCAAGGTGCAAGATTCCTTGGCAAAGGAGGCGTAGTGTGAATCTATTAATTGTTTAGTTTGCTAACGAGATGCAGTCGCAATGCTTGAAAGTGGTCTTCGCTGCAAATCGTTTGGTAATGTGAATGCTATTCGTATAAATTGTTCGCAACTTTATTTGTTTTTTCTTTCTTTTTTTTTGTTTTGAAAACGTTTCGATTGCAGCTGGTGAGAAATTACGGAGGACCTCCGCCTAGGCTTCTCAGGAAGTACGAACTTTTCCAACAGGATAACGGCCTTCCCGTTCACATTAAAGGCGGATTCGCCGATAAAGCCCTCTTCACCCTCACCGCAGTTTTGATTGCAACTGGAACCCTCGAAGGTTATCGCACTCTCTTCAACATGGCTAAACCGAAAAAGATCAAGTAATCGCTGTTATATTCAAGTGTTATGTAAATAACTTTAGTTTAGTAATTATATTCGTTATATAACACATCGAGGTTTTTTATCATTTCCCTATTCATTACACATTATTCTTAGCGTCATCAATTTGACATTATTTTCATATACATTATCATTTTTTTTTAAATTGACGAAATAATATGTGAATCATCTCAAGTTTACATAACGATCTGTCAATAATTGTCAAATTTAAATCAAATATTATGCAATCAAAATTAAATTTAGTCAATTTATAATATATTTACAAAAGTTCAATTCAATTCCAACGTCTTATTACGTTTCCTAAACATATTAAAAAAATTGATAAATCCATATTTTTACTTAGTTTGATGTATTCATTCATCTTCTCATATAACTAAGTTACATACATTACATACATGAATGAACAATACTCAATTTATGTATGCAACCAAATTGACAGGGTCGTACAAAAGTTGCCAATATTCCTTCAAGTATTTAAAACTTCACATGGTCCATGCGATTTTTAAAACTAGCAGCATAAATTAAATTATACATTACAATATAATATAGAATATTTAAGTTTAGAATCAAGCAATAAGACAAGGTATTAATCATTTTTGGATATTTATTTTCTAAACTTGTACTTAATATTCAGAAATTAGGGCTTATTATATAAAATAATTTTATTTTATAAATATTTAGTAAATGGTAACATAAGGTATATATATATAATAGTATTTAAGTAAGGAAATACCGGAAATTGCGAGATGTAGCGTGTTAGAATGCCATAGTATGTAGTAGAGGTCAAGGTCTATAATATTAATATCGTGTTTGCTTTACATTCTGTACATTAAGTAGCAGAGAAAACCATTCATGATAATAAAAAAATATGAAAGTGACTTGACATGATGTAATTTTTTTTTAGATAATTAGAAGCAGTTCATGGTGAGTTTAAACAGTACTCAGAACGAATAAAATGTTTGTAAAAATCGATAATATGTAACAAATACATTTATTATATTTGTATTTTTACGCAGATACACGCAGTCTTTTAGACCTATTTAATAAATTAATCTAAAGTGTACAAATTAATGTATATACAATAAATAAATACAAATACAAAAAAAAATAGCTAATACATTTGTCTATTACCTTAATGAATTGATTGTAATTGTTTAAATACTGATTAATTCTAGATTAAATACCTATTGTATAAAAATTGGATATTTTTCATTACATGACGGATAAATACTTTTAAGCAAATAGTCTGTAATACTTTAAAGCTTTAAACAATAAAGGAAATATATGATTTTGAATAATATTTGATTGTATGCAAAAATTATTATGATTGAAATGTTAATTCAATATCACGCATAATATCATATGTTAATATATATTATTGGATGCTGTTAAGCATTGAACTTTGACTATAAATTATTTTTAAACAATTAAATTGCAAGTGCAGCATTATTAAACTGCAGTGCAAAAAACGGCGCGACGCGACTGAGCAAAAGTATCGAGGTTCACCAATTGGTGGAGATCACCGGACTCTCATTGGCTAAAATTACTTGGACACGTGCTCTCCGTGTGCAAGGCAAGTAGTAGTAACTGTGGGTGACTGCTGCTGTCAAGAGAGAATGTGAGTAAATAGTTGCTTGTTGTCGTCGTTGTAGCAACTAACAACAATCGACGCCATTGCTTATCTACGATATTTAAACAAAATTGGAAACCGTAGCAGAATAAACGTGCACGAAAATGTATATTGCTGCGATTAGTTGAATCGCAATAATTAGGAGAGTCTAAAGTCCACAGACCCAAACCGTTTTACATTGATTACGAATAGCTGAGCTTATCGTTAAAATACTAATTTTTCGTACTATATCCAACAGTTTAGTGATCCAGGATGTCTGCTTTACGGTATGGCATTTCCCTGAGCAGGAACTCCCTGTTCAAAGGCAAAGTTCAGCAGAAGGTTGTAAGTAACTTAATTAAATAAATTATGATAATCATTCATGAATTCACCCCATTCATTGTTCTCACAGAGTATCATTGTTGGCACAATGATGGCAAGGAACCTATCTACAATGCAGGTGACCAAGAACATGATGTTCATCTCTGATAAAAAGTTTGAGGGAAACATCAGCAATCTCCAGTTGGTGCCTGCAGACAATAAACCACTTGTTATCATGTTACCATGGTTACTAGCTGAGAAGAAGCATGTGAACAAGTATGCTGAAATCTACACAAGCAAAGGTTTCAATGTTTTGAGCATAAGTTTAACTCCGTGGCAACTGCTCTGGCCAGCCAAGGGAACACAGGTAGAATTCAATTGAAAGCTTTAATTGCTTAAACTGTTCTGCACAATAGCCTTGCACTAATTACATTGTTTTGGATGAATGTCCTTTCGCTTCGTTTATATATCAGCTGGTTGCCAATGACGTTCTAAAGTTCATCACCACCAATACGACGAACGCGCCGCTGTTCCTCCACGGATTCTCCGTCGGCGCTTACATGTGGGGCGAAGTTTTGGTGAAGATGGCCGCGGAGTTACCAAAGTATCAGCCCGTTATTGACCGTGTCGTCGGGCAGATCTGGGATAGCGCCGCAGACATCACCGAGATTCCCGTCGGTATGCCGATCGCCGTGTTCCCAAAGAATGTGGTCATGCAGAAGGCTTTAAGGAAATACATTCTGTAAGGAAAGCGCATATACTTTGTTGTTTGCTTTAAACGTGTCGATTGTAGCTACCATATGAAAACATTCCATAAGGTGGCCACGGTCCATTACCTGCGCTCCAGCCAGATGTTCCACACGAACATCATCAGAGCACCGGCGCTCTTCTTTCTCAGCAAGACGGATCCCATTGGAGCGGAGTCCTCGAACCAGAGGGTCAGGGAGAACTGGGAGAGCATGGGTATGCAAGTCTATTGGAAGTGCTGGGACAAATCCCCGCACGTTGGTCACTTCGCCAGGCATGCGGAAGAGTACAAAGCGGAATGGATGAACTTCATCGACAAGGTCTACGGCGATGAACAGCGCCAATGCATCCAAGCCAAACTCTAAATTTGAAAAATCTCTTTATTAACGTGCATTATTTCATTAACATAATAATGTACGTCAATTATCATTAATGCAGCGCCGTTGAGAAACTGCAGTATCGACAATATTAAGAACCGTGCTGAAATTAATTCTAAATTATATATTCATATCATCAATTGGTTCTACAATCAATTGAAAGGTGTTGCAGGTCAAGTATTCATACCATTTATTATTTTTTTATTTTTATAAAGAATTGGGTCGATTGTTTGTAACGAACGACATTATCTATTAACGGAAATCGAAATCATTGAAATACATTTTTGCACAAATATATACCTATTTATAAAAAACAAATAAATAATTTGTAAACGACAAAATATGTGATTGAACTTAAAGTAATAAAGCATTTGAGTTCGCACGAAGAAAGAATCTGTAAAATATCTTCCACAAAAATAATTATAATTACATAAAACATAAATATAATTTTTATATTAGTATATTAAAATGCAATGTAAACTTGTATTTTACCAGCAAGAATTTAAAATAAAAGCTAAATGATCATATTGTATATCGTTTGTATAGTTTAATTGCAGTAACACTTCGACGATTGCTAATGCGACAGGTGTATATTTAAAATAATGGATACAAAAGTAACTATCAAACCACAATAATTAACATATTCTAATGAAGGTGTAAAAGAAAAATGTTTTTAACTTTACTTAATGGAAAGTTAATGAATAACATGTGAATTCTTAATTTATATCTGGATATGAATTTTAAGATGCCATAAACACGTTTTAAAAGTCGTCGAAATTATATATATATTGAAACTAAGGATTTCACCTCATTTTTTAACAATGAAACAAAAAGTTTCGTTGTGAATGTTCATAAATGTATTTTTTAATCTATGTTTTATCGAATATTCGAACAATAATTCAGCGTTTCATGTGCATGTATACTAATTAAAATCGTTTTTTTTTTAACCAATTAACTTTGTGATGACATTCAGCGACACGTTTACAACGTTTCCTTTCTTAACAACAATTTGTATTACAATCATTCTAATATTTACTGGACTGAATTTTAAACATTACTAATCATAAAGTATATAAATAATTAATACTGACCACTTATTAACCCAAAATTATCTAATTTATTTAACAATTTTTTTTGAACCATTTTTGGACAAAATGCGCACCAAGTTTATCTCAGAGCGAAGTTTATGTTAACCCCTTAAGAAGTTTCATGCATTGTATGAAATGGATCCCCAAGTGGCCACGTATTTTTGTTGCCAGCGTATCATTATTCATGATGCGAATATATTCGTCATAAGCGCTACGCAATACAATAGACCATGATGAGTACAAAGTTTTAAGTTTACAACAGAAGTTTGTAAATTTAAAATAAAATTTGCAAAGTCATTAAATAAAACTATTTATATTTAAATTTTTCATATACGCTGACAAAACAAAAAAACAAATATAAAATGGGAAGGAGTTAGGTTGAATAATCTGAAAGGAAATGCTGTTCTCTTGCTATAATTTATTTAGAAATCAGTCTTTTGCTTCAGTTTAGCCAGCTGGCGCAACTTGTATCACACAAACAAATCACAAAAACATACACAGTCAAAATTACAAAATGTCATTAAAATATATATAGTATGTATATGTATAATATTCAATATATAAATATAAATGAATTTAATTCATTCATTTTCTTGTTACTCATCCTTCTCCTACCAATATTTAGTTTCCTTTTGTTCTCTGGTGTGTGTGTGTGTGCAAAATGAGTAAATCGCATCAATTTCGTACTCGCAACAGAGAAAAAACAGTCGAACCGTACGAAACACACAAACGAGCTAAAACAAATTCACGCAACACAATGTGAGAGTTATTTCTAACGGAATTATATATATATGTAACATAACATAATAATAATCATCATCTAGCATAGATCTGTGTCGATTACAAAAATAATAATAAAATAAAAACACAATATAACAAATATAATCTGCCAGCAGTATAAAAAAGCGCTTACGTTCCATTAATACATATACAAAATAAAAAGTCTTTAATTATTACGATAGATAGGCCTTTCCTGCTTAAGTCTGTTTTAACAGAGTAATTATAGTTTTAAATAATAGCTAATAAATAAAATCTTTGTCGAGAGAATTCTCGATATAAATAATATATATGTATATATAAAAAAAAAAACGAAATAAAAAATATATAACAATTTCATCATTATTAGTCGGGTGGGCGAGTAGTTCATACAAAAATATATACTTTGCGGAGAGAAACGCGAATATTATAATCGAGTTTAAGGCCCTAGAGCGTGCTCCATCATTTGCAAACAGAGCGATTCCAGGCTGCTCTCAATGTCGTGACTTTTGGTGAGTATTTTATCTTTGCTGTGAGCCTCCTGGAATCGGACGTGATGAAGTTGCGGCGGCTGCGGTGCAAGCTGTTGTTGTTGCTGCTGATTTTGGCTTGGCTGAAGAAGGTAGTGATTTTGTTGTTGTTGTTGTTGTGGGGGGTTGATGTTGAAACTGGTCATCGTCGTCGGTTGATGGAAAGTTTGCATCAAGCTGCCAATCGAGTGTCTGTGACCACCAATCACCTGATTGCTCTGTACGTTTGGATACGAAGATGATTTGTGGTGGTTGTACACTTGTTGCAACAGCAACGAGGAACCCGACAACCCACTGCCAGCGGCCGCAGGAGACGGGAATTGTGATTGCTGCTGCTGTTGTTGTTGTTGATGCGATTTGACTCCCCCATGTCTAAGTCAGTCAGTGCAACACGTTCATAAGATTTGTACATATTTCTCAACTAACAAAGCGCTTACAAAGTTCCAAGTAGCTCAAAAAAAATAGGCATTTACCCAACTTAAATTGCAGTCTTTTTTTATATCAATTATCTATATAAATGAAGTGAATAATAATTAAATCAAACAATGATTTCGCACCTAATTAGCAAAAATATATGAAATACGTAATTCAAGAAATTGTTAAAAATTAATAGTTAGAATGTGATAATTATTTATGTTCGTAATTATCGATGTAACGGCAAACTAATTAAATTTAATGACTTCTTTAAACACATTAAATATATTTCCGAAACTTTGTAAATGCTTACAAATAATATAAAAAAATAAAGTAATGAGTTCTTACCTATAATGATTATTTCCATTATAGTTGTGATTTCCATTGCCTTTGCCCAACTGTCCACGCCATAAAGCAAGTCGCCTTTTCTGCTCGGTGGTAAAAGAGTCGCAGACCTCGGCTCTCTCGCAAAGGGTTGAGAATAATGAAAGACACTCGTCTAACGGTTGCCTGAGCATCAATAACTGAGTACAAACTGTAAAAAATTGTATACGTTTGGATCTTGTAAATCGAGTGTTATAGAACAAACAAACCTTTTCCCATAACTTTTACAAATTGAGTGGACAAATCTTCGCCGTTGCACACCTGCAGCGGACTTTGCAGAATGGCTTTCAACTTTTTGAGTGCATTTAATAAATCAGCGCCGTTCATCACCTCTGTCTCTAATTCGGTCAGCGTTGCGCTGCGCTCTTTCAATTTGGCTATGCTCAGTAGAAGCTTATGTCTGGCGCCCTTCGTTATACCGATGGCTTGCAGAGACTCGTCTGTGAGTTCCAACATCTGATGGTAGTTCAGGTTGTTAAAGACCCAGCTGTACTTGTGCAATCGCAAAGATTTCAGCCAGGATACGATGCTCTTCATCATCGGTTGATTGTTCATCGTCTGCAAATCCTGCAGGCGCGTTTCCGAACTACTCAATTGTAATGAATTATTCTGCGGTAATATAATAGTATTGTCATTTGATAATGAATAGCTACGGGGTTTCGAGATTAGCTGATTTGAGAGGTTCTCCTGCGAGGACCACACCTCAGCCTCCGGTTGTCTGGTAATGAGATTCTCGTGAGAATTCGTCTGAGCAGGGGTTAAACTATTGGAACGCCTGTTTAATCTGACAGAGGCTTGATTATTGATACCCACTGGTTCTGGGTTAGGACTAACAGACTCATCGCTAGATTCATTAACAGGTGAATGCACGAAATTATCTGGGTTTACTTTACTAACAACCTGCTTCAGCAGCTGTTTGAAAGACTTCTTGTCCTCCTTACCAAAGGCAGGATGGACAAACACATAAGACATGATTTCCACGCACTCGTTGTAAATCTTAAACGGCGGCGAAATCAGCTCAGCTAAGACCTTTTTTATTACCACCAAATAAGAATCTGAGGTCTCCTTCTTACCAGGCCTTAGCAGAGGCAAATGTGTTAGGAGCATGGTCAGTGCTGTTTGTGGCCTTTCTGACAACAGGTTCATTACAAATTTTGCATCATTTGCATTCTGTTCCAAAGAAACAGTTTCTGGTGTGCTCACTTGTGATATGCATTGCTCCAATGCATGCTGCAAAAACCTAGCATTTGAAAATGGAAGACCCACCATCAAGTAGTACAGGGCTACAGTTCTTTCACAGCTGTCCCATTTGTGGAATCTCAGTCTCATTTCATTGAGATTCTCGCAAAACTCGGAAAGGTCACGCATCGGCACATAATCCATGGTTTTTTTAAATTTGATTTCTGCAAAATTACTACAAGAGTGGAACATTAGAAGTAGATAAAAAAAAACAAAATGATAAGTATTAAATATATATATATAGAGTATTGAATGCATAAAAAAAATTGAACATGAGGCGGGATTTTGCTGATATTCTTTTCTCGTGCAAAAATTAGCAAAAAAATCTTACCTCCTCTTAAGCTGTCTCTGAAGTAAAACTCATTAAAATTATAAATTAACCCCACTTTCAACAATTTTACGGTTCATTCCTTTATTACTCTGATGATTTCAAACATGGGATTCGTATTCTAAATCCCCAAACATACATTCATACTCTCACTCATCTATACACACAAATTACAGCTCTTGCTGACACTTCTTCACTCTTCAATTCTTCGGTCTTGCAGTCTTTCTTATAAGCAATCTTGCTACATTGATCACGCCCAATTAGAATGAAGTTGTTATATTTCTGTTGTATGCAACCGCATATACTTCTTCAATTACATATCCTAAAATATCTCTTGAATGCCATACAAATTTAATAGATTTTTAGTAAACTACTTATAACTAATTGCAACAAACATATTTGGTATATCATATGTAATGAACATAATTAACATAATTAGTTTAAAAATATATAAATAATAAGTACTAATTGATACAATTAACAAATAATTTATGAACATTTTTCACTTAGTAAATACTTCAAATTCATACGGAAAATATACTAAAGAATGTAGAATAATATTGATCTATTTTTGAATTTTCTTCATTTATGTTGGACATTCTGACAAACAGAAGTATAAAAAGTAACACACTAAAACGCTGACTTCAGTCCAAAGTGCGGTATTAACTAAATAATGTTCGTTCTACTTGAAAGTCGATGTGTTTTATCTAGCAATCAAATAAATAAATATTAATTTCTACATCTGTTTAATTCGGATTAGTTAATAGTGAATGTAAGTATTAAGTTTCGTGATACAAAAGTGAAGTTGTTATCTCTGGGTAATTGCTCTTAACAGTAGGGATATTTCTTTCCTCTTTGCAAATGAATGGCGTCTGTTTGAAGTTCGTTGCCGAGGCGTTGTTTTTTCAATTCGTTGCACTCTAAAATATTTATTCTATTGATTTCGCTTTCGTTAGAGTTCATCATGGGTGACTCCAAATGCAGTCCAAACCGTGATCCGAGGCTCCGATCTTCGTCGGCGACCACTTGGGACAATCAGGTATCCCAAAACAATCAATTCAATTCCCAGGTTCAGCCAGTGCATACAGCCTACCAACACCTTCATCAGAATAATATGTACAACAATGTAAGTGAATTGCTTGGAATCACATTTGAAATTGTTCATTGATCATAAATGTCTTTATCGTTTTCAGCCGAATCAGTATGCTAATCAGCAGCAGTACTACCCTGGTTATGATAACTATAACTACAATGCCTATCAGTATAATCAGGCAGGTCAAGGGTACATGAATGCAGTAAGTAGATCTTTTGATAGCTTTAGCATATAGTATTGCAAGCACAGTTTATTTACACATTTCACCAAGCTAAAATTTTACAGAGAATCCCAATTAGTTAAAAATATATATAAAAATCTTTGAATTAATAAAAATACGGACACAAAACAGTCATGTGCTGTAATATTGAGTGTAAGTTGGTTGGTAACTGGATATACAACTAAGTGAACTATTGTAAACAATTTTTATTAAGTTGCTCTTATATTTTGCAGAACACCCAGAATACAACAGAGAATTATACTGGAACTGGAGGTTGGACCAGCGCATACAACCAGGCAGCTCCTGCACCAACAACTGGATCTAATTTTAATTATCCACCAGAAAAACCAAATAAATCGGAAGGTAGGATATATATACTTTCCTTCTATAACAGTTTAATCATTTTTAAATTTCTTCAACAGCTGTAGCACAAGAGTTGGTTAAACAAAAGGAAAATCTTTTAAAGGAGAGAGAAACTTATAAAGATAGAGTAGTTGATTTGGGCAAGAAGCTGAAGATGTTAGTGGAGCAAAAGGATCAGTTAACTTCTAAACGGTCGCCCGACAGAGATACGCTGTATATAATTGAAGAAAATACCAAATTACAGGTATTTATTTTTTCTTTTAATTTGAAGATTTCGATTGTATGTCTTTAATAATGTTTTTAATTAAATTTTTCAGCAAGAAATCCAAAATAAGATTAAGGATGCAACTAACGTGATTGAAATATTATCGGGATCAATTGGCGATGGAGGTAAAACTTTAGAGAGCGACGGTTTAATTAAAGATTTAAAAAATGACAAGGTGAAGGTCAATTATAAACATTACGATCCTGAAATTCACTGGTGTCGGATGTGTGACGTGTTCCCACAGTCGGCTCGCAAATTGCTGAATCATTTGCACTCGAAAGGCCATCAGGAGATTGTTCAGGAAGAAAGTCCATGGCATAAGTTGCCACCAGAGCCGAAATTTCCTGTATACGATGGTGCACCCATCAGAAGATTGCCCATTAAAGGTAACGCGTAAAGACAAAATAACTATAGTTAACTAATATTAAGTTGATTTGCATTGTCAAGATTTCTGTGAGTTTTTGACAAAAGTTGGTCTGTATTTAGACTTTTGTCAAGAAACGATCTGATTTGTAGTAGATTAGTGGTAAATATCGTATAACGAATAATCCGATAATCGCTGATATATAGCGATGGATAAGTACGACTCAAAACGGGACTTGAAATTATTAAGAATGCATTAACTTGAACAAAGTTAAGTCCATTCTGGTGAGTATGAATTTTTGATGAAGAAATCAACTAATGAAACATTTTAGTCAGCTATATCTATGTATATGTAGTACTTACCCATCCCTACTGCCATAGTTTGGTATTTTAAATTTCTGGTTGGTGATCGGAAAATTGTTTTAGGACATGTCATTTAAGAACTAGAAATGGACTTATTGAAGCAGTTTATCTGTTTTAAAAAGTGTGACTCTTTTGATTGAAATGTAGGCAATATGCCAATACCTTTCTCATTTTTCAGAATCATTAATTTGTTGGTGATTTTAGGTCTTCAATTTTTTGTCGCCTCTACTGCTTGGTATTGCCGCCTGTGCGATATATGGATTGGAGATCTGCACTGCGCATCGGAACATCTAATGTCCATTACTCATACACAAAATTACTCGGTAACTATACATATATTCATTTATATATTTTTCCAAATTATTTCAATGTGTTTCGAAAATAACTAACCATATGTACTATAGAATTTTGTTGAGCAAAATCCGCATTGGGAAATTGAATGGCTGAAAGACAGGGAAAAGGCATTGGAGAGGATCAAGCGTAAAGAAAAACAAGATTCGGACTCCGATGACAAGAAGAGAAGAAGGAAAAAGGATAAATATTCTTCTTCCTTCAAGGACAAGAAGAAGAAGAAACGCAGTAAAAGAAGGAGGAAGCATTCCAGTGATTCGAGTAGCAGCTCTAGTTCTTCGTCCAGTTCTGGAGAGGAAGAAGACGACGACAAATCAAAATCAATTCACGTAGCCATGAGGAATAAGATTAAATTGTTTTCTAATAGTGATGATAAATTAGAAATTTTGGATAAGTTGTTGCAAGAAGAGAAGCAACGACAGGTGACAGCCGCCAACGTTGTATCTGAAGATAAGCTTATGAGCCAGTGGATGACGGTCAGCGAACCACCAGACAAAGATAAAAAGTTGCTGGAGAGTTTAAAGGAAAAATTGAAACAAAAACAAGATGCGGAAAAGGCAAAAGCCACCGCCGAGTATGAAGCCATGAAGCGTGTAAAGGAAAAAGAAGAATTTGACAAGAAACAAGCGGATAAGGCTAAGGCAGAAGCAAAGCATCGCGAGGAAGAGGAGACGAAGAAACGAGATAAAATGAGTTTAAAATTGAAAGAACAATCTACGAAGGTGAAAGGAGGAAAGTAAGTACATTGAACACTGCATAATCCATCAGGAATACTAAATTTCATTTTGTTTTTATTTCAGACGTTCGTATAGATCGCACTCAAGGAGTCCTAGCAGAGATAAAAGTCCGAGTCCGGAGAAAAAATATAACAGAAGAAATTCTCACCGTCGGCCTTACGAGGATTCCCATCGTTATGACGATAAGGATAAGAAAAATAACTACAAGAAGTTTGGTTTTATAGGCAAGATGCCTCTATTTAAGAATCAAAGGGTTAAGAAGCCTGAGAGTGATCGAATCGAAAAAGAGATTCAAAGGGAAGACTACGACGTCCCAAGAAAGACTCGCTTCCAGCCCGGAAATTTAGCAAGAGCATTTATCCCAGAACCAGAGGTTGTCCTCTTTCCCAAACTATCCTCTTATCCACCGTTAGCACCGCCGCCTCCGCCAGCCATCACGTCTGAAATTCCTCCGGCTCCTCCAAACATAAGCGTGCCCGCTCCGCCGCCGCCTCCAAAAATTGAACAAGCAATAACTGTTCCGGAAGTAGAGCCTGAGCCAGAAATAGATGATACGAAAGAGGAAATAGTTGAGGAGCAGGAGGAAGAGGAAAGCAAAGACGATTATGATATGTTATATGAAGAATATGGTAGTACAAGTGACTATAATCAATTATATCAGCATCGGCAACCTCATTCATATGATTTTATGCAGGTACCAAATGATACTGATCCTGACAATATCCCTAGATCACATACTATGCCCTTACAACCTCCTCCATTACCCCCAGATGATCCAAATGATCTTGCTATGCTTGGAATTAGTTCAGATGATATGGCTGTACAACAAATGTATTGAAATTTGAAGTGTAAATAAACATATAATTACATTGCTTAAACGGTTGCGTTTTTCTATTTTGCATTTTTAGGTTAGGTTGCATACTGACATACTCAGTCTTGAACGTCAAATTTTGTTTGTTCTGGTTCAGGGAGTGCTAGTCTCTAGAAAATCTATCGTTTTACAAAGTAATTTATTAATTAATATTTTAAAATGTCGACGTCCAGCTTATCGATATTCAAAACGGTTTTATACTACTCAGTATTCATCATTATTGCTCCAATTTCAACGTTTTTCTTCACCAAAATTGTCTTCTTTGAAAGTAAGTGAAATTCATCACATGATTAGTTAAATTAACATCTTGTAACCCCTTTTTTTTTCCATATTTACAGAACTGCTGGGTACCTCTTCTGTTGCAAGCAACGTTTGGTCAGCAATTGCATCTATAATTGTTTTGCATATAGCATTGGGCATGTACATCATGCGAGCATATTCTGATGCAAACAAAGTCAAGTCTGATAAAGAGGATAAAGTGGATTAAATGGTATTTGCTCTATTTTTGTATTACACTGTGTGCATTTTGTTACAGAAGTAGATTTTTAAGAGACTTAATAAATTAAGTGTAGTATGTATTATATTATTTATTTCATTTACTTTCTGGCCTAATTACAGAAGAAACCTTTTCCAAAATTATTATGTATCCAGTTTAGTGTGAATATTCGTGGTTTCATTATATTTATTTTGTTGAACCTCAAAATTAAATTATCTCCAAAATCAATATATTTCTGTATATGAGAAAAAAATCTAAACCTTTATTAAAATATTATTCTAAAAAGTGTTTTCTGGTTGTTTACATAAATGTTAGTTAAATGCAAATACAATTTGATGGAAGGCATAATCCATCTTTGTAGCCTTTTGATGAAAAGGAACCACGTCCATCCGGATTATGGGATCCTCTGCAAAAAAATATTGAATTAATAATAAATGAGAACATTGTATTTGTACTTACCAATACTCGCCATTTCTAAAGAACTAATAAACAAACACAATAATGTAGTGAAATACAATAGTTTCATTTTATTTAATAATCTATTTGCGTTCCTCTATTGAAATTAAGAAATTTGATGTAACTATTGTAAAAATGTGTTAATATCAACTGCAAAAACAGGTGCTACTAATACATGTGCCTTTGGTGTATCCGTATAATAAACGTAAGCAGTATTCCTTGCAATCCTGCAGACGGTTTCTTCTCGATAACAGATCGCATGCACCTCTTACGCGGTGTGAATCATCAATGCTGGCTGCAAACGCAATAAGTCTTAACAATAAGCTTAACTCAAATAATTTGTGCAATTTTATAATAATTAGATTGAACAAACGTTCTGTATAAATCTCACCAGCTGAAATAATCAGAATCTGCGACAGAGCCAATATTGCTGCGAGAAAAATACACAGCGACTTCTTGTCCATTGTTAAATAATTTACTTAATGAGAAGAGAAACGTTTACCAAAGACTACTTATACCATTCATTGGGACACGGGACTTTCCTTGCGAGATTATCCCAGATGTATAATTCAATTAATTCATATTTGATAAGATATTTTGTTTATTATTTCCGGATCAAACTAGTTTAGTTTATTCATTGATCGATAGATTTATTTAATATCATTGATATATCCTGAATAAACGTCATTTATTAAATTATCAATTACAGCCTCATCATTTTTATTAGATTCAATAATGATGAAGAAAAAATCAGTTATCATTATTTTTTTTTATAAAATATGGATTAGCGAATTAACTTTCTAACGTAGAAGCAATTATTACTAAATATCAATAATTCTTATGTTTCTATCAGCTTTTTGTATTGCATTTTCCAACATTATGTTTATAATCTACATAGCAGTAACAAATTCCATGAAATAGCAATATTTGCTGACGACAAATACATTTCTGCCAATAATTGCAGAAGTATACTTGAAGTATGACTCAAAACTAGAGGAATTTGGGTAAATCCCCAAATATATATGAAGTTATAAAATTTACATTATCCAAAAATGATTTCAGACATCAATAATATCTTGTCAAAACATTTAAATCGATTAATAAACTTGTTAACTAATTAATGATGATGGTTATTTCTTTTATTAAATGAATCTAATAAGAAATCTTATAGGAATTTCAATGAAACAACGATTTTTTACTTATTTTGTCTGATATTGTAACACACTACCTCCGTTTAGTATTTTATAATCGTTATATCACATTACTAGTTTCTATAAAATGTTCATATAAAATGAATATGAATTCTAAGAAATCACATGTAAAGCACCGATTTGTTATAATGATAAATATAAAACGAAATATAATGAAAGTGATTAATAAGATACTGTTGGCTTTATTCATGCAAAGTACAAATTCCAAATTTCAGACATAATTATCATTCTTTATTAAAGTTAATTTAAATTAATACTGATTAATGACAGCCAACTGGCACAAGCATTATAAACTTCAAATAAAGACATTTTGCAATTAATTTTAAATAATTTATTTGAAGTTACGAAAATCTTGCTAAACGCTTCAGGTTTTTGAAGTTTAACACTTGATGTTTTAGTAAAATAGATTCTTTTTGATAATATCATAAAAAAAACTGAAACGTTATCTTAATTACGAAATATCATGTTTTCATTTCTGTAGTAAGAGACACGTTTGATTATATCTGCTATAAACATAAGCAAAGTCCAAAAATAGAACAATGTTTAGAATTAATTGAGATTACTTTACTCACATTAATATTAAAATTAGCAATGTCCACTTCTGTTAGAAATATATTTGTAACATGATGTCTTCCAATCTCGGTGCTAATATTTTCAGTATTTCAATGTTAATTGATGAATTTACTGCAACATCAGTAGTATTTTCAGTTTAAAATTTAAAAAAAAACAAATTAAATGAATGCGATGAATGAATGTTTGAAAGTAATTAATAATAAGACATTTTTAATTATAATTACTTTAATAAATATGACAATAACATTTATCGTAGACACATTTTCCAGTTTTGAAGACGCCTTTGAACGTATTTCGACAATAATTCGCGCAAGCCGAATGATCGAGCGTGAGCAAAGACGTGGCGAAACTGTTGGACTGACAGACGGCCCTTTTCATCCTTTTCAACATCCCTAGAAAAATCATCATTACAAACTCAAAAGCACTCAATTTGGTAAAAAAAAAATAAAACTTACCCTCATTATGAGGCATCGCCGATAATTGGGCCACAATCAAACACAGGATGAACGACAGAACCAACAACTTCACCATCTTCGCCATTTGATGAGGAGAAAATCAAATGCTTTTGCACATTCCAGACAACATTCTTATTTATATACACATATATAGATCACGAGGAAAATCCAAGCAGACATCTCTCGTTTTATAAATACACATTTTTTTTTAGAAATTTTGATATACATATATAAAATTAATTTGATTATTTTCAACCGGATAATCTCTTGGCCAAATGCAAAGGTCGTCGGCGATAACTGAAAAATATAAAATATTACGCGTTAAATTTACAGCTGCAAAGAAAAACAAGTTTATGAAGCGTTAAATTGATTATTGGCATTCGCTCTTCTGATTTTCGTTACGAACGACTCTTTAATTTGGCAAAGTGTGCGATTCACAATTGTATGTATGCAAAGATTATAGGAAATCTAATCGGTAACGCGTTGAGGAAGTATAAAAATAAAATATATAAACAATATTTCAACACGAAATAATGTGTCGGCTGTTGAAATTCAACATCATCATTATGTATTTCTTTTATCTCATCTCTGTGTGTTGTAACGAGAAACATGTAGATAAATAATGTACAGTTTGTGTTGAACGTCTATAGCGACCAGTTTGCAAATAAATGTACTTATGTTAACATGAAATTTATAATAACGTTGGGGTGGTTGTTGGTGGTGGCTTTGGTTGTTGGAGTTGCATATTCGGTGCCAGTCGGATCAGGTGAATTCTTCATTTCATAATGCCAAAGACGCAGTAGATTTATCACGCCGTATTGATAATGGGGTCAATTTTCTATTTGCCTATAATTTGATTATGTTTTGTGTCGTTGCTAGATTTTCACGTGAGGACACGGAGGACACTGTGCTATTCGAATGGATATTCAACGCATTTCGTGCCTCTTAGTTCGGACGTGTGCTCAAGCTATTGTCGACATGGGTACAAGAAGTTCTTCAGAACGGGAAGATGCATAAATGAGAAGTGTCAATGCATCACTTGAGATTTGATTTCTTTGAATACTATTAATGTAATTAAGCATAACTTAATGTAGTTATTTACAGTTTCTTATACAATTTTGTGCGAATTAAAAGTGTTCCTTTTTTGTATATGTTTTGTTTTATTTTGTCTTTATTTATTTACTTATCTCATCAAACTTTACTATATGGAAATTACTGCCTTTCAGTTGATTTAAATCAATAAGAAATAGAAAAGTAGAACGTTTCTCTCTTTGAGTCTAAATAGTACCTCGTGATACAAGTAAGTCCTAACTTACTTTATTAATTTGGAGACTAGTACATTGCTTTTGTGATCTCCAAATAAAGCATTTGTTTCGATTGGATTTTGATTTCTATAATTTTTTAAAGCATTTCAATGTTAATTTGTCATACTTTATCAATTATTCCAATAAGAATACATTAATTGAAAAGCATGAAATAAATACATATAACTCAAAATGTAAAAAAAACTCATCAAATTATATTATATCTAAGAAAAGTGTTGAAATATTACTTAAATAATCTTTCATTTTTGAGAACGAGATTAGAGAAAAACCTCGTTCTCGATTATTATTAATTATATATAATTTTAGAATGTAAACTTTAATTTAATATTTTGATTTTTTGTTTATAAATTGTTTAGGTTTTTTTAAAATCTCCTGCATTTGCCATTGATAACATCAATTTTTTAAAGTTATTACTAACAAATGTGTACCTTTGTCTTGTAAATCCGTGTTTTTCAACATTTTTGCTCCACGTTGTATTGACATATGAAAAAAATACAACATACATTTTCAAAATTATTAATTTTTATTTGTATAAACGATGTTTTATAATAAATATTTCTATTTCAATAATATCAGGTGGTGGGCTATAGCAGACTTCATGACTCTGTTATATCGCTTCGGTGCATCGTCCCCTCATCGTAATTATTAGCATCAGGGTGTTGAGATACTTCTTTCTCTTTTTCTAATATCTCGGACATCATCCTAACGAGTCCTTCAGGACTGAAACATATTTCATGTCTCTCTAGAATTCTACTTATATTCATGGTTTCTACATCTTCTATATGGCCATAGTTAGTTTCGTGATCGTCTTGGAAGTCTTCATCCATGCCCATATAAGATTCATGCACCTCCATATCAAAATCATGCGGATAGTAGCATACCTCATGCATCATGTAAATTGCAAACTAGATGCTTCTTCTAATACTGACTTCAAGTAACTGGAGATAGCAGTATGTCATTCACCTTTTATATTATATATTTTACAGGTATTATTTTCCTAATTTTATTAAGTGCAATAAATCCCCTATCTTTTTGACTAGATCTTTTGTTACAAAATTGTTTTGTTCCTTGATTTGTTCACGTTTTACTTAATTACTGGAAATCTAATATATTGAATAGAAGTAATATTGGTCAGAAATATATAGTGGAACTTCGCTTAACGAGCAAAATAAATTGTAAGAAAAATAACTCGCAAAATTGAACGCATTATCGTATTTTAATTTATATTTAGTGTATATGGGGAAAATTGTTTCACTATACAAGTAAAAATCCGGAATATACTCGTTTAGCGAGGTTCCATTTTATATTTCTTTCCAATATTACTTCTTTTCAATATCTTAGATTTCCAGTAATTAAGTAAAACGCGAACAAATCAAAATGGGGTAAAACAAATCTGTAATGATGTAGCAAAAATTGAAGAGAATTTATTTCAAGTTTTTATTTTTAATTAAAATCACAATTAAATAAATAACTATCTAAACTGTACAATAAAAATATCTTTCATCAATAACAATCAATCTTATCAATTCGAATCGACCTTTTGCAAGGAAATATCATCGTATTCATCTTCATTCTCCGCCTCATCAGGAATAGCGTACAAAAACTTGTACAGGTAGGCGGCTATGACGGCTCCCAGTGTAGGTCCAACCCAGTAGATCTATAATAACAATAATAGCTCAATCAAAATACTATTTGAAAAACGATTAAATCGAATTTGATCAGCCACGTAATTCGATAAGAAATATAAAATGTTTTGTTTCATCACTCACCCAATGATTGGTCCAAACGCCATTCAATAAAGCCGGTGCGAAACTCCTGGCTGTGTTCATACTAGCACCAGTGAATGGACCCTAAACAACAATAATTAAAATATTAAAATTTATGTTTTAAATAATTATGGAAAAGTTTTGTTCATCAAATATTGGTTACATAAAATTTAAATAAAATTAATTCGTTACCTAGGTGATAGATAAATAAACATCACTTTAAGTTGTATAATGCATGATTTTAAATAATAACTTAAAAAAGCACTAAATTTTTGTTTAACTGAAACTTTTTCTTGTAAATTATTTAGTTAATTAAAAGTTTAAAATTTAATATTTAGTTAAACGTCAACTCAATTAGTTTCATGTCAAATCAATTTGATTACTATGGCAATTAACAATAATTAAATAACAATACTATTTCATGGCTAATTATAAGAAATAATTAAAAGTAAAATTTACCGCTGCCATTGCGAGTGCGGCAATTATGAAACCGAAACGAAGTGGGACTGAGTCCTGTTTCTGTGCATTCCTCCTGTCCCACAATCCAAGACAAACCAGGATCAAGACAGCTGTGATCACGGTTTCAATGGCCAAACCCTGCAAATCCAAATCAATGAAAATTGTTCGTGTGTGTTGAAAGTTCTGAATATTTACCTGCATGGTGGATGTTTTGGCGTGAGTATTCGTCACGCAGAAGCCGGAAGCCGTTACGTTTTCGCTGATCAAGATTGGAGATGCGATGTATTCAGATGGTACCAACAGCTTTAAATTGTAATTGTAAGTTATTCAATTTGTTGTTGTTACCATAAATCAGATGCATACTTTTAAACCTGCATAACCGAAGATTGCTCCTACGAATTGACCGACAACGTAGATTCCAGCCGTCTTCAGATCGAGATGTCCGAAGATGTAACTGACGAGGGTCACGGCCGGATTCAGATGAGCACCAGAGATGTGTCCAAAAATCTACAAAATTTGAATTAATACATTTTGTAATATTACCAACAAAATTGAATGTTTTTTTTTTATGAACGATTGGTTAAATAAAAGGTTTTCAAGCGCATTTGTAGTTTTTTAAGGATTATTTTCAAAAGAAGAATAAAGCATAATAAGAAGCATAATTAGTCTTTTTATATCATTGAAATTTAAGTGTGCCGCGGAATTTTAATTATATATTCAAGTAAGATAAAAATGGTTGAAAAGTAACGAATTCAATAGTAACCTTCTAGTTCAAAATAAAACAAATGAGTAACGACTTTCCGTTGAATCGCCTTCGACTTTAAGTTATTGCATTGGCAAAAATTAAATTGTATTTCCTTTATAGATTACTTAATTAATAGAATAACAGCAAACAAGAACTGTGAAAAATGTTAAATGAAATTATGAATTTAAATGATTGTACAATAATTATTGCTTTGCAAATAAATTGAACAGAAATCTCATATTTTGTTTCACTTATTGCATAAACGATTACTTCAACAATCGAATTTAGTTAATTGGTCAACGGTATCTCCGATCTAGATAATCTTAATCGATATCGCTATCATTTATACTCATTAGAATTCCTCGGAATTCCAAATACTTGAACTATGTCGATATTTACCTGGATAATGATCATGATCGTAAGACCAAAGGTGATCGAAGGCATGTAATGACTGATGTAGGTCTCCTCGTACCCGGTGATGCAGCCCATGCATCCTAAGAACAAAAGCAGAGCTGTTCCCAAGAACTCTGCCACAAGCAAAGCAATCATGTTGGGCTGCTGGTACGTGGTTTTCTGTCCTGCAATAAAACAAACATTTTAATATTGTCATGGAGCTAATAAATAAAGTCAAACAGTTGTGCACTATGGTTACGTAATCCTGAATCAACAGCCGCTACCTGCGTTACGACGAAAATGTTTACGAGCGAGTGTGGATTATCTTGCGTCTTTAAATGTTTACTGTGTTTACGATTTTGAAAACATTATAAATGGCTTATAACAAATTCTTAAGAAAACACGAAAATAGCTGATGGAAATGTTATAAAAAAAAACTGAATTCAATAATATAATTAGCGATTAATAGAAGAAAAACTTCATATTCCAGTTAATAATATTAATATTTCATTTTAGTTATCGCAAAAACCCATTTATCTAATGATTAAATAACTTTTATACTATATTCAAAAGTTTTATGAGATTTTTTAGAAAAAGTATATTCTTTTTGTCTTTGTTGAAGTCTCTTTGTCTACGCCTATTTAAATATGACGGAAATTAATAACAATTTTGTATTGTTTAATTATTTAGTAATAATTATGTTTTTTCTCTATATACATAAAACTATTTCAAAAGTAAGTCTTTAAGGACTAAATTTACTAAGTGTTACATAATACCACACTTAGTAAATTTAACTTTATGAAATACTTATTTTTTTCTGAAAATTAATTCAAAAGATTCTAACCGATTAGATTTTAAATGCACGTTCGATGATAAGTCTAATATCAGTATTGTTTGTGATTTGAATCAAATTACAAAGTTCACAAATCTTCTGTTTCTTTATATAATCATAATGTAATTCTATTAAAGCCTATAAAATACTATAATACTATATGAAGATTTTACTAAACGTTTGTGAACTAATTGTTACTCAATCTACTAACTAATAACTTTAAATACCTTTTCCCATTATAGCGTTGTTCAGTGCAGAGTATCAATTGGAAGATGGTCAAGTCAGTTTTTTTCTTATGTGGATCACCACTCGAGGGTAAAACATAAATGCCATTCGAAATCAGTTACACATTACTATATCGTTCTGATTTAATGTAGTACAGATAACGCCTCCAATGATAACAACAATAAATCGCCACTTTTATTTATTGCACGCCAGAATCTGGTCTCTATTTGTGACGCTTAATCTGCTCCCGTGATAATTAAGTAAATAATTCACAAAACACATCGAAACCAAAATACAAAAAAAAATAAAAAATATGTGTGTGTGCATCGGATTAACGGGATTAGTATTTATTGATATTGCTCTTATCGTGATTTTTTTTTTGAGAATTCCTAAAATCTACTAATCGTGCATATAATTATTAAGTTGACATTTCAATTACGTTAATCACTTTTTTTTTTTGATTATCTTACACTCGATAACAAACTTTTTTCGATCGATAAATTATTAATAATATTAATTTTTATTATTTGTTATTTTTAAATCTAAATAATTGTATTCAATTTCTAAGATTTAATATCAATTAAAACAGTTGCATTTGTCATTGTAATCAAACACAAATCAAAATTTAACGTTGGTACTCGCTAAAATAAAAATAAATACACTGAATGTTTACGAAACAAAAGAATTGTAGTTAATGGTAATACGTAAAAATGTGTCAAGTGATAAACAGATAAGTTATTTTTTGGCGGTATCGAAGTATTTTGTGCAGATTGCAGAATTGTTGAACAGGTATGTTAAAAACTCCTAATTCTAATTGGATTTCAAATTTATCCCAAAAATTTTTTGATTAACTAATCAAATTCCACTTTTGAAATCTACATATTGCAATTCTGACACGTGGTGTTTTTTGTTATTGCATTGGCGATTTGATCTCTTGAACTATCATATTGATCAGTAGATCAAACTTCTCGAGAAAAAAGCACTAAATTACCCAAAAATTCATCTATTGGCAATAACGATATAAGTGTCATTCGTTTGCTTATCATATTTTCTTGATTTCAAATATTAATTGAGTTTTAATTAATTAATCATTAATTTTACGGTCTTTATACGGCCGATAATATATCGAATATTGAAAAATATATTGATTTGTATACATATTCTGAAAGGTGAGACGGTTATAGTTTTTAGAAAAAATGTTTGGCTCAGATGAAATGATTTGTGTTACTTTAGTACCGTTTTTTAAGATAGAGGAAAACATTGTAAATGCACAATTACTATTACTGGAAATTCAATTATGTAACTAAAGCAATAACTAAGATGTATGCTGATTATTGAGCTAAGTTTAGAGCAGGTGTTTTCAGTCATAAAGGTATTATAGTAATGAAATCATGACATTGATCGAAAATAACCAATACTACATGACATGTAAATTAAAAATATCATTTTTTGAGACTTGGTTATATAAACTGTACAAAATATTAGTTTTGTAGAAATTAACTTTCAATGTTCAGAAATTTATAAATTTCATTGCCGTAAATTAGGTTCTATAAAAATATTGTTACGAAACATTAAACTATATAATAATTCTTTACTTTAGTTTTATAATATTTCAGTTATACCATTTCTTTTTTTTTTAAATTTAATTTCTTGAAATGTTACGTCAATAACTACAAATCTCAAGATTAACTATAAAATTCAATTAGTATTAGAGTGAAGGTTCTTTATTCTTGTTAATTAATTTTTAATCGTGTGGAATTTCAATTAATTGATAACAAAATTTTAAATTGAAATGTACATATTAAACAAATTAATCTAGATTTCATAAATAGTTCATCGAATATAAAATACATTTAGATTATTCAACGTAAATTCTATCAAAATCTATTTGAAAACTTTAGAAGTTATAAAAAATATTAGATTTCATTTCAATTATTAAAAACCTCAGCTTGCACATAAAAATTGTGGAAGTCAAAGTTCAAAGGAAAAAAAATTAAGGCATTTCGACGACTTTCATCATACTTTCCACATAGAATCATATACTTTAATTGTTAAAAATCAGTTAATTTACTGAATATCTATAAAGTATTGATTATTAATTGTGTAAATAATTTTATTTATGTTTAACTTTTCATATATTTATAAAGTTATTTGTATAATTTATCATATTATTAAAGTAGCAATTACGTAATTTGCATGTTTAATTAAGTAATTGCAAAATATTCTTTTTTATCCATGAAATGTAAAAATATTTTTTAATGAGTGCATTTGTTTTTATGCGATAATTAATGTAGAAAATAGTATTAAGTGTAAATTCTGAATATTTAAGTGAGATAACAACTTACGCATATAAATAATTATTATTCCACAAGATGCGAACATTTGTCTGATAATAAATTAGAGCTTAACATACTTATAGTATCAAACAGTATTTATAAATTGATCATTTGTTATTTAATTTATTATTTTAAATTAGTTTTCGATATTGAGCTCAAAAATAATTATAATAATTTAAACGTATAATATTTATAATATAATTAAAAAAAGACCATTATTACTATTTCGTAGTTATGTGAATCATTATTAAAAGCAAATAGAAATCTATACTCACATATAATGACAAATTCCAAAACGTAATTAAATGCGTTTACAATGTCCACAATCTGATTGCATTGAGATAAAATTGGATTATACCATTATTATTACTTAAACACTTATCATAATCGATAATCTATAAAACTAGTATATTTACAATGTCTTCTTTACCTTTTTTCTGTATCTTTTTCTCAGGTTTTTCGCTTGACTTTTCCTTCGAATCCTGCTTCATCATGTCCTGCAGATCGGCCACCCTCAGGCAGACGCCGTTGATCACGTTGCTCGGGATATGTTCTTTAATCGTCATCGCGTTCTCTAATGAAGACCTCCCGGTACCTGCTCACAATCTATATACTAAAACAGAACGATTATGATATTCAACAATGGTTGTTGTGCAACAGCGACAACACGAATATAAAGAAATTGATATGTGCATTGTTTTTTGAGATGATTAGAATAATTGCAATGCATACCATTTTTTTTTGCTCGATAATTGAGCTTTGTATGGTGTGCGATAAAATCCGGTGAGTAATTGCGTTTCAAAATATTATTACGCTTAAAAAAACATCAAAAGCAATTTTTTCTCTTTGCGCAAACTGATAACTAAATTCCAGCATACTATCAATGTTAAATATGTGGAAATATGTTTTATAGTAAAATATATAGATTAGAGTGAACATTCTAAAGAAATATTGAAGTAGTATTTTGTAATATTCCCTATATATATTATCTACAAGTAAATGTATAACTGTCGCAAACAAAGATTAAGAGATTTTTTTGTTTCAATTTCGATTGACTACTTGATTTTTATACCAAGACAGCTAATACCGGAAGTATTGTTTTTGCCCTATGATTTTTAGACAAGGGCGCAAATTAGATATTGGCGCAATATTTCCTTGTTGTACTACTTAAATTGTATCTTAATTTTCTAGAAAATATAAAGGAAAGAGGAATTATCATGTTCTGAATTCATTAAAAATGCATCAAATTTTATTGTTACAAATACATTTTACAAATGAAACTCTAAAAATTGAATTTAGAAATTTAGGAATTTCTGACCATTACAGATTTAAGCACTTATAAAGAAAATAATTGAATTACTTGTATTTTAAAATATTTGCTATTTACCTATTCGTTGTTTAACTTTTATAAAATATCCAACATTAAGTATTTGATAAAATCTACCACGAATTTAAACTTTATCAGTTTTCAATACTTTTCTTTCTTCAATTTATAATTTACAATATTTAATGTGATTTTTTTTTAATTCAAACTTTTATTGTATTTATTCGATATTTAGAGGAATCTAATTTTTAACAAATTTTGAAGGTTTTTATTTTTATTGCGAATTTAAACTTTTATTGTGCAAATTATGTTTTCAAAAATATTGGTTTATTTTTTTTTTAGTTCAAGGCAACCTGTTTTAACTGAATGCAAAAATATAACACGGTTCCATCAATAAAACGGTCATCCAACCGGAAAGGTCGCTGTGTAACTGCAGCGAAATGAAAATAAAACACATCCATTTATTTTGGTAATAAAATTATAACAACTTCATCATTGATCAGTACATACGGAAGCAATGAACTCGAATTATTGAAGCAATTCAAGTCAAGAGACTTCTTGTGCCACCTGCTAATGGACAGGAAGTCAGGAGCTTCAAAGAATAACAATCGCGAAGTGACTTGAATAGTAAAATTGTGCGTTCGTTCAAAATTCAAAAACGTAATTAAAAATTATGCACTTATAAGCTAATAACTATTCATTAATTAACTAAGAGATAATTAACATTCTGGAATTACCGCATTATTATCTTATTAAGCTAAGAAAAAAAAGGTGTGTGACAAGTGACGATAAACAGGTTGATTCTTCGACATTTTTCATAAACAAATCAAAATGTAAATATTTGCAAATGCTTTATATAGTACACTTCAAAAGTAATACATTAATCCAATAATATATTATACCCATTACATTTATGTCATTATATTATTTATACATATTTTTCACAAGATTTACAATTTTTTTTGTATATATTTCCTCTTTTTATGTAAAAATTATTTTTTTTTATTGAATTTAATTCATTTAATCTTAAAATCTAATTAAAAATAATGAATTTATATATGATTTAAAAATATATTTTTGACTAATTTTTTTTCTGAAATTTAAATATATTTCTATTATTATATATTTAGATCTAAAAATTGTAAAAATTTTGCTGTTAAAAAATAATATTTTAATTTAATTTTCAGTGTTTAAATGCAATTGTGAATAGAAATATAGCGATTAAAGATTTCTGTGAAAATACGTCAATTTACTTTCTAATATGTATTTATAGTTTAATTCATACATGGATATTGATATTAATATAAAAAAAACTATTTTTTTGTATAATGAACTGAGTATAATAATTCATGACCTTAACTTAACAAAACTATTTTGATCACATAATCAATTGAAAAGCATAATGATGCATAATTCATTTATGCTGCATACATTTGATGTTAGAAATTAAGATATCAGCTGTTAACCTTTTAATATCCATTTTTGTTTAATACATTTTATGAAAAAATAAACTTTGCTTTCATGAAGTTAATTTGGCTTAGAATTTTATCAGTTGTAAAAAATTGTGAATTGGAGAATTAACTTAAATTTTGATAATTTTACTTGATTAATAGTAATTAATAACCTTTAGATACTTATATAACTTATAACTTAATGTTATAATTTTCTCATATTCTTATCGATACGTACAATAATTAAAATCCAAGGTATTTATGAAGTTGCGGTACTTCACTGACTAAGGTCACAATTAAATGTTATCGCACTCATGTTTTCATGAAGAAAATATTATTTATCCGATGGAAACCGAATAGAAAGTTATATACAGTTTGTAAAAAAAAACTAATTCAAATTTATAATATCAGCGTTTCTCAACATTTTTGTCCCGCGTCGCAACATATTTGATTGTATTTATACTACAATCCAATTGTATATTTTTTTTGACGCTTTGTCGTAAGATAACAGCTGTCATTTTAGGACCCAATTATTTATAATATATTTTTTGACGCTTTGTCACAATTTGACAGCTGTCATTTTGCGACCCAATTGTTTATAATATAAATTTTTGACGCTTTATCGTAAGGTGACAGCTGTCATTTTAAGACCCATTTATTTATAATATAATTTTTTGACGCTTTGTGGTAAGGTGACAGCTGTCATTTTAGGACCCATTTATTTATAATATAATTTGTTGACGCTTTGTCGCAATTGACAGCTGTCATTTTAGGACCCAATTTTTATAATATATTTTTTGACGCTTTGTCAATTGACAGCTGTCATTTTGCGACCCAATTGTTTATAATATAAATTTTTGACGCTTTATCGTAAGGTGACAGCTGTCATTTTAAGACCCATTTATTTATAATATAATTTTTTGACGCTTTGTCGGTAAGGTGACAGCTGTCATTTTAGGACCCATTTATTAATAATATAATTTGTTGACGCTTTGTCGCAATCTGACAGCTGTCATTTTGTGACCCTTTAAAAATTTAACGCAACCCATAGGTTGAGAACCGCTGTTTTACCAGACTTTGATTAGTTTCAGTTATTTACATTCCACTTTTTATTTAAAATTAATTCTTAATTAAGCATTTTCGATGCACCCAATTAAACATTGTCTGATAACATCAGTAAATTGGCATTTTTTTTAATTCATCAGTTATATTCATTTGTTCCAGCAGAGATCCTTAAGTTTAGCAAACGTAATGTTTTTTTTTGGTATGCAAATCGAAGAATCATGCAAATCCGTTATGTAACATTTATCAACGATTTCTTTTATATCAAACATAAGAAACGCGATGCTTTGGAAATGAATCAGATTACGCAACATTCGTGCATCAGAATTATTTCCGCCACTTCGATTAACACCGTGCAATTAATTGACTATTAAAAAAAATGCATGCAATTTTATTTACCACAAAATAATGTTATCAGTAATGGGTATTCTATGTACAATAATAAAAATGCATTACTCACGCTTTTTATTTAGACACATTTGCGAGTTACAAAAACATTATTTGTACATCAAAATTATATTTTCTGTTAATGTGTATATTAAATTTAAAGTTTTTCAGTATTTTTACTCGTAAGAATTAGTATGTTTTGTACTTTCCAAAAGTAAAATTGAGTAACAGGAACTTACCTTTAATTCAATTCAAACAAATCCAATCTACGATTCAAATAATATTATTTTTTGATGAAAACCACAACTTGTATATGCAATAGTAATTGTTTCTCGGTAAATTCAGGTTGAAAATAATGAATGACTGACCGATAAAGTTGTATGTCTGTAAATATATATATGAAAGAAAAACCATGAATATCCCTACTACAAACATTGTTTTAAATATAATTGTATTTCTTACTGTTGTTAACAATAATAGTAGTAATATTATTCCAGCGGCGTGGCATGTTTAAGAGACCTTTACAATTATGTTCCTATGTGCGCGTTCCGAATTAATTTTTATTTCCGAACGTTTACACCGCTTCTTACTTTTTTTTTTATAATGCAGACTATTTGTACATTGACTTCCTCCTTCGTTTCCGATTTGAGACATGCATGTACGTATGTATACTTGAAGCTGCTAAATTCGCAAATGCTAATCCATCATTTCCGGCACGAATAGAACTTTACTAATAACATCCGCGACGTTCGGAATTTCAAGTTTCGCACGAGTACGTTCAGGTTTCACCGCAAAACTGTATTCTGTCGAAGACTATATGTGTTTATTCCATTTAATTGGAAAATACCCATTCTGTTATCAAATGCAGTATTAGTTTCCAAGGTTAATAGACAGTATTTTTAGCGAATTATAAAACGAACAAATAAGGATAATGTTTTATATGATTTAGTAGACAAAAAACTAGTAATTTGTGTTTGCTTAGTTTAACAGTAAAGATGGGTAATTATAAATAACATGAGTCAATATAAATATAATAAGAATTTATACAAAATAGACTTTAAAAATATTCAATTCCATCGATAATTTATACGAAAATAATCTTGGAAATTGTTGAATGACAAATCTTAGAATCTTATATTTAAAAAAACGCCCGTAGTGATCAAAAGTTCCCTGTTATATAACAATTGTTGTTCTTCATTAGAGACTTAATTTGCGGTTTTCTTTTACGCGTCACAAATTTTCTCGAATCTTCAACCTAACACCAACCACATATTTTTCGAAATTATTAAAATGTAGAAATGTACAAAATAATTAAATTATATGTATATATATTTTAATCATTATATTCTTGTTATGCAACGTGAATTTTACGATGTTGATATATTTTTGTGGTTTCTTGAGACTTGATTGTCGTGTCCCAGGGATGGAATTCTGGACACAGTGGAATATTGTCTGGTATTGTCGTTATGGAGTCTCAGTAGTTAGGAATTAAATAATTCAATCAGTTCAGAACAAGTTTATTATAATTGGTACTCTTGGGGTCCTTTTCCAAGACAATGTAGATATTTCAACAGTTTGACTAAGACTCTATTCGTGTTTGAAATAATTATTAAATAAATGAATGTTTTTCTCATTTTTTTTTAAATTTTATTGATTAACTACACTACGAAATAAGCAAAGTTTCATAAATATTTAAGGATGTACAAAGTGTTCTGCAATAGAACAGAAAAGTAGATTAGTAGATTATATAATAATACCTTTTGTAAGTTTTAAATGTAATATTAAACACGTTATTTTTAGATAATTCAATAGTTGTTGTATTTCGTCCAAGACATTACCTGAAACAGAAGCAATCAAAATTAATATTTATTATTTAATTAAACATTAAAGCTTTTTGTTTGATGAAATCGCACCAACAATTCGGAATAAATAAAACGCACTGCTTAATTTCGAGTACTAAATATATTTGTTGTAACAAATTACATTAGGTACAATAATCACTATTTCGGTATCTTGCATAACCATCGAGTTTTACAATACAAATTGTTGTTCATGATGATATTTTCTTCGGCTTACATTGTTGCAACAAGGCGCAGCGCGTTTACAAACAATTTGATTTATTCGCTTACAATAATAACGATAACATTCAGATGAAAAACGTTGTTACTTTATAAAATAAAACTAATAAACGCAGATTTTTTTTACAAGGATTTATTTTCAAGACAAATAACTTAAGACATAGGCTGCACGTTACATGCTCTCAATTAATATTATACAAACATTAGAAGAAGAAAAATGCACAGAGAAACATTAATTGATGTGACTTAATTTAAGTTAATTAAGTTAAACATTGCTTGATACAAAATATTTAAAAATGAAAAAAAGATATAAAATTAGGATACAAAATTTAGCACGAAAATGTTTAAGTCGAATTTGTTTCAATTCCAATGAAAGATGAAATGACAGATTTAAGGATAGTTAGATGATATTCAGTAAAATTTAGACTGTTTTGAGTTTAGTGCAGGTATTAACTTAATTAACATCTATTTAATGACACACATTAGAAAATATTTTCTCAAGTTTTCTCTCTCATTGATTATAAAATAATAAAATTATATTCGACTTAATATCTAAAGTAATGTAGTACGTCGTACACTATGGAATCGGACAATTTTCTTGGCGTTAAATATCAACAAAAAGAAACTTGTAGGCTAACTAATTGACTTATTAGAATTTAAATCTACTTAATAAGAAAAGATAAAATGATATTAATCCGAAGCACTAAAATGAATGAGTGTTTATGAAACGTTTTAATTGAATCTAAATGGAAACTGAGATTGTGATAATGCTGCAATAAACTAAAAACTGAAAGTAGTTCTACACTAGATTAATAAACTTAAAAAAGAATATAATGTAAGCTTTATCATTCAATTTAATGCCATGAAAATCGTCCGACATGATTCCTCGACATCCATCCGTCGTCAACGCATTTTATAATTGCCGACATTTCATAGATTCAGCCAACGGCCTTCAAGGCCACTTGTATAACCGAGAGATCTAACATGAACCGTTGGTATTTCTTATAAAACGCATGAGCGGATGCAACACTTTTAAAATGTATTGTTACTTGTCGCTCCTTTGGTGACAAATCGATTTTCTGAAAATATATACACTTCGTATGAATGAACATGCTACAAATTTCATCAGAAATAAATAAACAGGAACGCATCTTCTCCACAATTTGGTTCAACTTTGCTTGAGAATAAGGCAGCTTCGATTTTTGAGCAATCGTTTTCATAACTATATCACATATATATAATATATATATAATTGTATCACAGTTGCTTTTCGTGTTTCATCGTGTCCAACTCCCTCATCGAAAATCCATCTCGATAAAGAAAACACTTAAATATTTGATTTATGTAAAAAATAAATAAAGCACTATCACTTTCTTGAAATGGATGTTCTTTAAAAAAGATAATTAAGAACATCAAGACTTTGGTTTTTGGGAATAAATATTGTTCTCGAAGAACATCGTCACAATAAACGTGACTTTAATATATATAAAAAGACATCGTAACGTAATTTTAATTCAGTTCAGTTATTATGTTAAACAAATTTCTATACTTGTGTCCAATAGAATAGCAATTAAATAATTAAAAATTGAAACGAAGATTAAAAAAAATGACGTGCATTAAGTTATGAATCACATAATTAAAATAAATATTAAATATCTAAAAATACTAGGTAGAAATGTATAAAGAAATAGCTATTAAACTTTCGTAAATATGTACCGAAAGTATAGTTATTAGTTGACGGTATATAATGTCATGTTATATAAGTTATGAGTGAATGGGGGAAGAAGCTTTACAAGAATATGAATGACTCAGAAGATTGGAAGGGATTTTGTTTATTTTAAAAAAATGGTCCTCACAAACAAAAACTTTAAGATAATAAACTTTGCTTGTAATGCAGAAAGTGGATTATAAAAGGAAACAGAAAAATGTTATGAATAAATAATGCAATTTATGCTAAAAATAGGACATAACATAATATATATTTGAATATATGGTTGAAGACTATAGTAGCTTAAAGTGAATAGAAACAAAACCTAGCATGTAATAAATTCATGAAACGGCAAACTCCGCCCATTAACTGTAAAACGCCCATAAATAGGCGTAACATTTCGAGGAAAACTAAGAAACTATTATAATTGGTTTGCTAATAAAAACGATATTTATTATAATCTTTTCAAATTCGATTATTTGAAATGCGAGATCTGACTAAAAACTACGATTTATTTAAACAAAATATATTGAAAACTATATAAAAAAATAAATGTAAAACTGTAAGGTATAATTAAAAAATTCATGAAGTATGATCGGAATATAACAAGTTTGTATGAAATATGCAAATTGCAGGATTTTTGTAATGATGAACAATTGTTATTGGTGAATTTAAATTAATCGCAATGAATTCCGATAGAAAAGTAAATGATAATGCTAGAGGAAAAACAGAATATTTATTTCATTAAATTTTAAATAAAAAATTAAAAAAATTGGCGGTAACAAAAAATGTAATCCAAAAGAAAAAACAAACATAAACAATACTTCATGCACATATTTACAAAATGAAAATTGAATGATAAGAACAGAGATTATAGTGATGATCTTTGAGTTGTAGCGAGAAATGATTGTATTAAATGATTTTAATGATCCTATTCAAAACTGTCTTTTCGCCCGATTCTTGTTTCATAAAATTATCACAGCTTACCTGTATGTCACCCAGGCCCTCGCACATTTTGCGCAACTTTACTTCGGACGTGCCAGCAGCGAGGTTGCTTACAACTACAAGCGACGTATCAACTAAGCTCTGGTCTTTTGCGAATATCGTTCTATTGCTCAAAAAGGATTTTAGCTGCCCCTTGTCTACCTTATTCTCATTGCCGCCTTCGGTCGCATTTATAACCTTAAGATTAGGATTCGCGTGAACCATTTGTTGGTTGGCAGGGTTCTCCGCGAGCTTTCTCTGCGGCTGAACCGGTATTATTGCCGGTTGCACCGCCTTCATCAGTATCTCTTTTGGGCTAACCACGGTCTCGTACTCCTCCTCCGCTTGCTTTTTCTTTGCCGCTATCTTCCGACGCTCCTCCTTCTGTGCCAGCAGAAGTTCCCGCAACTTCTTTTGCTCCTCGATCTTCTCTCGGTACTTTTTCGTCTCTTCGTCCTCCACTACTTCAGGGGTTGCAGACTATAACAACGTTACTTACATTATTACCTAAATCTAATCGATAGTACACATATTATATAATTGCAATCAAACATTAATTAATATTTTAAATTTAGTATATAAGCATCGAATTGCCATTAATTAAAATGACATTATATAATTACAAATTATTTATATTAATTACAAAGTTTCTTTGAATATCAACCATGTGTGTTTTTTTACAAGAATTGGTGCCGATAATGTATAATAAAGAAAATGGTAGATTTAAAAATTTCTTTAGAAAACATCTTCTGTTACAATCACTTATTACTCTTAAATACATTTAGCAAACTTTCATTTATTACTGATGTATAACATAAATGCAAATTTCACATGGAAGAGACTCGAATTGAGCAAATAACATGTATGAAGTAACCATAAAATTGAATACCTTTATTTTTATTAAACTATCTTTTATACATATAATTACATTATATAAATAATGAGGAAAAAAGTATATATTTATTTAATTACGCCGTGGAAAGACCGTAATTTTTTATTTACTTATACTTTACATTAAATATTATAATTAGTCAATACAAATAAGTTAACTATTTACATGTAGTGATTAAAATTTAAATTCACGATTCTTTCTATTCTGTTTTACAAGATATATTGAATTTACATTAATGAATATAGTATTAAATAAGCGCTTCAACGCTATTTTCTATTCATATAAAACAAGTTTTCTTGCGCTATTTACATGTGACTGAAACTTAAAAAGAAACATATACGCAAAAGTCAATTAATTTAAAGCTTCAATAAGCCGTACACCGTGTTGTATAGATGCCAGCTTGTAGACTTGGAATACAAAACAAGTTTTTTCAGTTATGTTCTCGCGCTCAACTTCGCTTCTTCCGCTATATCTGAAGTATTTTCGAACCGAAGAAAACCATGGTGAATTGTGCGGCGTGGATTTTGCAGAGTCAGTCTGCAGTTGGCCATGCCTAAACAAATACACAAATCAAAATCCATGCCTCATAATTCATCATGTGAAGACGTAGCTATATTTTTTCAATGTGCTAAATGAGAACTGAGTACTGAAATATGCATTTATGTTTATGATTGACTCAAATCAAACAATCTTAATTATAGTAATGTTAATAATATTCACCAACTTTAAACTGAATTATTATTAATTCTAGTTTTATCGTTTATTTTTCATCAACTTTCAGTAGTAATGTTTTTATTTTATTCTATCTTTACTTAAAGCTGCTACTTAACATTAATATTTATATTAATCTGAAAAAATAATGCTGAACATGCATTTGTTTGTTATGCTATTAACTGTGCTAATGCAAGAACAGCAATTAAGGAAATCGCTTATTTATTTTATGGTCACTATCAAATCAAACTCGGATAAAATATTGAATTTACTTGTTTTAATTGTGAAGAAATTAAAGAATACTCACCGCTTGGTATTGCGTTGTTGATATGGTGGTGTTATTTGATGGTGTCGTTTCCACCGTCTGCACCTGATGCAGCACTTTATTTTCGTAACTCCTCCTTTTATTCACGCAGTAGTCATCGACGACCTCCGGCCTTCTGTCGTTTCTTCGCTTTCCAAAGTTCTGCTGATTGTTATAAAACACCTGCCTATTAATGACAGGAGTAATAACCGCATCGGCTTGTTGATATCTCGGCTGATGTTGCTGTTTCTGGTGTTGTTGTTGGTGGTGCTGCTGCTGCTGCGTTGGAACATGGTGTTGCTGCTGTTGATAGTTGTTATGATAATTTTGATTGTAATTGTTATCGTTCGCATTGTACTGTTGAATTTGAGGTGGAGGCGGAGCGAATGTGTTGAATGTATGGGAATCATTCTGATAGATCTGAGGTGGAGGTTGATTGAAGATTGGCGGAGGAGTGTTCTGATGGATAAGCGGCTGCGGGGGAGGTGCGTACTGCTGATATACATTTTGCGGCGGTTGCTGATACTGGTTAAGGTTGTAAGACATGTTATTCACTGGAGGCTGGTACATTGGAGGAGGTTGGTTGTAAGTCGGCGGCATATTATACTGGTTGTTGATTGGGCTAACAACAGGGGGCGGTTGTTGCATCTGATTCACGCCCATAAATCGCTCTTGTTCATAGTTGCTGTTCACTTGCTGCGGAGAGTACGAACTGTTATTAATTCCTAATCTTTGGTGAACTGGTGGCTTGTGCATCATCTATAAATAAAATTAACAATATCAGATTAATAATGAATTTACGCAATATAATGTTGTAAATATAATAAATACCTGATGCTGATGTTGGACTTGTGGTTGTGATTGGAAATTATTAACAGGCATAATGGGCTGTGCTTGATAATCATTAGAAGGCTGGCTCTGATGCTTATTATGCCAAACATGGGGTAAAGATTTAGGCTTCTGCTCCCATTGTGAATTATCTTAAAAACAATTAATTTACTTTTCAATGTACAACTACATTGCAGAACTACTTACAGTTAATGTGAGTGTGTCCTTTAAAATGGGGATTTATAAACAGTTTATTGGGTGGAGGCTCAAACCTAGGTGTAAATGTTTTATGCCTTCCAATGCTATGGTTGCCTCTTGAGAAGCCTCGAAAGTGACCTCTCATACCTCTGCCCCTGTTATTGGTCACATTATTATTTATGTATTTGTATTGCTTGTTATAATTATTGTGATAGTTATAACTTCTGGGAGTATTATTACTTTCTGTCTGTCTCTCATTCAAAAACTTTGATCTACCTTCTGAATCACTCAACTCTGAAACAATACATCTTCATAACTAATCTGAACTAATTTTTCAATTGTGAAAATTACCTGTATCATCATCTTCATTTAGTGCATCATCTATACTTAGTTCTAAAACATCTTTTGTCTCTTCATTATTTCGACTGCCATCATCATCATCTTCAAGAAGAGCATCTTCCTCATCATCTTTGATATCGTAATCTCCGACATCCTCTTCGCCGCCTAACAGTGCATCAACGCTGAAAAACAAAACAAGTTGCTAGAAAATGAATCATATAGTGACATAGATTATGTTGAGTATTGTTATTCTCAACTGATTTATATAACTCTCAAAGAAAGAGTTAATATGAAAGGTGAATATTTTAGTTCTATAATTACCTATCAGACATAACGTTTTTTTGTTCTAGATGTTGTTCAATTTATTTTATTTAAACTCACAACACTTAACCAACAAACCAAACCATAAACTAATTAACAATTGACATACTTTGACGTTTCAAACAATGCCGCCAACATAATTTAATAAAGAAATTAAATTCAAATTTTAATTATTTCCAGTTATTTTTCTAAAATAGTTAGAAATAATACAATGTTAAACTTAATTAAATCGTTCAATTAGAGAATTTTAACTCAATAAAGTATTTAAGCTTATTATCCAATGTTATTACAATTCGGTAATATTTAAACTAACCTATAATTGAAATTTAAACGCGTATTATTGTTCAACAATGTTGAAAACAATTATTAGGAAAATATCAAGACCACTCATTAACAAACATTTTTACTCTACAAATAGAAATGCTATTATTCTAGGTATAGAGACATCATGTGATGATACTGGATGTGCCATTGTAGATTCTGAGGGGCATATATTGGGAGAATGCTTGAATTCACAACATTTGGTCCATTTAAGGTATATTAAATAATTTAATAACATATTAAGAATGATAATTTAAATGTAATCATATTTAAGAAATGGAGGTATCATTCCTCCGATAGCCCAGAATTTGCATAGGCAAAATATTGAAAATGTTGTAAACACAACAATAAAACAGGCAAATATAGACTTCAGTCAAATTGATGCTGTTGCTACGACAGTGAAACCAGGTGAGTGTAGTCAATTGAATTAATCAAAATGATAGATCATTAAATTTTTAGTTATTGTTGTCAGGTCTTCCACTGTCTCTATCAATAGGTTTGAAATATGGAAAGCATTTATGCAGGACTAAGGGAAAGCTGTTCATACCTATCCACCACATGGAATCACATGCCCTTACATGTCGCATGCATGATAACAGCATTGAGTTTCCTTTTCTGGTACTTCTTATAAGTGGTGGTCATTGTCTGCTGGTTGTAGCTCAAGATGTGGATAAGTTTCTTTTGCTTGGTGAGAGCATAGATGATGCACCTGGAGAGGCATTTGATAAAGTAACAAAAAAAAAATGGTTTTGTTTAAAGTATTTTACATCTAAATAGTGAATTTCAGATGGCAAGAAGGATGAAACTGATGAATTTACCAGAGTTTGCTACACTATCTGGAGGACAAGCAATAGAGCTGGCAGCATCCAAAGGCACAGATGCAGAGCAATTTAAATTCTCAGTACCTCTACTGCAATACAAGAACTGCAATTTTAGTCTGGCAGGAATTAAAAACCAAGTTTGGAGACACATTGTTCAACAAGAAAAACTGCACAGTAAATATGAAATTATTTCAACACTAATAATTTCTAATGTAATTTTGTTATTAGATGTTGAAGCTGATGCATTAATACCAGACGTGTTTAATCTATGTGCTGGATTCCAATTGACAGTAACTAGACATTTGTGCCACAGAGTCCAGAGAGCAATTGAGTTTGTGAAACTCCACAATTTAATACCTGAAGAAAAACAAACACTTGTAAGTAAATCTTTATTTTTAAAAACAAACATCAACATTATTTCAAGTGCTTGGAGGAGTAATATTTAACATCATTAACTTTAAAGTTTCTGGCATGCTTTGCCAGCAATGCATTCACATCTAGTTTATCAGTTGTTAATCTAGCGATGTACGGCGCTATTTCTTCATAGGACCACCTTTCTTTGGCTTCAAACAATACCTTGAACCTATCATTTATAGTATCAGGTAAATCAAACTCTGAAAACATCCATATCACATTTGGCATTGACTTTCTATTGATCAGGGCAATTCCATGCAGCATGTTTTCCTCAACCTTCATACCCTCTGGTACAGATTCTTCCCATGCTTGCATGAAGTCTTTAAAATTAAATTTGCCAGCGCTGTATAACAGAACTTGCGCGAAAAAGCGACACACCTCTCGTTCCTTGTACCTGTACAGCTGAACGCCATCAATCATCTTTGTTTCTTCTGTGTACATACTGAACATACTGTTTATAATATCACTTGGTACTAAATCCACCAGAGAGTTAACAGTTTCTTCATAACATATTTGTTCTAAGTTCCATGAGAATTCATCTATTAATTTTAACATGAAGGACAACACTCTAAAATGATACTCAAACTCTAAGATTCTCAGCTTGTTGTTAATAGTAACAACATTCAAATCTTTTATGGTACTTTTCAATTCTTCTTTGGATGCTTGTGTTTTCATCCATAAGTCTTCAAATGTTAACAGTTTAGATTCATCAACCTCATATTCATGCTCTTTGCCTCTATAAACTGTTGTACTCAGCAGTTGCTTTACTTTATTAAAGTCTGGTTTAATTTGAGCCACTACAAAGTACTCATAAGATATACCTACAACAGTCACATCATGCACACATTTTTCTTTCTCATCTTTTATATTGTTGTGCAATTTCAATCCATTGCTTATTAATAAGCTGTTTGATGTTTCTGCTGTGAATACATTGAAGGTGTTTGTGTTTGTGCAAAGAACTGTGTTATCAGAGCTGGATCCATTTATATACAGTGTATCACCTTTTTCTAATTCTTCTTCTAAATGTTGATTCAGTTCCAATAGCTTGAAATCACTCACTTCAGCAAACTCTGGATGGAACGTAAATATTTCAGACACTGGATACACATCGCTTTCAGTCAGTTTTGCTGATAATAATACTTTATTTGCTTGATCCACTTTGTTTTCCATCTTTCATTAACTGCATAACCTAAACATTTCATTTTCGCGCCATTTCATAGATCTGAAGTTGGTCACATTCTAATAAGAATATCAATAATTTAAAGCAATTTTCAAAACTTTTGTGTAAAACTTTAATTTATATTTAACGTTAATTTATTTCCTGTTAATTTTGTTTTTAATACATAGGTTGTATCTGGAGGCGCGGCTTGCAATAATTTTATAAATAAAGCTTTACAAGTGGTTTGCAATGAAATAGGATATCGATTGGTTCGACCACCACCAAAACTGTGCACTGATAATGGGGTAATGATTGCATGGAATGGCATAGAGCGGTGAGGAATTTCTAAATTAGTTCCATTAAAGAGATGTTCTTGATTGTATTTTTAACAGGTGGCGGAAGAATTTGGGTGTAATGAAAGACTTTGATTCAGTTGATATTGAAAAAAGAAGTCCATTAGGTATAAACATGATCAAAGAGGTCACAGATGCTCACATAAGTTGTAAATGGATAAAATTAGGTAATCTGTATGAAACGTAGACCGCTTCTAAACGTAAACAATAAAATTTATTCCATACATACAAGGTTATTACACAAGTAACGGCGCCCTTTCCTTCAGGTCATCTTTCATTTTTTTAAACATATCACTATTATCCTCCTGTTTACCTTCTTCTTGAATCTCAGCGAAAACATCCAGCGTCTTCCTCAACTTAGTTTTGACCATTCCGATGTCTTCTACGTTCTCTTTCGCCGATATTGCCAACACTTTTTCGAATTTGAGCGCCTGCTCAGGTCTGTACTCTTCAGGATAATCTTTGAAAATTTCTAAAAAAAAAGGCAAACATTTATTAACAATTCTCAATTTATCCTCAAATGCATCATGTTACTACCTGATAAATTTTTAATTTTATCTTCTATACTTTTGAAAGTCTCCATAGCTCCCTCTGAATCCATTTTGTTTATAATTATCATTGCTGGTTTATTAAGCAAATCCTTGTTGTACATTTCTAATTCCTAAAAAAAAGAAATAATATGAATGTTTTGCATACATTTACCACTAGATTAGATAACCTTATTCAATAAAACAATGGTATCTATGCATGATCTGAAGTCATACTGTGGACCAAGTTGAAATCCATTGATATCAACAACTAATAACAAGAGTTTTGTTCTTTCTACATGTTTAAGAAATTTGTGTCCCATTCCTCTGTTATTGTGTGCACCCTCTATTAATCCAGGAAGATCAGCCATGGATATTTGCCTCAAGTCTTTGTACATAATTATACCTAAATTTGGTCTGATTGTGGTAACTAAAATTCAAATATATAATCTCACATTATAGAAATGTTTTAAGTGTATAATCGTACATGGATAATTCGCAATTTTCGGTTTTGCATGTGATATTGCTTTTAGTAGAGTGCTTTTCCCTGCATTGGGGAAACCAACCAAACCAATATCAGCAATTAACTTCAGATCCAACTTGATTGAATATGATTGCCCCTTTTTACCCATAAAACCATTCTTTGGATGTCCACCATATCCTCCTTTAGCAACTAAGATCTGGTCTCCTTCTTTGTTCAATTCACCTAAGTAATTACATAAGATTTGTAGTTAATATTACAATGGTCATATTTAAACCAATTACCAAGTTTCTTTCCTTCATCTGAATAAACAGTTACACCCACAGGTACTTCAATGTTAATGTTATCACCAGGTGGTCCCAGTATGAAGTTGTGACTGCTGTTTTTACCATCTTTTGCAAAAATGCGTTTGCTTCTGTTTGCTTTAAATACATCATCTAGTGTTATTGACTCTTTTGCTACCACTGAAATGTTTCCACCTTGACCCCCAATACCACCAAATCTATTTAAATCAATAGTCATTAATCATACCTTTAACTAATACATTGATCTCAACTTACTTTGGTAGTCCATTACCACCAGCACCGCCTTTGACAAAAAGTCTTAGCGAATCTGTGAAACCACTTTTCACGTATTGTCTGGGAATTCTGGTTGACTTTGCAAAGAATAATATTTTCGTAATAAAAACCATTATGCTGAGTACTTTTGGAACATGCTCCTCTTATAATATCCAAAATATCATAAAATAAACGTAGTTTTTAGGTTATATTTACAAATTTTAACTTTAATTCTATAAGATTCTGGCAACATAACTACCTGTAACGCGTTTCTGTTGCATAACTATTAACTAACCAAATAACTTTATATGGACAAAGAAAAGATAGCAATATTTGAAAATAAATTATATTCACAATACAATAATAATTTATGAAGATTATTCAAAAATATAATTTTATATTTAACAGTACAACATTTAAATATTAATAATTGTTCAGTAATTTCACAGCCTAGAAATAATAAGAAAATATTTAATAATTATAATTACTTTAATTAGCAAATTTTAACTTACATAGCTCGATCCTTGCAATCCAAACGATTCCAGGCAATTTATTGCTTCGATTATGTTTTCCTTATTATTCGTTTTTAACAAACAATCGGTCAACTTGTATTGCATATCGTCATCGAGGAAATACTGCAGCATAATTGCAGCCAAATCGCATCTCTTCAGTTCAATGCATTTGTAAAATGCTTTCTCCAAATTGAGACGATATAAAACTGGACACGACTAAAATCGAGGGATCGTTAAAACTATATATTATGTTAAAGAAACTTACAAAACTTACTTGCAACGTTTTCAACTTTTGTATGTAATACTTTTCCAAATCGTCTCTATTGCTGGGATTAAACAGATTGTCCACAATCGCTTGCCACCCATCGATGTAACATTTTATATGAGGTATTCCATTATCCGCTAACAACTCCAAGGAATCGTGTATATCGTCATACTAAACATAAATTTATGAATTATTTTCGAAAATATAAAATATGTAATGCGTACCATTTTCAATTTAATCATGTTGTAGATAATGAATTGCCATGGTTTTATATCAGAAACATTAAACACTTTGCAAATGAACGCCATCAATCGCAAACCTAACTTGTTGTTGGCGATTTTCGACAGTTTCTTCAGAATATCCTTGTAGTGCTCCAAATCATCGATTTTCATGTCAATTCCGAGACTCTGCAGATCATGGATTATAAACAGCTTATTTATAAAATCTCTGCAAACAAATTATTACTATATTCAAATATTAATTAATTTTCTAAATATGTCGTACGTCATTGACTCTCTGTCGCTTTGCGCCAACTGTTCTAAGCTATCATCATCGGAAATTACTAAGAAACATTTCAAGATTCTTGCTTGATATTTATGCGAAACTGTCTTGTTTTCATCGTATATTCCTTTGCTCACTAAATACTGCTGCCACGTCTTAAGTTCGGAACTCGAACATATGTACGACGCCCTAAAATAATATCAAAGTAAAATTTGCAGAATTCAACATCAGCAGATCCATACTTATTCAAATAATTGTTATCTTTTTCGTTTGTGTCCACGTTTGTATTCATGAAACTGAATGAATCGTCCATATTACCGTTGAAATATTGATCACCCGTGAACAATTGTTCTAATAATGTCTTTCTGTGTTCCATTATATCGATATCGAAGATCTCGGCAATCTCATCAACGACTCTATTAATATCTACAATTATACAGTAATATTTTTTTGGCAACAATTGTTTAAGATATTGGAAAATTACCAGATTTGTGATGGACGGTCTCCTTGTTGGTGATACTCTCATCCAAATAGAGGGCATCGATTAACTCTTTAGGATGATTGACGAGTTTCAAATATTTCTCTTGTGCTAAATTATTAGTGTGCAAAATGTGCAAGGTGGAATAACCCTGGTATTTTGATTCTATCTAAAGAGAGTTTAAATATCGTTTTAATAATTGTATTATTGTGTTCATTACCTTCGTATACGCTGAAAGCACTCGTTCCTTATCCTCTTCTTTGTGAGCTGCATCTTTATACAATTTGGCATATTTGTAACTCAGTCTAGCTGCATTTACTTGATCGGCTCCTGTTATTGTTAGATCGTTAATTCTAACTGTTAATTCTTGAAATTTACTTGCATACCTGGAGGTGTGTTATTTAATAAATGGTAAGCTACGGAAGTTGCTCTTTCCAGTGCGGGTATGTGCTGAATGCAAGCATCTATTTCCTCGAAGAGACGAACGTGTTGAGGATGCAAGTTCCAAGTGACTTTACCTTCACTTTTCAGTGCTCCACTTGTTACCTATTTAATGTTGAATCTGTATTTCTAGCAAATACCGTTTATACGATAATCTTACCACATTTTTGATGACATAGGAGCATATATCACCTTTGTTCAAATATTCTCCCATGAAAGGTAAAATTTTAAACCAATTCTGGTAATTGTTCAGATTCGCTTCGTACCTCAAAATATTCCAAATATCTTTAGTGTATAGAGTCGAAGTATATGGTAATCGCATTTCGGATAAGGGATCAATTTTTTGAGTATTCGGGAATTGCGTGAACCATTCCTCCTGTTCACTCGTACTCGGCTTTCCGATGCGTGTAAAGCTCTGCAGAAACTGCAGCAAACATAGTTTTTGAGAGATATTCTTACTCGTATTCAGTATTGCTATAATTTTATAGATGCAAATGAAAACTTCGTAATGGTAAACGTTGACCTGAAACGATTAATCTTTTACTATCAGATCTTGGAGTTTTTCTTTAAATATTTTTACCTCTGTAAGCAATTTATTGACGAAATTATAAACCGATTCTTTATCTGGTATTGAACTGATGATGTTCAGGCACTTCTCGAGCAAGTCTGAGCTCTCCATGACCAAATATTTCTTCTGTTTAATGTCAAGATCGATTCTCCAGACTGGTTTCCAATTGACCAAAATGTTCCTCAAAAACGCGTAATAGTAAGGATCTACATTCAAAGAGAAATCAGCGCAGAAATCAATTATTTGATCTACAGTAAAGTAGTTGTTGGACAATATTGCCTTGAGCAATTCGTCTTTGTTCATCGTGAAGAAATCTTTGTATGGAATGACGCATTGTTTTATAATTTTCCACCACTTGATCAGTAGCACCATATCGCAGTACTTCTTGTACTGCTTGTGGTTGAGTATGTCATGATACTTCGACAATTTGATGCCCAACTCCGCTAAAGCTTTGAACTTGTCGACGTCCCTTTTGCACATCGAAAGCGCGCAGTTTATTAAATAAGTGGCTTTCTCGTAGTCATAAAATAGTAACAAGTCGAAAGCTAAGCACGCGTCGATGGAACGACAAGTCAGTATCTTCTGGATCAACAGTTTGTTGCATTTCAATAAATATTTTGATAGAAGTTCTCTTTCGTCCGGAAACTCCGGGAGGCAATTTTGCAACGCTATAATAAATCGACAGGCGTGCAGAAATTTACCTTCGCTGCACAAGTTATGAATTATCATAGGAAACCTAGTGTTTAAAGTTTCTTTCAAATTAACCTGGAACGTATCCATTTGTAAAGTTATGATTTCAATGCTAGACATAATATTACCTTATTCACAACTGGTTGATGCGAGTTGATATAGAAATCTATCTGCGGAGGAAATTTACTTGTACCTGAAAACATCAATAACAAATTAGTAATAAATCTTGAATAATCTTTAGAATATCATACTCATGAAATTAGTGAATATGCTGAAAATTTCTTTCATTGCATTGACTACGCCTAGCGATACAAATTCTTTGTACACCTCGGGAAATAGACACAACTCGTTCCTATTGGTCTCTTCTAGATTATTAGAAATACATACGGCCCAATTGAAAATATCTCCGATTTCCATATCACTAGCATGCAGTAAAGCCTTTGTTGCCATCTTTTTAGCATAATGCAGACAGGAATTCAACAATTGAAAATCTAACTTATTCGAAATCTTGCTATCCTCCATCATACTAATCTCGAACTCGTTATTAGTAGAATCATCATTTAAATTGCCAACGTTCTTCAAAATCAAAGTAGTCATTTGGCAAAGGACCTTCGAGTTAGATGATTTTTCGTATACGTTCATCGCGCATTGCGTAAGCAGATCCAAATCCAAAAAGTCGTTGCACATCCTGACCAGGACTTGTTCAGGCTCCATGCTCAGAGCCCAAGCAACTTTTCCACAGTTCTGTATTACCTCGATAATACCATCCGTTTTGTCGAGCAAATTTCCTATCAGCATAGACAGAATAATCTTCAACACTTCGTCTCTCTGTTTGCGCGTTGCGATGCAGCTGGTTTTTAATTTTAAGGAATAGTTTTTATTCAGGTAACATGTGGCTTTCAAGCAGTGCGCAAATTGACGGTAGTCTTGCTTCAACTTTATTGAATCACTTCTGCATGCCTTATTTAAAAACGGGTCTATGATCTGCACGTATTGTTCAGAGGCTCCACCAAACTGAAACGAACACACACTAAGTTTTAGCGTTAGAAACCTATTACTTATCATACCTTGCAGTAAGATATAGTTTGATTCACGTGTGCTAGAAGATCCTTTTCATCTTGTTTGCTTATGAACTTTAAAGCCTTTTCAAGTTCGCTGAAATTAATCGAATAGTTTTTTTTTGTGTCGTTTTCTTTCATAAAACTAAAGTACTTACTTGTTCCTAACGAAACTATTTAGCAGCAATCTGTTGGCCAAAGATTTGTTGTTAAAACGTGTGCTAAGCGTGTATAGATCCTCTTGGACTGACTCCTTGCCGCTTTTGATGATTCTCATGAAAGCAAAGTAATCGTCCACTTGTTGAATGGGCAGATGCTTCAATTTATAATCTTCCTTATTCCACACCACATATATTGGCTCCCTTTTCAGTTCCATTTTGATCTGCTCCACTAAGAAATGCTTGTAATCCAACACACTGTAAGCCATCTCCTTGATGTAAGGAGCCCACGGCAAGCGGGCGTACTTCAATATTTGGAGCATCGCATTCAACTTCAATTCCATAGAGCTGATGTACTTCCACAGACTTGGCACTATATTTATCCAAACGGTCTCATCCTCTTCTTCCATAATGTTCTACAAAATTCAAATTTAATCATTATATTATGTTTACATCGATATTATTACGTACATCGATTTCGCCCATGAATACTTCATCTGGACTGAGATTGTTCTCGATGATATAGCCGATTAAGAAATTTTTAATAAAAGCATCTATATCGGATATTTCGCAGTTCATAAGGACGTGAATCAGTTCGTAGGATCCCTAAGAAACGAATAAAGATAATTTATTATTGTTATAGAGAACGGTCTATTAGATTACCCCTAGACAATTATTAAGCGGAACTAAGATCATGTAGTTGTTCTTCAATATCTGAATTATTTTCAAGCATTTGACTATGGAATTGAGCTCCTCGTAATACGATTTGGTCCTGGTCGTCGGACAGTTCCTTTCTATATCCGGGTTCGCTGCGTTGCTGATTTTCATGCATTTTAGCATTTTATCTAAAAATTCAATCGCATTTTCTGGGAAATTCTCAAAGTCCCTGTATTCTATATAAAGAACTCTATCTTGGATCCATTCGACGAACTTGTGAATTGACGTTGAGTTGTACAAAAGAGTTTTATCCATGAATGTGAGCAGAAATGGAAAATAGATTTCGTGCGAGTATTTATTCAAAAGCTGCAGTATTTTCGAAATGTCGCTCGCTTCCAATGATTTTATAAAGTTGCGATCCATTCTCGAATATAAAATGGAGCACATCTCGAATTGTCCTTGCGACAGGTTTTCGCACAAGTAGTCGTAAAAATTGCATGTGCTGAAATCGTTCCAACTGATGAAATCGAATTCATTGTATTTGCACAAAATTGAGTAAGTGTCCAGCTTATGCATGATCTCGCTGAAGTACAAAAGTCTGGGAATAATGTCTTTGTAAACGAGTTCCTTCGGATCCTGTTCGAGGGCGTACGTTATAATCTTCCTCACGTCTTCGAAATTGTCGCATGTCAATTTAAAGCAGCATTCGAATTTGAAATCTATGTCCTCGATTTCTGAAATGATGCTCATCAACTGATCGACCTCGTTCGATGTGCATCTCTCTTTATTTGCAATCACATTTGCTCTGGCCTTCTTCACTTCCACTAAATCCAGAGAAAATTGCTTTGCAAAGACCTCGGCTTCATCAAATTTCTGCGCCCTCAGCAGACGCTCCAGTCTTTTCTCGGGTATAGCTTCATAAACAATTTTTATTCGGATCTCTTGATCACAAAACTTGGATATGTATAGCTGAGAATCGCTAAAGTTCTGAGGATAAACAAGAGATAGAACCAACTCCTTCTTCAACGTCAAAGAATAGATTATGGAGTTATCGCACATGTTCACCGCTTTCAAAATGCAATTACCATCTTTGCCCGGCTGCGTTACCAATAAACAAATATTGTTATCTAAATCGTCTTGGTAGAAAAGAATCTTTTGGAAATAATCATGCGAGAAAAGATTAAAATATGTTCCAGTTGAAGCGCATATTAGAACGACGTTATTCTCTTCAGTCAAGGCGATGAATTTCTTTGGATGATATGGATATATTTCCTTGAACTTCAAATTGTCATCAATAAACACTTCATGCTTATCACTGGCAAAGTTGTAAAATATCAAATTATTTCCACACAAGGCCAACACATTATTCAATTTTGCAGCATATGTAATGGGCATATCCAAATTTACAATTGTTTCTATGGCTGATTCAACATTTTCTTCAGCCATCAAATTAATAGAAATCCTATAAGAATGATCACCTAGTTAACATTATACCGAAACATCTTTATAATTTACCTATAGACAATCCCTTTCTTATTAGTTACAATGAAATTCAATACATCCTTAGAGCTAGATTCCTCTGCAAATACATGTATAAAGTACATATCTTTAAACCAAACATTTTGAACCACTAATCTATAAAGGAAAATTTAATTAATCTTCAATCTTCTAACAATCATGCAATATGACATACGAAGTTGTTACTATACTTAAGTTTTCTACATCTATAAGCACAATACCACCATTCCTAAGGCAGGCCAATACATAATTCAAGTATATGCAGAAGGTGTCAATTGTCTCCTCCAACTTGGCATTGAAAATAAGTGATGTGCAATTGAGATCCTCGAAAATCCTAATGGACTTGCCAATGGTAAATATCAATTTGCCATTATAGATTTCTGAATGAAATTCAGGTAGTGTATCATCAACCTAGGATGATAAATTGCTGATGTATACATCATTCATGTAAATAAATAATGGACTTACAACATCTTCATTGCCTCTCAAAACACACAGAGTTGCAGTTTCATACAGTGAACCACCATCTGAGAAACATCTCGTTCCGAAGCACAAGGTTTCGTTTGCAGTGTTAAAGTATTCGACGGTATCATAATCATCCATCGTGGTGATTTTCTACAGCACAGTTTTTGCAAAGTTCTTCCTTAAATGATTGCTGTTTTTTTTTTCAATTTTAACCGTCACAGCAAACTATTTGAAATTGACATTTGTTAAATGATGAACCAATGGAAAAATACGAAGTAGTTCAAATATGGTTCATTCATTTTCTCTACTTCTAAATGAAAATATTAAAAATATACTGTAATATTTATTTGTACATGTAATTTTTAGAGTCTCATTATTTAATTATAGTATATTATATAAATATTACAAATATTAATGATGTATGTTGCGTTGGTGGCCTATTCAACAGGTGTTGAATCTTATAAGATCTGGAACAATCTAGAATATGAGTTTAATATTTTTTTTTCCATAGAACCAATCAAGGGCTTATATAATTAAAGAACATATACTTTTTATACTTCTATATTTAATAAGATGAATTTTCCAATTGTCTAAAAGATTTTTCTCTATTTACGTCTTTTTTTATTTCAATAAAAAACATGAATTATTTACGATATTTGCACTTCTGAAAGTAAACAAACTATACAGAAGAGAGGCTTTCCTGGTCTTTCCCAGTATTCCATCTCTTTGTTATATGGACCAAGTTACGCATGTGCATGCAAAGATGAATTACAAGCAATTACGCATACCTAAGTTGTGTGATACTGTCTTAGAACTCCAGGTTAGAATATCTGCATATACAAATTATAAAGTGATTCCTTTGCAACTGTAATTATATGTCTTTGTGACCTATCAATATTTTGACGACTTTAGTATATTATTCTGTTGTGAATATATATGGAGATAATGTCAAAACATTCAGAGACTATGAAGTTACTAGAAAAAATAAACAACATAGATGAAGAGTGTTCAGAATTCGAGGATCTTTCTGAAACTGAATATAATATAGAATACAATGATTTATTAGATATAGCAATAAAAAAAGAGTCTTTAGAAGAAGATAATGAAGATGTGAATATTTTGAATAAACATAGAGGACAAAAGAGAAGGTTTAGTTCTGGTTCTGAAAGTGATGATGATGATGGGAGAGTTTGGAAAGAAATAAAAGAAGAATTCAAACCTGGAAGACCACAAGTTCACAATGAAATTTTTAAGGAAGTGGCAGGTCCAACAGGATATGCAAAAAGGCATATTATGAAAGGGCATGTAAAGACTGCATTTTTCCTGATTATTGACCAATATATGATAGAAAATATAAGAATATGTACAGAAACAGAAGCATTTAGAGTGCTGGGTACTAAATGGGAACTAAGTGCAGCAAAATTAGATGCATTTATTGCTATTCTGTATGCTCGTGGTGCATATGATGCAAAAAATCTAGACATATCATATTTATGGAACAAGAAATGGGGACCTGCATTTTTTTCAAAAGTCATGAGCAGGAATGCATTTACTGAAATTTTGAGGTTCATACGATTTGATAAGAAAAGCCAAAGGAGCCAGCGTTTGCAAACCAATAAATTTGCTTTGATATCTGAAGTGTGGGATCAATTTATTGATAATAGCCAAAATTGCTATACACCAGGTGCACATATCACTGTTGAAGAGCAGTTGTTTCCATCCAAGGCTAGATGTAGATTTACACAATATGCCCCAAAAGGACCAGTCAAGTTTGGAATTAAATTCTGGTTAGCATCAGACGCCAATAGCAAATATATTGTAAATGGATTTCCATATTTGGGAAAGGATGAAGAAACAGATTCTTCAGTTCCACATGGGGAATCTGCTGTTCTCAAGTTGATTGAACCATACACAGGATGTGGAAGGAACGTGACCACAGACAATGTAATTACGAGCGATTCGCTAGCCACAAAACTGCTAGCAAAAAGAACCACGGTTGGAACTATCTGCGGAAATAATCGAAAATTGTCAGAAATGGCAAGAAAGTACAGCGTGAAATCTAAATCTCGTAGATGGCCTCTTCATGTTTTTTTCAATATTCTTGATCTGGTTGCAATAAATGCATGGATTCTGTATAAAGAAACAACAGGAGAAAACATTACGAGGCAGGAATTTTTATTCCAATTAGCTGAAGAACTTGCCGCTGAATATCAAGAATCGCGGGTAAAAGAAAATATACAAAGAACGTTAATGATTAGTTCTAATGTATACGTACGAAGTAATTGTCAAGGAAGTTATTGTAAAGGTAATAAAACTGCGAAAATCTGTTCGAAATGTAATAAATATGTATGCGGCAAATGCACGTTTGAGAATTTGATAATTTGCAGAAAATGCAACGAAGAAGAATAAGTTATACATTATTTATAAATGTATATATGTTGTATATAAAATGTAAATATGTGTAAGTAAATTCAGGACGATAAAATTAGCAAATTGCTGCCACGTGCCGCCACCCTGGTCAAATGGAAGAAACTGTTAATTTTTATGTTTGTATAATTGAAACGAATTTTATTTTGTTATTTTGCGAAAATTAAAATATATATTTGACCGCTGGCGGTAGGAATCGTTATATAGTTTTAGTATTAATAAAAAATATACTTGCGTCAAATGCAATTAAATCAAATAGTTAGCTTATTGTAACAATTTATTATGTCATGTTATTAAATCTTAGGAGATACAAAAATATCTAATATGTATGCAAGTGGAAATATTTTAGTTTCGTTTTGGTATAAATAATAAATAACTTATTAAAATTTGTACATAGTTATAGTAAATAAAAACACCGAGTACAAAATACTACAGAATCTTTCAACAAAAATAAATAAATATAAAACTTATTGCGTTGCAAATTTTGATTATTAGCATTTTCCTGGATTTGGTCTGAATTATACAATAAGTACGTTCGTCTCGTTCCACTTAAAAGAGTAATTGTTATATAAAAAAGTGTACTTAATCATATTTATGTGTAATCAGGGGAAACCGCACAATCATCAATTCCTTTCCGAAATCGCACAACACTGCGTCCCTTAAAGTAACAAGCTGCGACACGAATATAAAAGGTGCATGGCCAAGTACAATGGATCGCACACTGTCTCCGCTGTGGACGTCCCAAAGAGATAAACCACCCGCACGTGCGGTGACCACGAGATGCGGCGTCAGCATAAGGACTTGACTGGTATGGGTTCCGTTCACGTGGATGGTGTTCAGAAGGTGACCCTGGAATCTCTCCCAGACGCAAATCCTTTCGTCCGCTCCCAACGAGATAACGTAACTGGCTGAATAGGTGAGCGAGTTTATTTGGCCATCGTGTGCTTGGATACTATACATGCAAGCGCCTAAAATATGTGATAATTTAGATTAGATTAACGAGCGATCAAAAATTAACTACCAGTCAAGAGATCCCAAACGCAAAGCATGCCATCTTGAGACCCGCTACCAGAAGTTGCTGGGGATATTCTATCAATAAACAAACAACTGATGGGGCCGGAATGTCCGTGTAACGTATACAGATGCTTTCCATCTTCCAATCTGAACACTTTCAAGGTATGATCTTGGCTCCCGGTCACAACTTTGCCTCCTTCGCAATCCAAACAGGTGATTGGCTGCTGATGCGCTTTGGCACTTAACATCTTAACACATCGCATATCCTCCCTCGCTTCTTCATTCTGCTGAAACAAACAATATAATTAAAACGAAAATCTGTCGCAAATTGAATAATTTACCTTTAGATACGAATAGTCACTAATTGACCCTGCGGATCCAGTTCGCACGTGAGTTCTGCGATACGCGCTAGTAAAATTCCAATCAATCTGTTTGCCTTGACTGTAGGTTTGTAATTGCAAAAAATCCAAGCTTCCATATAGTCTGGCAGCAATCACACGAGACCCGACCAGTTTTATAGCTGTTATTCCGATCCCCGATTCGTCATCAAATAGACACTAAAACCAAAGTTTAACTATTTATCTGCAACATTTACAAAATTATATAAAAAAATACTTTGAATTTTGCCGTCGTTCCCTCCCAGAACTCCACCCGTCCGTTCGCGCAACCAATCACAATTAAATTATCCACAAAATCTATACACCAAATTGGAGGCACTTTGTAATCACACACATTATGGCTAACACCGTTAACACTTTTAGGACTGTTCATGCTTGCCATGTAATCTTTAGAGTAATGTCTGCTGTTCCGTATATCAATGGCACTGCTTCTATTCGCACCGGTGTATCTATCGCTAAAGTTCTCAGGTTCACTGTAATTACGTTCACACTGCAGCCAGCCAGTACCATCGTAATGTCTTTGCTTCAGTTTGTTCGAATGATTCGCGTACAACTCCCGGTACTGATCACCGAAATCGTAACTGTCGCCTGTATTTGTTACTGGTTCCAATGTGAAATTTGAGAAGTTCGTGTTGATTTTATTCCTGAGACTTGGAAACGACATGAAATTCTCGTCGCGGGAGGGTGGCGATCCAGATTCGTAGTCCGAATGACCGTTCTCATCACAGTCCAAGTTGGAATCACTTTGGTTCAATGTATCTATAAGTCTGTAACGAGTTATAGTAGTTAGCGTATTGATATTATTAAGATTTGTGATGAGCTTACTGTCTTCTGATGATGTTGGTTATTAATTCTCCAGTATTTGCATCCCAAACTTTTAAATGTCCACCTAGACATGTGCTCACTATGCTAAAACCGTCTGTTGCTATACATTCTATTTCTTGAGTATGACCATCTAATACCACTGGAACGGCCTAAAGAAAAATAAAACATTTTGTGTAAAGTAAATGAGTATTAACGTGGGTAGATGAAATATATTAAAAGACAAGGATATTAATTGCCTTAGGTAAAAAACTTACTTCAAGTAATACAGGAATATCGCTTTCGTCCCCAGATTTGTCACTGGTCCATGAAGCCCTCCATTCTGCGTAATTTCTGGAACAGATGCACTTGTATAGAACGAACACGGCGTAAGCCAGTACGAACACACTGATGGCGCATAGAATCGCGGTGAGGAAGATTTCCATAGGTGATGTAGGATAGAAAGGTCGATCCGATTGCGGGAAATGCTGCGAGCTGCTAGTCCCCTCCGAGTCTGCAAAGTAAATCAAGATTATTGCAAACGCATTCACGTCCGTGCGGACACAAGCTTATAGAGATATTACCAGAAAAATCGATCGGATCTAAAGCCAAGGCCAACGCATGCCATTCAAATTTCCTCCCGTACTTCTCGTCGGCATTCCTCAAGAGCACTGCCTGCTCCGGAGCGACGGCATGAGAGATCTTAATGTTGGGAAGGACGGCGATGTGTCCACGGGTCAAGCTCACGTTGTATTTCCTCAAGATTGATGGCCAATGCTGAGTACTAAGACGCATCCAAGGGACGTACTCGCCGTGCTTCAGCTTATTGATTTCGTCCGTATTGTTGAAATTCAACTCGGTGCTCTTCTGCGTGACGAAGTTAACCATGTACGTCTCGTTTGAATTCAATATAGGCAATATGTTAAATTTAACATTGCTTTCCGATTTATTCTTCCCGTCGCCCTTTTCCGTAATATTATACAGGTCCAAGAAATACTGCTCCATTATACCGCTGTTGTACAGGATCATACCGATCCAAATCACCATCAGTATCATAAAAGCACGCTGGAAGAACCGCGTCCGCGCCCAAATATTGACCAATCTCAGTCGTTTCGGTATCTTCTTCTCTTGCTTGCCCTGAGTCTGACCTGCCACTACGTTCGTATGAATAGAATTCAACCGTGGGTGCGATTTCGACCTATTCATACCAGCTGAGTTAATCTTCTCCGAACTAGATGTTCTATACAGGTTGTTTCTAAAGTTCAGATTATTTTTGTCAGTCTTCTCGATGTGCCTGGTGTCTATACCCAAAACAGTGGTGAAGAAGAACATTTGCAGGAAAAAATCGACGATGAGACCGACGATTGCGAAAATGCAAAATTCCTGGATGGCCGGGAAGAAAGTGAACAAACCGATCGTCAGGATTGTTATTTCAATTAGAAGATTCTTCGTGATGGACCATCCCTCTTTACTCAATCCTCGCGCCACCCGGATTTTGATATCGAGATGGGACGGCGTCGAAACGATGCTTTTGGTAAGGACGAGTACGTTCTCCAGTCCAACTAATATTACTAGGTACGGGAAGATCTGCTTGTCCTGCATGTTCAGTGTTAATCCGAAGAAGAAACAGACTCCCAGGGTCATCGACAAACTGCATAGTACGGTCAGGACGACGGTGAACGCCATTCCAATCTTCGAATTGATTAATTCAATTTTCCTCACCGAGAAGTAATAATAAAAGAAGAGCAGCATGTACGTTATAATTAAAGGCACGTATTCGAAGTAATTAATTTCTCCAGGATAGTGGATTAAAACGGTGTCGTTCAAATACGAAGGTTGCTCGTAGTGGGTTTGGTTTAGCTCTTGGTGTAACGGGTACAGCGTTTGTAATTTGTGCCTAAGACCCGCGATGAACCTGCAACACGCAAACAATGAACTCTCAATTGGATTGTGCAAAAAAGACGAAGACTCACTGCTCATCGTATTCTTTGAAGAACAAAGTCACGGCGTATTGCAAAACCCGTTGTCGGTTCCTCAATGGATATCGCTTTATGCCTGTATCGACCAGGTGCATTCCAAACAGCATCTCTGCAACTGATGTTTTGCCTTTTTGTAGATTCTGAGGAAGCGAAAGGAATATTGCATGAAATACGCGCGAATCTCGCGGAATTAACGTCGTACCTGATGGTTGAAAATTGTGTTGAGTATGGACGTGTCTTGTGCAAACAGTTGTACGTCCTGCTTCCACATGTTGGCGGGCGAGAGGACAAGACAACTGTATTCGGGGAACACATTGTTCTTTGAGTCTTGGACCTTCTTCTTGATGGATTCCACGTGAAGGCAAACGTGGCCCAGTGTTTTTAAACTGAAATGAAAAATGCCTCGGTCACAGCTCCGTATGAACATGTTAATTAATTGCATTCACGCACCTGTTTGGATCTTGATAGTTTCTAACAACATCAAGCAGCTTAAAGGCTTCGTACAGAGGAGCTCTGAACGCGTCGCCGATGGCCAGGGAGTCAGTCCAAGGGACGACGGCACTCCGCAATACGACTTGTTGTACGTAACATTTTGGTGCGTCCACAATTGGAACTCCTCCGGAAATTGCAGAGCCATTGTTCGAAATGTGGACTGGCAAGTTTCCAGATAGAGGTAGATTCAATAAAGGATAACTGAAATAAATAACGTGGATTAATTATGACAAGTAAGATGTTGTAATAAAATTTTATTTAATTTTATAATATAATTTTATTTTGCTTAATAATACAAATAGTTTCTATCGACATTTACAAGTTTATTTACACTTTTGTAATTACGGTATTTCCGCAACAAGCGATAAGGATTTAATCAATGTTAATATTAGTCTCAGATAACTGACGTTTGCTATTTTTTTTATGATGCTTTAAAATTAAGTAGATTTTCCATTCGGTCAGTAAAAATATGTATGCATCATAGGCTATAATTTAATTAAAAATAAAAAAACAAATATGTTGCGTCAGATCCAAATGCAATTCAAATTACTTTTACTTCGGGAATATCTTAGCAATGCTGTTGCTATATTTACATTTATTAGAAGCGGAGCTTCGAAATAAACATATAAAACATAAATATAAATGTTCCATTTTTTTCGTAGTTTTATTTAAGTTTCAATATTGTACTCACAACAGTTTTATACATTATTGCTTTAGTTTAACGACTCTAAATAAATTCATTAGACTTCATAGTTTTATATTTATTGTACCTAATTAAAGGCTTCAAATTGTAAAATATTCAATTCAATTTTGTATAATTCTATTAGATATGAAAAAAAAAAAAATGAAATAATCCTATCGATAAAACGTGTCTGCTTACAATGTTTATTTTTATATCATCTTTTATCTTAAGAGATAAATAGAAAATATTATCTTTTTTTATTAAAGTTTCCTAATTTAATATACGAAGTAAATGTAACCTAAATAATTGTATTTTGATTACATAACAGAGAATTGTCAGTATCAATTTTAAATATCTAAACAAAACAAGTATTAATATGAACCTAATGGTTCCTCTGCGATATAGTAGAGAAACTTAGAAAATGTAAAACAATCTTCAGATCAAATTTTATTATATGTTTTCCACTAACTTATCTTATCTGCATAGCGAATAACAAACAACAATACGTATTATGTAATAACTTATTACTCAACATTAAGTAAAACTGTAAATTCTTGTAAAATTGCAAACTTAGATAATTGTATTATAATTAAAACAGTTTCTGAACTACGATAAGCTTTTAGTGGACATGTTTTCGCACTGTCCGGCGGTATTTTCTTTATAAATAACATTTTTTTTATATTTATTTTTAAACGTGCTATATTTGCGTAAGTCTATTAGTAATAATTATAAAACTGCTTTACGATTATTTGATTCTAAAAAATAATAGATTTCTAAATGATGGAAATAGAACGAGTCAAAATTGTATATTTTGAGTTAGCGTTATTTGCGCTATCTATTAATAATGAGACATAGAAGTAAATACTCATGATTCTCATTTGTATTTACTTCTATAATTTGTAAAATGCGAAACAATATTTCCGTTATAATCTATATCAAATTATAGTTCGATGATGAAACTTGGAAGTTGCAAATCTTGGCAGTAGGCAATGTGCATCGACTATCGAAGATTGCAATCTGTATATCGTGACGCATGCTACATGAACTTTATATCGAGGCTATCAGAATTGAAGGGTACAAACTCAGATTGAGATTTTTTCCCGCCATTCCTGTACGAATCAACGATGAACACGACCTCTGTTACTTTCGTTTATTGCAAACTGGAAATGATCGAAATAAGGATAAATATGGTATTTAAATGTTAGAAAAGCAGTAATTCAGTATTCTAAACTTTATATATATTATTTCAAGAAAAGAGCTATCGATTCTGCCCAAAAATATATTATTTTAATTATTATAATGAATTAAGAATTTAATTAATAGAATGAACTACAATGAACTCAAAATTAGACACCAATATGCATAAAAAACAAAATCTTGGATGAAAGCCATTAACAATATTAAACATACTTATTTACGATTCTTTACGGATGTAAAATGCGGAACGTGTTCGAACTGACAAAGAATTACCGGAAGCATTGATGGATTGCCTTGCGATGAACGAATAAGAAAACAATATTTTTCCCAATAACGCTAAAATACAAACACATAACAATTGTATTGAATGATGACCCAATTCTTTACTTTGCATATTATCACATACATTAACTTCACCAAAAATAAATTACACATTGATCAATATATTCATCGGAATCTAAGAATATCCGGACAGAATTACATATATTATATGCAAATAAATTGATTTGATCTAAATATAATACACGGACGCATATACGTTTCATAACTGAATTAATAAATGATAACACACGTAGTACAAAATCGTTTTACCAAAGCTGCAAATACATTATTTACGAGTTCTCTGAAGTGCGCTATAAATTTGATTCAGAGAACTGATGTTTCATTGTTTAGATAGGTATTGATGATTAACCGGATCAATAACATTCAAACGATTGCTTTGAATAAATCGCAATAAGATCATTAATATAATTATTAGACAGTTATCAAGGCACACGAGATTCAATTAAAATTTGCCACGAAAACATATTTGAGATAGAATGCAATATATATTTTGTTCTTAGGTATATTAGCACCTACAGTCATCATCTATTTAGTTGGTGCCTGGTCCTACTTTAATGCGGCCTTGGTGTACATATCGAAATTAAAACATCATGATTTAAGAGTGCTGCTGATGTTTAAATATATGTCCAAGTGAGCCTTGAGATAAAAAAAGGTAAGAACATAAATAGGCATGATAACACAAAGTTATAATGGCGACATCCTTGATTTCCTTTTACACTTTCTGTTCTAACTCGACTGTAGAAAAAGAGAAAAATACACAATTGTCGGAACTCTTGTTCATTAATGTTCATTCAAACAGTTATTTCCCTTTATATTTAAAAAAAATAATTTATTGTTATTATTATTATAGTTGAAGATCAGTAGTAAACATTGATTGATTTTACGTTTGAGTGAAAGAGAGATTCGTTAATAAAGGTTAAATGGAGATATTATTTATATATATCTTATGTAAGTGTTGAAATGCTAGTTACGCAATTAAAATTTTACATAAATTAGCAAAATTGAAAGTCATCATGTATTTTTTTTGTTAAGTGCTTGACGTTCTGGGAATATTGCAATACAGAATAAATAATCATTAAAGAAAACATTGTGTACTTTTAGTTCCATAAATATTGAGTTATTTTTACTTGAACATACAATGTTATGGGACGAACAAGCGAAGTAAAATATAATTATAAAGATCAGAGGAATTGCTTAAGAATTGATGTGTTTTCCTGTGACTTGTACACTTTCACTGATTAACAATTTTGGATCTAGTAAAACGGAGATTTAATAGAGGATTCAGTGAAATCGCCACTAGGTGAAAGTTTCTATCAAACAAAATTGCAATTCATATATCAAAACGAACCGACGACCTTTCTAAAATAAATAATCAATCCATCCAAAATAACGAATTAACGCAAACATTATTATTAAGTAATATTTACACACGATACGTTATATCTGGTATTATTTGTTACGGATCAAAGTCTTTAAAATAAAATTATCTATACTGTTAATGTTATGTTTGAAATGATTTCATAATCGTCAACAAAAACCTTAATATTCATTGTAACTGTTTCAATTCATTATTTAAAGATGGAAAACGGCAAATAATAGGTAAAAAAAATTTATGAAAGTAGAATACAAATTAATTTTGGATATAATAAGTGTATAATTATTATATCCTCAATTAATGAAGAAAGAAATAAATAAAATCAAGTATTGGCATTTTGCATTGGAGAAATCTACAATGTGAAAAGGCTATTTAATAATCACATCTGTAATAATTAATGCATTCGTATTAAAATTAACATATATTAGCGCTATTTTATATTATTGTTAGATTACATTATAGAAAAATAAAACATGAATTAGTCATAAGAAACTGTGGAGGTAAATTTCCTCTCACTGTCTCTTATAGCAGTGAATAATAACAAAAATTGTTGCTTTATTATCCATTGTTCGCACGTATTTTCTCTATATTTTTCTAGTTTATAGAACAGAAAAAAAAACTTCATAAAAATATATTTTCACAGAATCTATTGTGCTTGAAGATTCTTGAATTAGGATTATACTTTCAATATTCATAAATGCAAAAGTTTATTAAAACCGTCGGAGAAATTTCCAGAGCAAAACTTAAGTTTTTATCGTGTAATGTTCTATTCATTCAATCAATTTATACATAATTAGCAATTGTTTTGTAAAACATGATTTAAGCATTTAAAGCATATAAAAAAGCAAGTTTCTTGCAATTAATTTAATTATCGCTTAATGAAAAAGTTACCATAATTACTTCTTAACCTTTAACTAGTCCCGCTGGTGTAAAACTTAACGTACCCTATGCTCAAAGTGTTTACTAAACGCTGGTGCAATATTGTGTTGACTGCGATGCAATGAAGATGTTTTATTCTTGCTCTGCAGTGTCGGTGTAATAGCAACCGATGCTGATATCTCTATTGACGAATTTATAGAGGACAATGAAGACAATTTTAATTTAGAAATTATTATATTAATTTATTACAAATACTTATAAATCTAATGAAAAGCATTAGTTAACATGAAGAAGTTTTTTCTTGTCGTAATACAATCATTTATGCACTCCGTCTGGCACTAATACATGTGGTGTATAAAATACACCGCGCGAGTAGTACATAGAAATTTCAGGGCGCGAGTAGTTAAACTTAAAGTAAAGATGTGAAAACTCCATAGACTCGAAATCAGATTATTTTTAAGAATTTAATAAAACAGGAATTATTGTAACAAGTAAATATTATGTATATAAAGCAGACAGTAAATATTTTAAAATATAATAAGATTGGTTCAATCATAAATAATAATATTTACTAAAAGATTACAACTGTAAATATTAAATGCGCATAAATTATGCAGTCAATAAAACCTGTTCAATTCAAAACGATTATAAATACATCAAGTAACTGAGGCATTTTTTTTTTCTAAAGCATAGTTAACGTTAGATATTAAAGAGAGGTTCTCAATGATATTTGAATTAAGTACTTTAGATCAGCGTTTTTCAACTTATGAGTTGCGATATGACAGCTGTCACCTACTGTTAAAGAGAGGAACAGGTGAATTACTCTTTGCACTTACAACTACAAACAAATAGGTTGCGCGATTGAAAAATTTAGAAACGCTACTACAGATTATTGGAAATACAAATGTGGATATTAGGACTTTCAAACTGAAAAAAAGAAATGGACAAATGGAGACAAATTGATTATGATCAATCAATCAATCAATCATTTATGTACTATTTTATTATAATTAATTTTTATTGTGCTCAATTAAAATTTTGTTTCTTTTGAAATTTTCTATAGTGAATGGGTTTCTAATCGAAGCCGCACTATGCGAGGTATTGCTGAATAGAGATGTTAACAAAAGTAAAGATCGTATCAAATTTTATTAATAATTTGTGTTTTACCCCTATCTAAACAACTAACAGATGTAACTAACGAGTATCTAAATTTAAGACTTAAACAAAGGAGTGTTCAATGCGATCACCATTGTTTAATTGGGTTTTCGATTTATATTATTTATTTAGTAAAGTAAGCAAACCCATTCTGATAAATGATTTGACCAAATTAAATCAGTGAGTTTAATGAGCTATTATATTTTTTATTATATAACAAATGCATATTACTTAAGATTATAAACTTAAATATAGTAGAATTTACCAGATTACACAATAAACCTTTCTGCTAAAACTAACCACTTAATATAGGCTAATTATGAAAAAAACTGGTTATAGTAATCAATAAATGCGATAAATATATTTGTAATTAGCATGTTTACCGAGTTACTGCCTTTTTAAATTTATATAATGATTCTAACAATTTAAAGTTGAAAAGCACATTGCTCAACTACTCGTAATTTAAATAATATATGAATTTTTGTTCCATAGGTTTAAGATTTCAAAGTAATTATTTAAGTAATTTTGAAAAAAAAACAACATAACTAATTAATAAGATCTTATAAACATAATATTTAATCCTCCAGCATCAGTGTACATGTACGTACATGATAGATCTATGAATAATTTTTGATTATTTCAAACACTCTTCTAGCAGATTCATACTTTAGAAATCAACTCAAAAGGTTAAGAAAAAAGATAGAAAAGAATAATTTTATAAGATATTTTGAATAGCTTCTTGGGCCTCATTAATTTTTTGATCAATAGAAATTTGTTAATAAATGAATAATTGATATTATTTATAAATTATTATACAAAATTAATGAACGTGTTAATGAAATTGCTTTCAGGTTACATGAATTACCAAAGAAATATTCAATGCGAGGAAACAAAATATTTTGCAATTAGTAAGCTTCATGAGCTATTATATTTGGGGGCAATGTAATTATTTTCTATAATTAAAGTAATTCTTTAAAAGCTATAATTTGCATTAAGTATGAGGTTAATTAATGGACTGACGTACGTGTTTGCTGAGTAGATTTTAATTGCTCTATTTGAAAATTGCAGGATGAAATTAATCTGCAAATATTATTAGATAATATTTATATAGTCAAGTCTCTTTTTATGCCATTTATTTTTGTATATATTCGGCTCCTCGCTAAGTTTGTGTTCGAACAGTGCGGTTTCAAATGTTGTCGGAACCGATTACCCGCACTATGTGAGGAATTGATGTATTATTAAGAGACCAATTTGGAGTGGTATAAAATTGTAATAAATATAGAAATGAAATAAAATATTTACCAGCATATGATGGCAACGATGATGGCTATGCTGATGACCGTAGTCGGATATGACGAACAGAACAGTCCGTGGGAGTAGTACAGCTGTGCAACCCTGTTCTGAAGGGCTGTGGCTTTGGCGCCCCGTCCCCGGGGAGCCTCTTCAACTCGCGTATTCATTTACATGTAGTACTTTCCAAAGTCCAAATAAATCCCAAAACGGACGAAGCTTATCCACCAACAACATGTTCGGTGCAGCTCGAATTAAAGCAAGCGACGCATACCTTCACCTCTTCATTGGACCTACAACAATAAAATGCAATTAAAAATACATACAAAAAGGACGAAGAATAACCTAAACTTATATTTAAAGTCTGTATGAATTAACGTTGTAATTTTCCAAACAGTTCATCTTTTCCATTCATATAAATGAGCAAAGGCGAATTAACTGCAACGCAAAACAATATTAATGATGTGCATGTACGTAAATCCCGTTCTCCCGTATTTGTTGATGATTATTGATTAGGTTATCGGCGAAGTACGTTTTCCTTTGCGTGATCTCATTAACTTTAACATATTAACTCGAAACCAATTGGAAAAAGCTTTCAAGAGAAACATTTTCCAATTTCAGTTCTGAGCATCATCGTTCGTGTACGTAAGAGCAGATTACTGCTGCGGCTTTTAGTGTATATTGTTACTAATAAGGTCAAGGACTCATCGCAATTATCGTGATTTTGAATATAAACAGTAAATTAATTAAACAGTAAATACGTTTTTTTTCCTTACGGCCTTGCTATTTTTATATTGATAAATAATAATTGCGATGGGGCACGTGGTCGTTACTTTTTCTCAACGAATTATGTACAAAAAGTTAACACAGAAACATGAAACTGATAATCACTTAATCTGCACAAAGCGTTTTTCAACACGAATTTACAAACGAAAATAGCTGCGAGCGATGATGCGAATCGATATGTCGATGGAAGGAATCCAACTTTTTTTTTCTTTATTTCAGCGAACGCTTTGGATGTTGTTATCCATCGTTGACTTTCGCATTCAAGATAAATGGGCTAGCAACGGAATGCGACGGCGTATTTCAAGAAGTGGGTAATCGCTGAAAATAAAACTTAATTGAGTCTGAATTGAATTATCTGGTTAAGGTCCATTATATACAATTGACACCCAACTGTATGTATAAATCATAGCATTGAAAGTTGCATTGAAGTGATTGCCACTGATGAGGGCACCATTCAAACGCGCACAATGCAACGTTTACAAGCAATTTCATGCTTAACGGTTGGTTATTATTATTATTATCAACGCTCGAGGCATAAGATTACACGAAAAGAAGCGCTCGCACAGATAAGACCCAAAAGGGGATCGTGTGTCGTCTATCGATGTCGGTTATTATCGGAATTAAATTGGAAACCGCAAACGTATAGGAAGGAACTCATCTTCAAATCAAATATAAACATTGTAACATGAAACTATACTATGATCATGAAATAGTGTAAACCAACGTTTCTCAACCTAGGAGTAACGTTAAATTTTTAAACCTGAAATGGACAGTTGTCATCTTACGTCAAAAAATATATGTTATAAATAATTGATTTGCACAAACAGGTCAAGTCATTAGCAATTTGCAGTATTTCAATTTAGTTTTATTTTTGTTATTATGTTAAATTTATATTATGTTTGTTGCAATAAATATTATTACCATTAGTTATTAATTACAAACAAATGTTGAGAAACGCAGAAAATGTAGAAAAACTAATATTTGAAATCATTCAACAAAGTATACAAATTCCCTAATTTATATCCTTTGAAAGCGAAATCAATCTCGTTATCAGTTTCAGAATGTATTGCTTGAATTTAGTTTGTTTAGAAAATATATCAAAATCATTTCAAAGCTGTACAGATCTTACTTACAAATGTATTCTGTTGTATTACAATAGATAAAAACTTATAATATTCAAATTGTTTACATAGATAGACGCAAATTATAAAGAAAAAAAGGTGACTAAAAGATGACGAATAATAATTAATATATATGCATTAATAGAGGTGTATATAACGACCATAAAGGAGCAAGAGCAATAAAAAAAACTAATAACGTAAACGCAATTAGTTCCATAACCATTAAGAAAAGTAAAACAGCGCTTAAAGAAATAATACGGTAATACAAATCTCGAAGCACGAATTCCAAGGCTTTTACCGTATTAAAAATGATTATTAATCTGAAGAAAGAAAAGAATATAAATTAATTAAAATTAATTAGTAACAGGGATATTGTTTTAAACAGAACTAATCGATGAATTAAGTATATACTAAAATAAATTTGTTTGATAAAATAACATTGTGTAATTATTTTTTAGAATTTATATTGTTCAATTAAAATTTAGATTGTTTTGAAATTTTCAAACAAAACTATAGTGAATCCGGATTGATTGAAGCTAGACTATACGAGGTATTCCTGTTTAGTTTCAGTTTCGTCTTTAGTCAAAGATATTTATCATAGTAAAACTATTGTTTGTTTGTTTTGAATTGGAAATATCTAATTTGAATTTGGCATCATCTAAAATGAACATTTTTAATTATAGTTGCAGTAATAATTTGAATTTAAATCATTTGATCCTAACAATTTAATTTAAAGCATATTTTACACTTTTACATTCATACACTATGACAATCATTCATTAATTTGTTTGGGAAAATTGTTCTTTTTATATTAAGTGTGTATTATCTATGACTATTTTCAGTCCATACATAAATAGTTTCTTGAATAATGTTGACAAATATAAATAAGATTAGGTCAGAGTCCTGTTGTCACCAATGCAGGGAGACACAGACAAAGAATAATATATTTTCGACATTAGTAGAAAGGCCATTGACCGAAGCCTAGTTTATTTTCAATTATTAATATTCCTTAATTAATGTCTATATAAATATGCATTTTCGATTTGAAAAGTACAATAATTTGAAAAAAAATCCACAACATCATTATTATAAACCGTGAACTGAAACTAAATATCTTCTAATTAACGTACCAGAGCGAGACGTTTCAATTTCATACAATTGTTCTGTCTACTTTTTTTTCTGTATATAATCCAGATATATACTATATCGATCCGCACACAAAACACAGTAACATTCAAACAATTATTACGTAGATTTAGACTAAGTTAATTTTGAGAGCGTCATGCATTTCCTGTTAGAAAATGGTCCGCAATTTAGAATAATGCAATATCACACTGGTTGCGCCGTAGTCGCCTCTTGCATTTATTCTTGGTTCAAGGGCAAACTACAAAGAAGACACAAAGAACAATTTAAATATACGCACATTTCGTACTCGGTCACAAAAAATATATATATTTTGCATATTTTCTAGAATATACATTTTTAAAAATTTAAATGTATCTTTGTTTTACAACTAGTTACATAATACAAACGGTTTTTTTTTTTGTAAAGGTGAGTAAAACTCGAAATTTGTCTTGAGTTAAACATTAAGCCTACATAATAAATTTGGATATTTCTATCAATAAGTAAAAGTATGCGTGGGAATTGTTGCATTCACTTAGAGAATGGCATTCATTGATTTATTCCCATGATTTAGCTTCGACGTGCTTCATTTAAATTACCCGTGAATCAATCATCTTGAAGATAAATCAAGCGTGAACTTTAATTAACCTGTAACATATAGAGCGAATGGTGCATTTAAATTGCAATGTAAGCAATATTAATCGATTCATTGTTTATATTGATTCATACCATTCTTATAGGAAGTAACAGATATAATCCAATTAGATTTCCAATAGGATTATAAACAACTCTCTAATCGTTCAATCAGTAAAATGAAAAAGTTAATTAACAGTAGCATTTACGATTTTCTAAATATTATTAATACGATCTGTATAATCAAACAACTTATGTATTGAATCACTTCACAAATCGAATGGCACAAAGCCAATGACAATAAATGAAAACGCAAATCAATCAAGTATATTCGTTCCAACTGAATGGTAAATATTTAATTGAGGTTATGTGATATTATCCTGCGAACATTCCATGTGTACTCTCAAAGTCAAGGTAACAGCACTTGACTAACACGGATTATGTAATGAGTGCGGGGCACGAAGAGCCAAGGACCGTCGCGTGGTAAATTGGTGAATGCATGTGATTGAAAATCTTCGATCTTTTGCTCAGAACAAGGAAGAATTAAGTTAGAAAAAAAACTGTATGATAATTAAATGGCAAAACCTAAACAGGCAGTGTTGGGTAAGGTCAATTGCGAAAGTGACCGAGAAGGCGGGATTGGATTCAATTGGAATCTAGTAAGCACGTGTAACTAACTCTAGCTGCATGCAGATGTTTAGCGGCAATTTGTTAATTCGGTGTTGCCAATTAAAATTTGTGCAATTTTTGGGCAACTTACCTATCAGTTCAATCGAATATTCCAAAGAGTAGGTGGTCAAGAAGTGTTGGCCTCTTGGTTTAGAGCACTGGGTTTCCAGTCAACACATTTGTTCCCACACACAAACTTTTCTGATTCACACTTATGTAGATTTACATTGCTCGTACATCCATATGCGATCTCTTTCGATGATATCCACTAAACTGAATGTTGCCGAACTCCTCAGATTTCGTTTGTGCCGCGGTGGTTGGTATTACGTATTTCTACTACGAACTTACGTCATTCGTGTTGTTGATCGAGCCATGATCTTAAAAGACCAGAGGGCACTGCTTAGTCACTGATTTATTTGTTTATTTCCACATTTAGATTGTTAATTATGATCATATTTTCCTCAATTTAACATCAATTGTTTAATCTGTTGTTCTGGTTAAGTTTCCTAACACATCCTATATGACTGTTCTTAAGATAGCTTTAACTGTATGCAACCAATTCTATTCTTGTAACTAAATATTGCCTATATCAATAAAATAATTGTATGTATTATGATGCAATTTTTATTTTATTTACAATTATTTTAAATATGTCATAATTAAACTCAAACTTTAAATTATATTATATAAATGATATTTTACGAAATTATTGTTTTAAATGAATTACTTATAAGCAGACTTATTATTTATTTCTGTATTTTATGTGTTTATAAAAATAGACATACCATTATCTTTTTACTTTGTTTACACACATTTCTACAGATAAATATAACGATGTGAAACACGAAACTGTAATGCAACATAGAAAATTATCATATTATGCAATTTATTCCGATATGTGCTTTCATTTGCAGTAATTAGACGAAATACTTTTGTACTAAAAATATATAAAATAAACAAAATTGTTGATCAATCTTATTTATTTCATATAGAATTTTATATTACAACTAATAATGCCATGTATTAGTAACATGTTTTATTTCATTAGTTGGAAGTTTTGTGTAATTTAATTAAATAACGTACTTTGTTTGATTCACTTACTACTTGACTTAAAGACTATCTTACAAGATGCAAAATGTACACTTTATAGATAGAATTTTAACATAAACAATATCACCATCACTAAATTTATACTTTAAAACTTGTGACATTTCTAGGAAAACAGAGCACTATCTTATTTCCTGATTTTTGTTATCTATTTTCATGAGTTTTATTACAGTTTGCTAGAAATTTGATAAACACATTTTTAAATTTTATTGTTATCAAAAATAAATAATCCAAGTCATTTCCTTAAATATACACGGTTTACTATTTAATGTCTCATAAAATTAAGTCATATACAGAATCACCCACTTTGAAGCTTACAATTTACATAGATAACTATTAACTGTCATTTATTATAACGTAAGTGTTTGTAAAATATTTTTTTTACATTTTTGTGTTGGTGCATAATTGAAGGCAAAATTAATATTGTCTGACAGATTTTTTTTTATAGAAATTTATGACCCACCTCTGCAATGTAAACTGTAATTGTTAAATACACAGAAGATTATTTGAATCAATTGAAACAATTCTAAATTCTTAATTGATTGAACGTACAAATTAATATATTTTCTGATCAATAGTGTTTCTCAACATATGGATGACTGCTGTCATCTTGTGTCAAAGCGTCAGAAGATTAATGTTATAAACAATTTGGTCATAATACAACTAAAGGGTGTCCCAAAATTAACGCAAGATTTGAATTAAATAGAAAACACAGTTTTTAGTCTTCAGATTATGATTTTGTGGTAAAAACTGTGTTTTCTATTTAATTCAAATCTTGCGTTAATTTACAAACTGGGTCTATATCGCAAGCCCGACAACCGAAAGACCGCCTATTGAAATCCCGACGTTCGAAATCCCGAGTGTATCGAAATCCCGACTACCATAATCCCGACAATCAAAATCCCGACTATATCGAAATCCCGACTACCATAATCCCGACAATCGAAATCCCAACAGTGTCTTTTATTATTATAATTTCTACAATAACATTTTTAAATTATTGTACTATATTTTAATAGTTACGACGGATACTGAAAAAAATATTTTTAAGACCTCTTTTGCCCGATTATTAATTGTTGTTATTTATTATTAATAACAATAAATAATATTAATTATTATTGTATTTTTTTTGTTGACTTATTCATTATAAAAATTAAGAATAAGAAATATTCTATAATAAAATTAGTTTATGTTATTAACAATAAATAACAACAATTAATAATCTTATTAAGTTTTAGATTGTCGGGATTTCGATATAGTCGGGATTATGGTAGTCGGGATTTTGACATAGTCGGGATTTCGAACATCGGGATTTATATACACTCGGGATTTCAAACGTCAGGATTTCGAATGTCGGGATTTCGAACATCGGGATTTCGATAGACGGGATTTCGGTTGTCGGGCTTGCGATTGCCACCGTTTACAAACACATATGCTTACCGCAAAAAAGTTGAGAAATACTATTCTATAATGAGAATCGATGAGCATTCAATGCATTAAGTGTAAACGTTAAACTATAGAGTAAATTTTTTAAGAGTTTTAATTATTCAATATAATTATTTTTGGAGTTTAAGAGACCTAAATACAATTAAATTTTCGATAATAAATGAGACAAAATGTATTGTTTTACTTTTGTTAATAGCATTAATTTATTAATTAATTAATAATCTTCATCGTGTAATGAATTCTGTCAGTTTAGTATGTTATATAAAGACATATTAGCTTAGGTTATGTTAAGTAAGGTTAACTTAAATTGATGATTCATGTTGACTAAATTTTGATGATTTTTAGAGAAAACAATTGTAAAACAAAACTTAACTTCAAAAATAATTCAAATATAATCAGAAGAAAACTATATATTTTACTTCATGGAAAACTATATAGAAAAACGAATAACAAATAAAATTTTAATTTATCTTGCATATAATTTTTTTCATTCTTCTGTTTGTACCCTCTAATACTAAAACTATTTTTTTAGTGTTTTAGGGCAGGACGAAATTATTTCTTCAGGTTTTTGAAGATATTTAATAATTGATTTTTCCATAGCATTTTTTTAAAGTTGTTGTTAGACAGTCAAGAATAATTATTTCTTAATTTTCTGTTTGTATCAAGAAACTTAGTATTTAACAATAATCCCGTTTTTTGTCAGGGAAGATTTTGTGTCAAAATGTTTATGTTTTTAATCAAATAATTAATTTATTTTTATCGTTTTACTATTATATTATAATATTTACTAAATTACCTACAATTTTAGTTGTAAGAAACTTAATTTGCAAGAGCGTTCACCTAAATCAAGTATACATTTCAATCATTTCATTATCGCTTTAATGACTTTAATTGCTTTACTGTTTATAACTGAAATACGATTTAGTTTATTTCACAAAATACTATTTCCTCCAAATCGCTTGAAAATGCGAAAAGTAATGCTTTTCCACGACGCAAATATTAATTAAAGAACAATTAGTCATGTATCTGCGAGCCGTAAATTTGATAAAACCTGAGTCCTCGTAACGATTTAAGTATAGGTTTGGGACGTTTTAATGTCCATCATTTCCATTTCCAAAGGTTATCGTGCCGCCAAAAATTTGGCGCTTTTCTGATATATGTCGTATATATATAAAAGTTGGACACCTCGTAAAAACACAAACACGCGTTTTTCGCAAAAACCAGCACAAGAATGGAACTTCTGCATTTGGCGATTTTAGTTTGTTGCGTTTACCTGATTACAGGTAATGGCGAATTATTGGTCTCTAACTCTTTATAATTATCTGTTTTTTAATAGGTGATCCGAATTGCGATAAGATGGGGTTGCTGTTGTACGAAGAATTGGGATGCAACCCGGTCTTTGCTGAAGACAATAATTCCTGTCCGATAAGTTACGACTGCAAGAAATACGAGCGTAGTCTTCAGCAATGCACGTATCAAGGTAGGACGTATTTTCCAGGAGAAGATATAGACAAGGACATTCTTAATCCCAGCTGCCACGCCGGATGTCAGTGCGTGAACAAAACCAATCACAAGTAATTAATCTCATTATTTTAATGGAACGAAATTCATAGTTTATTTTCTTTAGATGCAGCATTCAATGCGCTATATTAGATTGTCCCGAATACATGGAACCACCACTAGATTCCGATTGCTTCTACAGCTATTCTCTTAACACTTGTTGCTCTGAAAAGATCATCTGCGGTGAGTTGTTTTAGATTTCTATTAAACTTACAATTACAATACAAATTTTAGAACCTTTCGATGGTTTGGCCGTTTGCGAAGTCGATGGATCCGAGTACTATGAAGGTCAGAGATTCAATCCGAGCGGAACGTGCATGAACTGCGTCTGCCAGAAAGGCTTTAATGGAAAATATGAGGCTCCGTTTTGCACGAGAAAGAAATGCGGGTTCGAAATCAGGCATGCTGAGGCTGTCGAACAGAATTGCGCTCCCGTATATTTCGTGAGCGAGGGTGAGGAGGCTTTGTGCTGTCCGCAGAATTTCATTTGTCGTAAGGATTTCTTCAATTCGTGTTTTTCTTTTTTATTTTTTTTTAAACGTTTTTAGCTCTTGAAACCGATGAAATTATCGCACGTCCCAATGCGCCGCAGAATGGTAAATATTTCTTCATAATTGACATATTAGTTGTTATTATCGTAATTGTTCTGATTTTAGATGGAATTTGTAAGTTTGGAGATAAATCCATCAAATTTGACGAGAAAATCGTGAGATATCTTTACCAATGGGGAAAGACGAGAACCGTTGAATGCGTTTGCGACGTTCCACCTCTATTAACCTGCACAGCTCCTTATTAATATGAAAAAAAAAACATTTTAATTTTCAATAAATTGATCTAGCAACTAAACTGAATTATTATTATTATTGGACAGAGATAATGACAGATTACTTCAACTATTTTGTATGAAGCATTATTATTTTGTTTTTGAGTCGAGGTTATGTTATTTTAATATGAATTGACGTCAATACAATAATATAATTATTGTAATAATTGTATCAATTAATTATTATATATGCACTATCCATTTTTTGAAATTTACAAACCATAATGTAATAAAGCCGCACTATTGAAGGTATTCGCAGCGTCACTAAGCACAGGGCTATTGCCTTTAGGGGTGGCAATTTTGCTTTCCCTCTTATGAAGAGGCTTATGAAGTAGACCATCGGAGACATGACTCTTATTACGGCCCTGGTTATTGGCTGTATTTAGTTTTTTGTTGGTAAACCTGAAGACTAGAGAAGATAGATCAAAGTACACTTCCTTGGGGTACATCTGGCGTAATTAGAATGGAATGTGGCCGCGAATAGGAAATATGTTGTTTCGTTAAGTAAATAAACAAACTCAATCTATATTTTACATTATTTCATTGACAAAAATCTGTAAAATTATTATTTCGTTATTTTGAGCGCAGATTTAATTATTTGATAATACTAGTCCATAATAACTCCAAAAAGAAAACAATTTTATTATATAAATATAAGTAATGATGACTTCTGGAATTTTAATAACCAATTGCATTTCTTTTTGATTGTTATTACTAACCAATAAATACAATTTACAACTTATTTTAAAAATAGTTTTTTTTATTTTCCTATATATTTAATTGTTAAATACTACTTTGACAAGACTTAATTAAAATCATCTAAATTATGTCAGGCAAAACAAAAAAAACATTCTTAATTTGTGACATTATGTACTTAAAATATAAGTACCATAGAGCAGTGTTCCCAACCTTTTTATCGCCGCTGACCGGACACTTGATAAGTTTACAGCAGTGATTCGACCCCCAGGGGTCTATGACAACTTGCAAGGGGTCTACGTCAACGAAAAAAAAATTTGGGAGTCCATAAATGGAAACGTACACTGATAGTACCTATTTACTTACATTATACTATCTTATAATATAAAGACATATAAATTATTTATAAAAGTACTTATGAAGTACAAAAAATATTATATATGTTTATAAAATTGTGTAAGTTGTGGGATGTAGGAATTCGCTTTGTGGTCGCAATACATTTTGAACTTGTAAAAACCTGCGCATAATGATATACCAGTATCATCTTGTTACAAACATACGCGCAGTCTCAGAGCAAAGATCTTAATAATTATAAAGATGTCCTAATATAAATAATAAATTTACAAAAAAATCAATATCAGGTAAGTAGGGGGTCTACCCAAAACAGAAAAACATGGCAAGGGGTCTACGACACAAAAAAAGTTTGGGAACCTCTGGTTTACAGCGACCCGTTTACCGGGGGATATGTTGATACAGTTACACCAAAAAATGAATATAAATTGATTTAACATTTAATTCACTAGATTCTAGTGAGTTAAAATAGAATGGAACCCCCCATGTTGGGGACCACTGCCATAGAGTAATTAGACATTAATATTTAATTGAAATGATTTAATTAACGATGAATAAATATATATGTTCATTAGAAACTCAATAAATTTAACTCTATTAAAAAAATATAGAATTTTCAAACGATACATAATGAAATTAATAATTCTATCAAATATTAATAATGTTCAGAATTGGATGCAAATACATTATAGTTTGGCATTTAGCAATTGCCAATGAGGAGTTATCAAATTTAACACTGATCGCTTAGCAATATCACTTCTTCCTAAATCAGGATCAAATCATTTTCACAAAAAATACAACGTTTTCAATTACTTCTTTAGTTTTTCGTATTCATTTTATTTGTTGCTAACAAGACTTTCAAAATCATCTACTGAAAAACCATCATATTCTGCATTAAATAAATTTATAATTTCCTCTTAATCGTCATTTTCAAAACCTATTACAATAATTTCTTGGATGTTATTTCCTTCTTCAAATACAACTTTTGGCCATATTTTACGTCATTCTCAAATAACGATTTTTTTCAAACTATCAATGTTTTTGTACAAATTCAAATTTCTTTATATAAAAGCTTCGTTATCAAAGGTATTCGCAATGAAAATACGTAAAAAGCAAACTATAAGAACATAGATAATTCAACTCATATTTTAATCATTAATAAAATTATTTGACAAAATTAGAACTAAATAGTTTATTTAAATATTAAAGAGATTTCTACTTTTTCATAGAGATTATCATTGTAATTGCTTTATTTTGGATTATTTTACATAATTTTCTAAGTATTTCGAGATCTGCATCAGATTTAATTATTTGATAACGTCTCTTGAAAGCAATCTATAATTAAATCAGTTTCACAAAAAAAAATGTATATAAACCCTAAATCCTTCCACATTAATTGGTTGAAATCCATATAGTGATAGAAACATGTTTCGGAAAATATTAATATTATTAATAGTAACTTCGGTTTTGATATTTGCAAAGGTAAAATATATCATAAAACTATTTGTAAATGTTTTTTATATGGACTTTACCTTTTTAGAAAAACCCACTGTACTCGTTAAAAATCGATCGTTCGGAAATATTCAACTACGATTATTCTATCGTCAATTGCACTGGACACTGCAGTTTCGTTAACAGATCGACGAAAGCTTTGAATATAATTTTGAATTTCAAAAAGGCGATGCTCGATACGAATATTGTGAGTTCAAGATTGTCGTAAGATCAAATTGCAAAATGAAAATATAATTAATAATTGTTAGATGTTGATGCGGTCCATGGTTTGGCGGAACAACGTTTGGGTGAAGTTTTCCCCTTTGGAATTCTCCATAACGCTCAAAGACTTCTTCAAGTACGATTGGTTCGATATCAAGGGAATACGGGAATCTTGTAAGCCGCCAATGACGTATCCGTGGCAGAAAACGGTTTGTTATGAGGACGACATTAACAATAAAAAAATGTTTTTTTTTACAAATTTTTGTTTGTTCCAGACATACAAACTGTTGAATTATATACCGAACATGAAGCATTATCCTAGCTTCATGCCGACAGGGAGTTACAGGGTAGACGTGGAGTTTTGGGATTCTAATAAGAAGCTCAATAAATTCTTGGAACATCATCTGTACATGTTTATAGATGAGATTATAAAGCATTAATCGTTCTTATGGGTGTTTAATAAATACGATTTGTATGATTATAGTAGTTTATTGTGTCTTAATATAACAAACGAAGAGGGTCCTCGATATTTGGCGTTTCGGAGCGTTTTTCAGGGATGGACTAAGGGTTGATGTTGATGGAAATATCGCAATTGCAGCCAATCGCGATCGTTTCTGTGTGCTTCTCCCAGCAGCTGTTCCTTCTCCGCTTGAAGAAGTGCGTGGTCTTCATTTTGGTTTCGCAATGTTTTCCGTTCTTCAAATTGTAGCAGAGGTTGTCATCCGTGTCGTGGATTGGATCCTTGAAGGGATTTCTCAGCGCGCTGTAGCTCGGAACGCAAGTGATGTTGTTGAAATATGGTGGATAATACTCGAAATCGTGATCGTAAAGTTCAGAGAATTTGATTTGTCTCGACATCGTATTGCATAAGGTGTAATCGCTCTGAAAGAATGGATTAAAATTAAGAAATTTTCGTTTATTTAAATCCAGAAACTCACCAGATGTCGTCTATCTGCTCTATTTGAATTTTCAGACACATAAAACTCATTTTCACTACTCTCCGGGTTATAAACTTCCTTGTTGCTCACGTAATCCAATAATTCGTTATCCCCGTAATCAGACATCACGTAACTTTGCGTTCCCACTGCGAACAACGCAAGCACGAAAATCTGAAAATACAAAAAACATATTTCTTATTTGCATGTTCATATCATGGATTGCATTAAAAAATTCGAAGCAATTAAAAACACAAAAGTACGAAGATTTCAAATTTCTATAACTTTAAACCTTGTATCAAATATTGTGGATTTTACGTTCGAAACTTTGATAAATCGCATCAAAGTTTCGAATGATTAAAAAAAATAAATAATGGAAATGACTACTTGAAGGTCCCACGTTTCGGTAATTTGTTTTCAAAATGCAAAGCGTTTGTCAAAAGATAAGGCAAAAAAACACGCAACAATTAACTTATTTTATAGCCTATAAACTTAATTCCGATTTCTGCGTATGATAATTTCGTTGTTTCCATAGTACATAAAACAATGAAAAACAAACGAATAGTGATACTTTATTTCTGACAGTTCATGGAAATTAATGGTTGCTCATGGCTAGATGAGTGTTCAAAAACATCTTCAAATGTGATTTAAATAAAATGACAATATTAACCAGCGTTTCTCAATCTTTATTACCGCGTGAACCTAAAATTATAGTGCGACACAAGGTGACAGCTGTCATTTTGCGAGCCAATATATTTGTTTGTAAATATCTCAAATGTCAAATGACTTAATTTCTGAGAGTATTTCACCAGTTCCTCGCTTTGACACAAGGTGACAGCTGTCATTTTGCGACCCAAATTAGGAAATACTGCTTTAGACTTTTACTAAAGTGACATGTGTCACTTTGTTTAGTAAAAACGTTGTTTGTTGTTGAAAAATCTTAATCTTAAATTCTAAAATTATCAAATAAAATTAATTTAATAAATCATATTCATATTACTTTATATATTATTATAGATTGGTAATCGAATGCAGTCTGAAAAATAAAAAAATTCGTTTAACTTTATTCAAATGTAAGAAATTTGTTAACATTAATTTTACCAAAAATGGAAATTTAAAATGTAATATAAAAATGAGTTAAACTTGAAGAAAAGTCAATTTTAATTAAATATATAAAATAATACTTCTAACAGAAAGACAAATCTGTTGTTTATTTATTTATATGAAATAAATATGTAAGACTTTCTAATTTGAATCTTTGTATAATGATAAATATAGTTCTTATCGAGAGAATGTTTTCTGCAAAGCAAACGTTGCCTTTTCAATATTGATTCATTATGATGGTTAGTTATTATCAAGAATCGAGAAAACATTAAGTAATGTTTAGAATGTGAACAATCTATTCTTAGCATTTCTTGAATAAATAACATCCGTTCTTATCTATTTATTGGCTACGTAATGATGCAACAAGAAGATGATTGCAATTAAATTGAGTATTGGAAAAAAACGATCTTGGAATTATTTGTCTTAAGGTTTCTTACTTATACAATAATATCGTTGATTCAATTGATGTGTAGTATTGTTGAAGATACCTGAAAGCTAATGGATATCATATAAAGGGTAGATGCAAAAAATTACTGTAATAATTTAGTTGATACATTTGTTGAAGCACTTTTATGTTATAGTTTTATTTTGAAATTAATTCTAGAGGTTCAAAAATTGGAGTATATTATTATTATTAGACTAGTCAAAATATACTCTATTAATACCGTATTTCAATGCTTTAAATGTTTAATGACTCGAAATGACAGCTGTCACCTTGTGTTAAAAAGTCAAAAAAAATTGTAAATAATTTTTGCGACCAAAAAATTTATAACAATTTTGACATTTTGACATTAGGTGACAGCTGTCATTACCACTACGACTACAAATAAATATTTGCAAAAACGGTTGAGAAACGCTGCTATAGAATCTACAGAAGAGTTTTTCAATCTTTTTTAATAATCTATTTACGAAATAGGGGCGGATGAACAATGATCTATTGAATTATTTTAGTGTTAATCTGTAAAATGACTTCAATTTACCTTTTATAATAGTTTTTTTTTGAATATAAGTAAATAAATTAATAATTGTTAACAAAAAAATGAGAGATTATTGAATAATATTCGTTAATCCTCGTCACAAATCAATTAAGGTATATTTTTGTTGTAATAAACTATTGAAATTTTGATTATTTCACAATGAAAACTCATGACATTCGCGGGAATTTTAAATTGATTCTGGACTGTTCCTAATACGTACAAACTGTGCCAAATCTGCGTGGGTCACCAAATATATATATATATAAATTTGGCTGAGATTTGTGCACGTATATAACGTAAAGTGCGGGAGTACAGATCAGAATATTTTGTTGTTGTTGGTGTAATTGTGCAATGATTGCAGGAAGGGCTTCAAACATATTCGATTGCAACTGTGGAAAAGGCAAGTGCACTAATTGCTAAGTAGTATTGGGAATATCCGTACGCAGCGGAACATTTGCGCAAGGCCAATCTGTTACATTCAGGAAATGAATTGTCCTTGTAGGAATGTTCCGCTCTCTGTCATCAAATGATACAAATAAAACCGAATTGATGCATGCAGCAGAAACAAGATTACCAATATTACTACAACAAAATATACTAAATATAGTGTTTAGAAACAAGTTTCGTTTGTTAATTATGTATCTTGATACATTTTTCCATTATTTGAAGATTTAATTAACCTGAAACTGAAATTTTAAGTTTGCATTAGAAATTAAATATTTAATCTTAATGTTGTCGGAAATACCAATATTTTGAGTGTTAATTAAAAAAAAAAGATTATTAATATCAAAGTATTGAGACTAATCCATTTTGAGTTTACATTGGAAAATCAAGTTGCAATTTGTCAATATCTCTTCTTTTTTTTGTTGAGAGTGAGAACAATGGATTAAGGCGAAACTGAGATTCGAATTACGCGCGCTTCTTTGGAAAATGCGTGGATGGTGCAAACAATCGGAGTGTTTACGGGATTAAGGTTTGCATCTGGCGCCATAAGATCATTTGACCCCGTAATCGTCTCTGCCCCCACGACCGTGCAAGCAAATCTCTAATGGGTAATGACCGAAGGGTTCATCGATTAAATGCATATTTAAAACTCATTAACTTATCTGTCAAGTAAATTTTAGGATCAACTGATAGGTTAGAAAATTACACGACTATAGTCAATAGTTTTTGTTTAATGACAGATGTATGATTGATTTCCATGGTAATTTCCACTGACACTATTTGTTACACAAAAAATGTTAACCATTCTAATCCAATTACAGATTATTATCTAATAGAAATTCAAATTAATACTATGTTCAATTTAATTAACTTTTATTAAATAAAATGATGAGTAAAAACTAATAAAAATTCTTAAATATAATCGTATTTTTGTACAATTAATCTATATATGATAAAAACAGAACGTTTTAATTCATAATTTTATTATTAACTATTGCTGTTTATGAGTTTGATTATTAAAAACCGGTAAATTTTTATATTAAATACCGATTATAACTAAAAGTGTAAATTATTTCGTCGATTCCCAAAAAAATGAAGTTTTTTCAACAGTACATCAAAAATGAATTTAGAAAGAAAATTTCTTTGATTTTGGATAACAGGTCAACATTGGATATGGTTAATTCATCAATTGAAGTACAAGTCTTATCGATTTATATATTGAAATTTCGTTTTCAGAACATGAAATTAATACTATTAATACGACAATATCTACATTGTTACTTCTACAAATGGCTGTAGAAGCTTTAAGTGCCTTTAAGTATATTACTCAATTAAATTTATAGATAAATTGTGTCGTAAATTCTACTTCAAGCAGTTAATTAAAATCACAATTAATTTTAAGTATTTTAAATCGACGCACAAACTTATCGAATGTTGTCCATTTTTTTCACATTTTGTGCACAATGAGTTATGAGTATGCAATAAAAATAATAGTTTTTCGGTAGAACGAATGATGCAGAAACAATTATAATTTTACAAAACAACTGGAAGAAGAAACAACAAGAAGACTTAAAAATACTGAAGTTCTAATATAATATGTTGAAAAAATCTCTTTAGATATTGAATGTTTTAGATATTTCAGCTAAAGGTCATAAATATATGGAAAAATCCGATTACTTATTAATTTAGTTAGATTGCCTTACTGTTAATAAAATAATATTCATATCTGAAATTCTTTAATATAGTTGTAATCAGTGCAAAGAACTTTTACATATTATGAATTTTGTTTTGGATTTATGAAAATGTAATTGACGTCCTCTGTGTCTTTATTAATAAGTCTAATTAACGGTCGTCCAATTGTCGGGACATGGTTGCATAAATATATATATTGGTTGTGGTAAGTTGATGAGTTAATAAGTAACTCCCGTGATCTCTCGAGTACGAATGGCACCTACGTCGAAATAAGTCACTAATTGATTTTAACAGATAAATTGTCCGGATAAAACGAGCCCTAAAGTCGTACATCCATAAAGACGAGAATCCTTCGACAACGCTCAAATTAACGTGTAGACCAATTGCAGTATGAAACTTCGGTCGCGTTCTCTCTCCGCTCGACACAACGCCACACTATCAACAACAAAAAAGTTTACTATATCTTCGATGTTCTGCAGCCGCGAAGCGACCGCCGAAATCAGACGTCAAAGACCACTCACTCACAAGAAGTGGAGGAAGAGCAACAACGGATGATCCGATGTGCGGTTCGGTGCAGTAACAACATCTTCGCTCTGTTTTTTTTTGTTGTTGTTGTTAGTTTTTATCATAAGTGCTGTGCATTGATCGACAACAAAAAAAAAACACATATTTGCGAACGCATCCGCACGCAACACAGAAACAATTGCTGAAGAGAACGACAACAATTAGTGCAACAGATAAATGTTCAAAATGTGGACGTCGAAGAACGAAAAAAACAACAAGCAAAACAGAAAGTTAGTATTCTTGAAAAGTTTTATCAGCAAAAAAAAAATTACACAAAGAAATCGCGTCCTTTCACAATTTCTGAAGCGAAAAGTAAAATGAAAAGCAACTTAGAAACGGGTTTGTTTTAAGCATTAACGGATCGTCGATGATTTTTTGGAAGGACGCGATTGCTTCGTGCCCGGACATTTTTCATAATTAGTGATAAATTGAGAGAGGTCGAGGTTAATCGAGTAGGATTTTTGTTAAATTTCTATGTCATATTTCCTTTCTTTTAGTTTTTGATATTTTGAAGTGAATTATTCCAACATTTTGATCCAAAATGTCTTTAACGGTTTTGCATACGAAACGCGTAAATATCTATATTGTAAATATCGAGTTGTTGTTTGTGGAAGACGATATCCCTTCTTATGAGCGATAGCAGTGTCACGTACTCAAATGGAAAAAGATTTACTAACATTAACTTCTATAAATAAACTTAAATAATACGGTCCACTGAGTGATCAACAATTGTTGAATGGAAATTGTGCTCTATATATAGGCCTAGAGAGTTTTATTACTGGGGCAAATTGGCGCATTATCCACTAAAGGTCATACTGATCATCATCATCATCCTCCTGATGATGATGATGATCATCGTCGTCTCTGGTCCCCCTTTATGTTTGGTGCTCGCATCAAAGAATCAATATTTTCAATGAAGCGAATTGACCGAAAACAAGTAGTTGTGTCCCGTGATCATCGGAATTGGCGACGATGGCAATATCATTGCCGCAAATTGAAAAGTACTTTCGATTTGCAAATCGCAAAGTAGACGGGTTCAAGAAAATTGACACCGCTGACACCGGTGCTCCTTTGAACCCGCATCATTTTACAATCGACAAATGACAAATATTGATTTATTATTTCTCTACAAAATATTCCATTTCGAAGACCAAACAAACCATTGCAACGCAATTTAGATAAGAAAGACATGAACTTCGATACTAATCATTTTCGCAATTTACAACTAGTTTCAAAAATTGTTCAAAATCCGTTTTAATTATCCTTAATTTTGATACAACACTTAAAATTTACATTATATTTGATAAAATTTAACAATAGTATTTTTACTCTAAATATGTTTTTACCTAGATTCAATAAGATAAAATATAAATTATAACAATGCAAAAAGTAAAAAAACGATATTTATTTAAATAAAAATAATTACTCTTATTCTCTTCTTTAAATTCAATTGTTCTGGTAGTATCAAAATATTACGTTTCTCTGATAAATAGTTGACTTATGACATCTGTCAAAATAATCAATTATAATTAAACTTTGTGTTGTATTTATCTAAATTACATTATGAATATGAGAAAGATATTTATAAACAGTAATTTTATCGAAAATTGTATTAAAAAAACGTTATTTATCAAGAGAAAATTAGTTTAAATTCGATTCTTCTTATGGTTAAAATATGACATCTGTCAAAAATAATAAATATGATTATAAGAAAATGTATTACGTCAAAAACTATAATGTAATTAGGCAAAATAATTATATAAAATGCAAGAATTGAGAATTCTATATTGAAATTTTTAATTTTGGAATAAATTTGAAGGTTTTCGAAACTTACTAAAATATAAATTAAATATATTTTAAATTTGACAGGTATAAAAGACATCTAATGTCAATTACTTAAAATTGACATATGTCACATGTTTATACAGATAAACAAAATTAAATTTGTATACTAAAATATTTACAGTATCAAAACAAAATTTTTTATTTTCGATGTGGCCTTGTTATCTACATAATTTTTCATGCAACGTATAATTAATGTACAAAATCCTTCTAAACATTAACATCTTGAGGCACGTGATTATTTCAAATTTGTTACATTCTTTCAAGTCAACATCATTTATACAATTAATAAGACTGTCTGCTGTAGCACTGTAATAAATATTACTGTCTCTCTATAATTAGTGATATAGTACTAACAAACTGGATTTATCGTAAACACGACCACATTGTAAATATTCGATAGTAAAAGCATCATTACCTTCCGCGTTAAATCTTGAGTGAAATTGTATAATTTATCGATTTCAAACTGTATACTTTTGAACAATTATTTTCTAAAACGTGCAATATTTATTACATTGCATAAAATACAATTAATGTACGTTTATAATTTCAGTAAATTTATTGATTAAAAAACTATAACATTTAACAAAATTTACTACATGCAATAAATAAAAAATAAAATTGAAAATTTTGAATTAAATTTGTAAATTAATCAATGATATTACAATTTATTGAAGTATTTTGGCAGAAAATAAACTGGATTTATTAAATTTATAACAATTTTGCGTCAATCTTGAATGAAATTAAATAACATAAAATTTTCTGAACTGTATATTCCTCAATACCAATTTTGGATAACAAACAATAATGTACTTATAGACTACATGCAATAAATATCACTGTCTTTCTACAATTAGTGATGTAGTACTAATACATTGTAATTTTCGTAAACAAAACTGCGTTGAAAATATTCAATAGTAAAATAAATACTTTACATTGTATTAATCTTAAGTTAAGAAATAGATCTATCAAATAAAAGCGAAGGAAGCATTTTTAATTGAAGAATTTAACGATCAATCTTCATCAACTGAATTTAGTGCCAGTTCGTGCTGATTATTTTATCCGTTTATTCCATTTAACTTCAAAACGTGTTCTCTCATCGCTTTAGAATGTACTGAAATTACATTGAACGTTATTCGGTTAATACGTTGGAAAAAGAAGAAGAAAAAAAAAACGAACGTAATAACATAATTATCACCTTTAACACGTTCACTTTCACGCGATTCCCAAATGGTTAACTACTTGCACCGATGTAGTTATCACATCATTAATGTTAATTATAATTAACATTATATCTCTTAAATTCTACTTCAAATATATGAATACAAGTAACTTATTTTTTAATATACTTTTACAACTACGAATTTGATTGTCGTAATTATTTACATGTAGGCTGACACAAAACATCCCTAGCTAATCCAAATTGACATAATCTAACATAATTTAATGACCTAACCCTACTTTTTTCTCGATTTTACAGACGTCAAAGTAATTACAAGTAACTTATTTTGTTATCTAATTTGTATATATTTTTTAATATACTTTTACAACTACGAATTTGATTGTCCTAATTATTTACATTTAGGCTGACACAAAACATCCCTAGCTAATCCAAATTGACATAATCTAACCTAATTTAATGACCTAACCCTACTTTTTTCTCGATTTGACAGACGTCAAAGTAATTACAAGTAACTTATTTTGTTATCTAATTTGTATATTTTTTTTTGATATACTTTTACAACTACGAATTTAATTTTCGTAATTATTTACATTTAGGCTGACACAAAACATCCCTAGCTAATCCAAATTGACATAATCCAACCTAATTTAATGACCTAACCCTACTTTTTTCTCGATTTGACAGACATCAAAGTAATTACAAGTAACTTATTTTGTTATCTAATTTGTATATTTTTTTGATATACTTTTACAACTACGAATTTGATTGTCGTAATTATTTACATTTAGGCTGACACAAAACATCCCTAGCTAATCCAAAATGACATAATCTAACGTAATTTAATGACCTAACCCTACTTTTTCTCGATTTGACAGACGTCACAGTAATTACAAGTAACTTATTTTGTTATTTAATTTGTATATTTTTTTTGATATACTTTTACAACTAGGAATTAAATTTTCGTAATTATTTACATTTAGGCTGACACAAAACATCCCTAGGTAATCCAAATTGACATAATCTAACCTAATTTAATGTCCTAACCCTACTTTTTTCTCGATTTGACAGACGTCAAGAAAAACGAACTGCTCAAAACAATTCGAAGAATCAATGCGTACTTATTTAAGTGAATCAATCGTCGCTAGGGAGTTAATAGGAAAAAAATATGCACGTAAAGAGTAATAATATAAACAGAATCGTTACGGCGAAAAAGATGCAGGCATGACGACACTTTCAGCGTTCGTAATTTAAATACATTAAGGATGATGACACAAAACAATAAAAGTTTGTTAGTAATAAAGCAACGTGCACGAAAGCAAACGGCAGCGTCTTGTTGACATCCTCGAATAAACAATTATGCAGAATTGGCCGGATGGAAATGACCACTTTGGGGCCGCGCGTAATTTTCTCGAGTGCGAAAAACCTGTAAGGATGAGCGGGAAGGCCTGAATTCAGCGGCTCATGAATTACGAAACGTGACTGCAAGGGGGGAATAGAGAAATAAGAATTGCAGTTTAACAAATTGAAATTGTAACTTGTTTAAGAGACTTGTCTTAAGAAAAAGTATAGTAATGTTAAGAGACAAGAGCAGAGTTGAAGCTGAATTGTAATTAAAATTTGCATTATATAAATTTGATTAACATTAGAATTAAATTACGTACATTTACGAACAATTGTGTAAATTATTTAATTTATTATAAATGAGTCGCATAATTAACAATTAAACACATTTTACGGTTTTAAAATGAACACAATAAAAATAATGATCAAAACAGAAAAATAATGTTCACCAAATATCAGGGCCGGCTCTAACGAATAGACTAGCTCTGCCAAATGTATGAAACTAACTTCACGCGATAATACTGCCAAAATAAATATTTAATTTGACATAACCATCGTCTTAATCAATACATAAAAAAATAGAAATATTCATAACTTACTACTTCTAAAGATCTACACTATAAATGAAAATACATTGTTACATTAAGGCAGAAAGACCTATCTATTGTCCTTTGCAGCAGTTTACTTTTTGTCTTATTATTATTGAATAAATGTTCATTTTTTTATTGTTGCAATAAATTTTATTATTGTTTCATTATGTGGAGAGGAGAAAGAGACATTATTTCTATTTAATACAGAAGTATTTTTTTTTATTAAAATCTTCAAATCTCCAAAAAAGGTAATTTAAACTGTATTGAAAATTAGTTTGTAAAACGTATACAAAATAATAATAATATTGATAGACATGCTTTGTTGCATATATATTTACATACGCTTAAATGACAGTTGATTGAAGTCTTTCCGTATTTAACAAAATATGGGTGTAATACAAATTAATTACATAAAATTTGTACATGACAATTATCGAAATTTGACACATTATATTTGACATTACGTCAATTTGACAGATCGAATTTCATTAATTTGAATCATATGTTCATTTAATAAAAATGTATTTATTTCACGAGAATTCAATATTTTATGTAAAGAATCTAAAATGAGTAGTTTTTTTCTAAATTACTTTTTGTAAGTTCAAATTTAAATTATTTGTAAAGAGATTAAATGTAATTAAACTGATGAAAATATATGTATAATAAAGGGTGTCCCAAAATTTACGTAAGATTTGAATTAAATAGAAAACACAGTTTTTAGTCAAATTGTTTATTTTTTGGGATTTCCAACACTTTACTGCACAAATCTTGCGTTAATTTTGGGACATCTTTTATTATAAAATGCAAAAAAACAGAAGATTTTTTTTACATAAAATGAATACTTAATTCAAATATCTCCGTTTGTTTGATTGCAGTGATAAACTATCTAAATTATTTTGATTAATTGTATTTCCGAGAAATATTAGTAAGATAAATTGAAATATAATTAACAAATAGAACTTTTCTTAATAAATTAGTTACTATAAATATTTCTAAGTATATTCCACGTAAGAATAATTCAATTGAATTTGTTAGAAATGTATTTTTTTTATGCCAAACATTAACAAAAATAATTAAATTAGAATTTTTAACAAAAACTTTTAAAATTATTTAACATAAACGTTTTACCTATTGATAGTGATTAACTTTTTGTTATTTTTTTTTTAATAAATATCTTCTAAACTTCTAATTTGTATTGACAATTTTACAAGTTAACATCAAAATATGTTAAATAGATGTGATATATTACTTTTAGTGATGATATTCGTATGCGTTTGCGTGGATTTGTGTATGTATAACATCGTAAAGTAAATAATACCGTGATATCAGCTACCTAACAAGGAAATGCTCCTATTTATTTCGATAAATTAGTACATTATAAATAAGTAAACATGTATGCAGAGCGCGGATTTCACGGAAGTCATTGTTTGCCTCCTCAATATAATAATCTCAGTCGAGGAATCAAGTTGAAAAGAGCGCCAGTCTCCAAACGAAACCCAGAAGAGAACGATACACACTATAAACAGTATTTCCATACAACATAAGTAAGTCAATTAAACCGAATTATTTTTTTTTAATCTTTACTGATTTTGATGTTATTTGAGAGATATTTACAAAATTAAGTGAATTAGTTTCAATGTGATTTATATTGTTGAAGTAATTGTTTTAGTTTTTATCTTTCTATTGGTGAGAAGAGAATTTTATGTAATTGGAGAGATATGTCATTAATTTGATAACTCCGAAACAAAATTAAGTGATTTAAAATAGTTGAAATGCGATAGAAGTAAGTAAATTACAATATGAAAAACATTCAGTTTCAATGTGATTTTTTTTGTTTGTAATGTCCGAGAATGTATTTTTCTTCATTTGTTTTTATTTTTAGGAAGAGATTTTAATGCGATTGGTGAGACAGCGATGATTCGATCGTTAACAACTGTGAACTAGATTAAATTTCTTCTGCGGACAAATTCGATTAGAATGTAAATGCATCGCATGCAACGCGATATTTATTATTGATTTTCAAACGCAGATAGGAATTAATTGAATTGAAGGATGAATCATTATTTTAATCGGCTATCTGGACCGTGACAACTTCCACGTTACTAACAATGCACACAAAAAAAACAACAATGAATTAAAAGTAGAAATAAAATTACAACAACAACAACAAAACAAAAAATACGGCGCAAAACACACGTAACGTTATAATCAGTGGTTCTTTGTTTGTTCCTCTAGGATGGAAGCTCGTCGGAGGAAAACTGGCGTGTATAGGATGGAGTCGACGGATCAGATCGTCTTCGAGAACAACCGATTTCTGAGCACTCTAGTTATTGGAAAAAGGTACTTACACAAAGTGGACGATGCATCGCTGATGTATATATTAAATATATATTTATATATTCTATCAACTCTCGAAGCGGGAAGAACTGTGATGTTCATCCGAAGCTTCAACCATTTATATATATACCTGAGGGATCGAGTCCCTATTGCAAACACAGAAATTAATAAATATTTTGAGATAGAATTATCGTGGCTCATGATTATTTGCATAAATTACGCGCGTAATTGCGTTCGCGATAAAATCTTGCTTATTGCGAAAAAGGGATGAACTTGCATCGAAATACAGCGAGATGGTGATATTTGTATGCAAACAAAACTTCATCCTGGTTAAATAAATCTCAATCGAAAAAGCAAATCGCGACTCGCAATAAGCGTTATTTCGTTTTTAATTAGAAAACGTTATCAAACACTTTTTAATACAATAATTTGACACAGATTTTTTTTTTTTGTTTTCAACAAATATTACATTTTTTTGTAGATAATAATTTAATACTTTTCTTACATTTCCTCATATTCTACAAATTTTCTAAATTTCAATTTTTTTGTAATTTTGAGTAATATTTATAATTATTAGACTTGAACAGCTAAAGAAATTCTGTATTTTAATTAAAATTGGAATTTTCGATTCAGTTCTTTTCTTAACAAATCACATTTCAATTATAAAAATAACAATAGTAAATTTAGTTAATTTTTAAATTTATGAGGATGAACATTATATAACTTAAAGGTTATATTTTCTCTTACTTCACAAATTTTCAAACTGTCATTATTATACGAGAACTGTCAATGAAATTATTACATAATTTACATTTCTATTGATACATTTTTTCTGTTGTAAGTTTTAAATTATAAGTTTACATAATTTTGAGTAATATACTAATTTTTAACAGATCTGTACTTTGGTTAAAATAATTAATCCAATTCTAATTTCAGTTTTAGTTATTTTCTTAGAAAATCACAGTTCAATTAAGAAAATAACAATAGTAAATTCAGTTAAAAGTTAACCATACACATACAGGATACACATTATATACAATTTTCAGTAACATTTTTTTCTTAGTTCAAAATTTTTATATGAGAACTGTCAATGAAATTATTATATAATTTTCTTTTCTATTAATACAATTTTTCCTATTGCAAGTTATAACTTATAAGTTTTTATAATTTTGAGTAATATTTATAAATATTAATCTTGAATAGCTAAAGAAATTCTGAATTTTAATTAAAATAATTTAACTAATTGTTATTTGAGTTTCAGTTATTTTCTGAATAAATCACAGTTCAATTATATTAAAAAAACAATAGTAAATTCAGCTAAATCATTTAATTCATTTAATGTTTCAGTAACATTTTTTCTCACTTCAAAAAAATTCAAAATGTCAATGAAATTATTACATAATTTACGTTTCTATTGCTAATTTAGTTCTAACTTTTTATATATTTTTTGAATAATATAGAAATTTCAAATGTAAATATCTTGATTTCCTACTGACACACTTCTGTATATATGGTTGCATACATGACACATCACATTTTCAAAATAATTGCCATCTCAGGAAAAATAATAAAAATTCCATATGTTTTTCATGGTAAATACAAATATATTTATTATTCATTTTTATCAAAATATGGGCTTAAAGATTTAAAAAAAAAATACTAAAATTCTAATTATAGTCTACCACATAGTTGAAACTAACAAATAATTATTACTAATAATTAATCAATAACTAAGCAATTTCATGAATAGTTTAATGTTGAGTAAGTATAGTATACTAAACAAACATATGTAATATGTATATTTGAAATCTTATTCTTAAATACTATATACACATATAGACGATAGTTACACAATCGAAAGCGAATAAGATAAGTGTGAATAAAAAAAATGAACGAACTTGAGATATCCCTTCCACCAAAATTGCTTTCTTTTGTATTTTTATCCTTGCTGTAATTAACACTTCTTCGCTATTTAATATCATCAATCTGCTGTTAATACTTGTATTAGGTAAGCCCACATTTATCCAAATTTTATTTCATTAAATTTTATCACAGTCAAAATTTAGTTTTTGATTAATTAGTTTATTATTATATTAATTTAACTAAATTTATTTATAAGCTTGTTTTTAAATATTTCTACTATAATTTGCTTTTTGTAAATATTAGACGATTTTTAACAAGTAAACAAAGTATTTCGATTGATAGATTCAGTACAAGTAAAATAATGTTTAGAACTAATTTTTGGAAATTCTCAAAATTATATTTTAAATTTAAAATATGTCTAATGTTCAAATATCCTCGTGATTAATTTGTATTGAAGGTCATATACTTTTTTTGTACAGTTAATTATTAATATATGTATAAAGGTTCCTATTCCAAAATCAAATCTATTTCTATGTATGTTATCTTATCGCTTGTATCGAGGAAAGCTATAGTTTAATTAAATTAATTGTTTGATTGTGTGATCGGGGAATCCCCAGCTAGTTGACAGTTCGTGCTAAATATGTTTCTGGTAGTTATGAAATACATAAATAATTTAATAGCTGCAATTTTGGAGATGACGGCAAGTGTGAATTATATATTAAAAATGTATTCTCGTTTTCCAGGAAAATATCCGATGAGGTGTTTCCGCCTGGAAGCCACGGCATTTTCCGACAAAAATCGATTGGTTCGTGCGAGAGCCATCTATCGCTAAGTGGTTACGCAAGAGCCGCCAGACAGTCAATCGGTAATATAGGAAACATTCTGTCTCGCAAAATGGCTGCTTCAACATCACAGAGTTTGCAGCCGTGGGGAAATACCAAGGATGATTACGAGTTGGGAAAGATTATCGGTATGTAAATTGTTTTATTTAATTACTGCACGCGTTTGCCATAATCGCACGCAAAATTCGGTTCCGGTCAGGTCCAATTGTTAGCAGAAAAGCGGCATTAAAGTCCACTTTCTAGGTTAGAATTCGGTTTCGTCAATATTTTTAAATATAATTGTAGAACTTTTTAATCGCATTTTTCATTCGTCGCACTGATAAGATTAGGTACGTGCGTACGTGACGCAAAGTGGTCAGATTAAAGAGGTGCCCCGTTTTGGAACGCTGTTTGAACTTCATTCACTCTCTCCCTATTTGATTTCTACATGATCTTATATGGGGGGTTCTGCCCATAAACATGAAGCGAAAACTGGTCTTGTAAATTTTAATGCATCTGTGAAATACATTGCGTTCACTTGAGAAATGATGCAGTGCAGCACATTAATTATTTATATGTTTATGATTTCAAACTGCAGCCATCATTGCATTTTCATTTAAGTTTCCACTTTATGTGCAAGAGGAAAATGATCATTTTCTCTTTAAGTGCAGTTCATCAGCTGCAGACGTTTAAAAATAAATTAAAGTAAATATATATAATTCACTGTACATGACATCTAGACAGTAGATAAATATAGTTGGATAAAATTGACTCAATTTATATATAGATGCAAATGAAAGAGATTATACTCGTGAAAGATAAACGCACTTTGATAGGCAGATGAATGATTTCTCGTTTTATTTATATATTATATTCGCTTTTAATTAATCCGATATTCATGTTACATTAAAAAAATATATATCTGTATTTACTTGCTTTGCTCTCGCAACGCACGGTTTACGAGAAAACATTGATTAATTTATTTACACTGTTAATTAAAGATTCATTTATGGACGTGACCTGGATCTGATTGGGTCAATTCACTGTTTCGTTTGGCTTTCCTTATGGATTTGTTTACACTGCAATTAGGTTCATTGACATACGCTGGGCGTTCCGCACTTTCTTGCGATGCAAGCCCGTAATTGGGCACAATTTCTATTTTCGAATTCCTCTTTTAGGCGTCGGTGCAACAGCTGTTGTGCACGAAGCGTTCTGTAAATCCAGGAACGAGAAATGCGCCATAAAGAAGATAAACCTGGAGAAATGGAACACGTCGATGGACGAGCTGCTGAAGGAGATCCAGGCGATGTCCAGCTGCAACCACGAGAATGTGGTCACGTATTACACGAGCTTCGTCGTCAGAGAAGAATTATGGCTGGTGCTCAGATTATTGGAAGGTTGTTCATTGTTGAAACATTGTCGAGACTATTAAATATTTACACGTATTTATAAATTGTAGGAGGAAGTCTCTTGGATATTATCAAGCATAAAATCAGGGCTTCTAATTGCAAGCACGGAGTGTTTGACGAAGCCACCATTGCCACCGTATTGAGGGAAGTTTTAAAGGGTTTAGAGTACTTTCACAATAACGGACAGATCCACAGGTATTTAAACAATATGAAAATGACTTTAATCGTAAACTTATATCGATTCTCTTGGATCTTACAGAGATATTAAAGCTGGAAACATTTTATTGGGAGAAGATGGGACGGTGCAGATTGCAGACTTCGGAGTGTCCTCGTGGTTGGCGACGGGGCGAGATTTGTCACGACAAAAGGTTCGACACACTTTCGTCGGCACACCATGCTGGATGGCACCTGAAGTTATGGAACAAGTGAGTATTGCAAATATTTATGCTGAAGCGTATAACAGGCGCGGTAAGCCAACAAAAATATTTAATCATATAACTTCGCGATTTCAGTTTATAATTCTTTGATCTGCGAAGAAAATAAATATTAATTAGAGGCCAATCCATGTGATCTAAAAATATAATACACATAGGCGTCAGTATTAAATTTAGTAAACTTGGCGCTGTGCTAACGCAACTAATTAATTTTACAAACACCATTTATTAACGACTTGTGCAAATATATTATACGATCTTTATCATCGTATTGCTGGAGATATATTTTTTTCTATATTTCAAGGGCACCGTTACATTTGATCATTAACGAATACTTTTTGTTATAAAAGCAATTGAATTACATTATTGAAATTATATTAAAACTAACACGGTTTGTTATTTGCTTTAATATTGAATAACAAACGAATCATATTCATGTTTTTTTTTTGTACACATGAGCGGTATGATTACGTATCTCATTTCATACTAAACACGAATTACAAACAATATATATATATAACTAATTATTGGACCAAAATCACCTTGAAGAAACTCTACAAGGTATATTTGTAATATTAAAGTAGTCGTTACCTAATACGTGAGAATACGTCGGTTTTAATTTTTGCAGTTTCTAATATTTTAAATGTTTATATCAGAATCAAGTAAATGATTTACTTCATTGCATTTAGTTTGAATTTAATATTTAGTTTTTAAAATATGATTTTGTAGGACCATGGATATGACTTTAAAGCTGACATCTGGTCGTTCGGTATAACGGCTATTGAGATGGCAACGAGTACTGCCCCATACCATAAATATCCGCCAATGAAAGTACTCATGTTGACATTGCAAAATGATCCACCAAATTTGGATACTGGAGCAGAAGAGAAGGACCAATACAAGGTAATGAGTATAATTTCGAGATGATCGAAAGCGTGTCAGGCTAATAGCATTTGTGTTTCAGGCATATGGCAAAACATTCAGAAAAATGATTACTGATTGCTTGCAAAAGGAGCCTTCGAAACGCCCAACGGCTTCGGAGTTACTCAAACATCCATTCTTTAAAAAGGCCAAGGATAAAAAGTACTTGCAAACCACCCTCGTTGCAATTGGTCCAAGTTTAGAAATTAGGGTACAAAAGGTAGGATCGTTGTTTATTATAATGATTTGCGGATTTGGTTAACGTATATTATTATTGCAGGCGAGCAAGAGGCAACCGGGAGCCAGCGGCAGGCTGCACAGGAAAGAAACCGGTGAATGGGTTTGGTCCAGCGAAGATGAGGATGGCGGAAGCGGTGGTAGCGGAAGTGACAGTGATATACCGGATTCGAGGCCGATGAATACTCTTGCAGCATCCCAAGGATCAGACTCTGAGCACGACGAGAGTAGCGAAAGCGAATCGCCCCCGGTTAACCTTGTCCTTCGAATGAGGTAAGCATTTCGATTCATCTAATTGTTCTAAACACAGTTGTATTCAATAATTACTATGTTGCAGGAACGCGAAACGTGAATTGAATGACATAAGATTCGAGTTTGCCGTCGGCAAAGATTCGTCAGAGGGTATTGCAAGTGAATTGGTTGGTGCAGGTTTGGTGGATAGCAGAGATATTCACGCAATAACTACGAATCTTCAGAAACTGATAGATACGAGGGAAGCGAGCAAAGTCGTCACTTTCCCACTGGTAATTACTACAAAAGAACTATTTGCAGAACGAGTTATTAATGTGATGGGATTGTGTTTCAGATGTCTGGTTGCAGTACAAATGAACAGCCGGATGACAAGGCTCTGATCGGTTTTGCCCAAATCTCAATAACAGACTGAATAATATATCTAACCATATCTTATGCCTTAAACGTGTATGTTAGTTATATAATGCAATTCGCTTACGCGAACTACAGAGGAAATGCCGAACATGTTACATGCATACACAAATACTGGAAGGGAATTGTTTGTTTAGATTTATTTAGCAGAATATAATGCACTCCGTACTTAAATCATGTAAAAAAAAAAGAAAAATCATCCTTAGGTCATTAGTATTTCTTTATATATATTTTTTTCTTTTTTTTGTTAGTATCTATAAGGGGTTATAAGTAATTGTGATTCTGACTATGCGTAAACCGATTGACAATAATCTATTATATATGTATGGTTCATTTATCCAATGACTATCGGTAATGTTATACTATAAACTAAATGATACGTCACGCGGTAAGAAGGAAAAGAAGAAAGCAACTACTGAATTGTTTTAAAATTTATATGTATTTTGATGGACCCCTTTGATGATTTATTTTAAATTTTATCGATTCCAGACATATAATTGTTCTTTTTTTAATTTAGTCATAGTCAATTAAGAGATAATAATGGACTGTAGATTCGACCATATTGCCTTTACAGTAGAACTGACATTAAAATATAACTACTTTGATATATGTAAATGAGAAATTGTTAAAATTAATTTAGGTCAACGAATTGTATTTGTTTATTACTGTAATATTAATTAAACATGATGCGAGATGACCTCAATATAGTAGGAATAACTAACATAACAATAAGAGGAAAACGAATTGGACGGTGTTGACTTCTACGCTTGGTTTATTAGTTTAGTGTCTGCTACATAATTTTGCTTATCTTTTGTCATGTTGGTTGTTCAAACAAAAAGAGATTCGAAACAATAATTACTGATAGGAGAATCCGAATCGGTCGTATTTATTATATTATATATGAATTTGCGCTTTAGTGTACAGACAAAATGAAGTACTCGTCGACATAGCATAATGGTTAACATTTAAATCCGGGATCGAATCGATCGTGGAAATGTCTCCCACTATCTGCGTTTTACCCACTTTAGCTTCATTTTGGCCTATAACTAAATCTGTCTTAATTAGTGATATTTGTATAATCCACTTGCAATAGTGATTTTCATGCTGGCAAACCACGCCAATTGATCCTATATTTATAATTTAATTGAAATTATATAATTGGTCTGTATATACAATATTTATTTATTTCCATGGTACTGTAGATGCAAAAAAAATATATAATTTTCAAATACTGCATATCTTTGTTTCATTCATCTGATTTCCACACAATTATATTAAAAGAAAAAGATGGGAAATTATAATTTGGAGTGCCCCAAGGAAGTGCACTTGGTCTGTCCATAAATCGGAAATACCAATATGTTAAACTTTGAATTTAAAATGATTACGCCTTACATTGACAATGATCAAAGATGAGTCATAACTGACTTAATAAGCTTTATCTTTAAAACATAATTTGTTGATATATACTATACAATATTTATATAATTATAAATATTGTAAAATTTTGAAACATTCAATCTCGGAAAGTATAAAATACAACTTAATCCTTTAATTATTATATACATTTTTTTTATTATATTAAATTGATATATTTTCAACAAATCGCAACATTTATTAATAGATAAATTGCCAAAAATATTACAGAAAAATGCAACATGGTGCAATAAAAACTGCATATATATGAAGCGTATGTTATAACCTTTGTATTGTTGGTATGACTGTTTGACATAAAAATATTTCCAAAACATCTGTAACAGTCTTATTCAGTCTTATTGGATTTATAGTTTTATATAATAAATTCGCAATAATACAAAAGTAGATATAGAATAACAATGGGGGTCCCAAAATTTTTTCGCTACATTAGCGAACGATACCCATGCTTATTAGAAATTGTCAAGGAATATCAGGTAGCTAACCTAAGTTTTTTTTCTGCTATTTATTTATATCAGCAAATCAGGATGTACACAATAATTCAATCTTCTTTCAGATACCTGCCTTTGACAATTTGTATTTGGACATGAATGGTATAATACACATGTGCTCTCATCCAGATGACAATGATCCCCATTTTCGTATCACTGAGGAGAAAATTTTCCAGTCCATATTTCATTATATAGAAATATTGTTCAGCATGATTAAGCCACAGAAAGTATTTTTCATGGCTGTGGACGGTGTTGCTCCCAGAGCTAAAATGAATCAGCAGAGAGGCAGGAGATTTAGGACTGCAAAGGATGCTGAGAAGATGGAGAAAAAGGCACTAGAGAAAGGGGAAACATTACCAACAGAGTCCAGATTTGATTCCAATTGTATTACACCAGGCACTGTGTTTATGGCAAATCTTCAGGAGCAATTGAAATATTTTGTTATTAACAAAATCACTAATGACAACCTGTGGAGGAAGTGCAAGATAATTTTGTCTGGTCCAGAGGTAAATGTTATTTTAGTTTGAAGGGAATGCCAGCAAATTTGGGTGTCTTCATGGTGATGTCTCCTTTTAATATTTCATCATGTTTTATAAAATCTGGGATTACATGTGGATGGTAGTATTTTGTATCATTTCTATCAAATTCCACTAAGGGATCTATGAACCATCCATACTCATGATTTGTAGTGTCTGGCCAATCAAATTTAAATTTGGGACCTAACTCAGTTCTGTATCTGATTTGTTCCATCAAATTCTCGTCTATGTGCGATAACTCGTCACTATCGTGTTTGGAGTAAAACTTTGCAGTAATTGCCTTTTTATTGTAATTGTAACGATACGAATCGTAGATTTTATAGTATTTCTCATCCTTTTCGTAACGTTCTTTCAAGAACTTTTGCTTCAGCACATTCACTTTATCCATTTTACTTGAAATTTTATTTAAATCCTCAAATTCTATATAACTGTCATAAGCATGACAGGTATGCTTATGACATATTACTTACTGTTTTGTTTTAAATTGATTGCTTTAAATTGGAAAATACAATATTTTTACTTTTGATTTTAGACTCCTGGAGAAGGTGAACACAAAATTATGGATTACATTAGGTACATAAGGAGCCAACCGGGCTATGATCCAAATACAAGGCATTGTCTTTACGGCTTAGACGCCGATTTAATTATGTTAGGTTTATGTACACACGAACCGCACTTTTCGTTACTTAGAGAAGAGGTGAATTATTTATGGAATTTATTAAAATTTAGTAATATAATGTATTGTATATGTAGGTGCGATTTGGAAAGAGTTCGAATAGGCGCAAAGATGCTCCTGAGCAGACGACGTTTTTCCTGCTTCATCTTTCATTAATGAGAGAGTACTTAGAATTAGAGTTCAGTCAATTGAAAACCTCGTTGCCTTTTGATTTTAACATTGAAAACATTATTGATGATTGGGTAAGACAATTCTATGAGTTTTCATGGATAAATTTAATATTCAATTTATTTATAGGTATTGATGGGATTTCTAGTTGGAAACGATTTCATACCAAATCTGCCAAATCTTCACATCAATAAAGGCGCATTATCGACGCTCTATACTGCTTACATTAACGTTTTGCCCACCATGGATGGTATTTCTCATTAATTTTGTTTTTTGATGATATCTAACTTGAATATATTGTTTTGTAGGATACATAAATGAGTCGGGCCAATTAAATTTAGAAAGATTTGAGAAGTTTATGGCGGCACTTTGTACTATAGATATGGATCATTTCACAGAACAGTACACAGATTTGAAATTTTTTGAAAGCAAAACAGGGAGAAGACCAAATTTAAAAGAAAGAACTAGTGTAAGGAAAGGTGAATCTACAATTAATCACATTCAAACAATAATTTTTAATTTAGTATAAGCGTAAAGATTTGGAAGCGTGGAAACCCGACGAGGAAGATGAAAGTTTACAGTTCGAGGCAATCGAACCGGAACCGGAGAAACCGGTTAACAAAGATCTGGCTAATATGATCAAAGCTGTCGATGATATGGTGAGATACTGGTAAATGAGCAAATGCAATATTCTATGTTTACTTGTCTATTAGATGCTAGAAGACTCGCCGAACGGTGACACAGAGTTTGAGTTGGAAGAAGAGGATATCACGGAATCGAGTGTAATGTCGGAAGAGGAAGATTTATTTGATATGGAATTTAGGCAGCACAAGGAAGGCTATTACTTAAACAAATTGGCTTACGAAAAAGTCACTCCGTATGCATATTCACTTTTATTTTCTACTTTGATTTTTGTTTAAATTTGTTTATTTTACAGCGATGTCATGAGAAGTCAAGCGGAGGGATATGTTATTGCCGTCCAATGGAATTTAAACTATTATTACAATGGCGTTTGCTCTTGGGGATGGTACTATCCTCATCATTATTCGCCCTTCATATCTGACATCAAAGATTTTAAAGATCTTAAAATAGAATTTGATCTTGGCAAACCGTTTCAACCGTACGAACAGGTAATTTATTATTATCTAATAAATGTTCGTTTTTAATTGACATACTTGCTTTAGCTGTTAGCTGTACTACCATCTGCGAGCAAAAAACTTCTTCCAGAAAGCTATCATCGTTTAATGGTAGATACAGAATCCGATATAAAACACTATTATCCGGAAGATTTTGCCACTGACTTGAATGGTAAAAAACAAGACTGGGAGGCTGTAGTACTTATACCTTTCATTGAGGAAGACGTATTATTAAAGGCTATGGATCCGTGTAATAAGTTGTTAAGTGAACAAGAAATTAAGCGCAATACGCATGGTCCTATGTTGGTATTCGAGTATTCTCAATCTGACAATGGATCTTACGAAGCTCCGGAATATTTTCCAGTTATTATGAATCATCACGCATCTTGGAATTTATTAACCATTAATGATATTCGCGTGCCCAAAGAGAAATTAATCAAGGGAGCCTATCCTGGCGCCAAAATGGATGTATACTATCCAGGATTTCCGACACTGAAACATTTGAAATATTTTGTGAGTACCACGTTTATCTCGAAATCATTTCCATTATAAAATCGTTGCTTTTAGGGCAACTTGAGTAAAGCTAAAGTTAAGGTATTCGAGCAAAACAGCAGGGAGGAGAATATGGTAATTAAATTGGAGAACGAAATAACTGATTCCATTGATGTAGTTGCTGAAGAATTGCTGGGAAAAATAGTATTTGTAGGATGGCCACATTTGGTTGAAGCTAAGTGAGTTTTTGATAATGTTTTATTTATTTTCTCTTGCTACTTTGTACATTTTCAGGGTTGTAGCAGTATCTAACAAAGAGGCTAAATACAAGGCGAGCGATCTTCCTGGAAAATTTATAATCGAGCAACTTAATGGAAACATAGCCCAAAATTGGCAAGTCGACAAAAGTACTATAGTGGATCAGTAAGAACATCTAGTTTAATATTTTGTGTTTTTACTAATTCACCGTATCTTTGCAGTTATATGTACCGTTTAGGCATAAACGTGGGTAAAACTGATATTTTAGTCCATGTTACTGAAATGATCGGTAGACAATACGTTTTCACGAAAATTGGTCGTGTCAATGTTGAAAAGAAGTTTTCAACAAAGTGGTCGGTCTTTCCTTTACAAACTGTAATTAAAGATATATCAGTGCACGATGAATGCAACTCGACGTACGTTAATATAGACGATGTCTTCCCCATAGATTCGACATGCTTCATGATTGGTCAACAATACTATGGATCTATTGCAACGGTAAGTAGCAATTCCTGTGATAATATTTAACTTTACTTATTTCGCACGTAAATAATTTATAGGTCAAAAATAGTCAGGAATGTATAGGAAAAGGCAGAATAAAAATTTCGCTAAAAGCTACCAACGAACCTAACTTTAACAAAGCGTTGTCATTGGAAAAAAATATTAATGTTAAATACATGCCATTTTATACTGCCGCTAACAGAGTAGGTAATTTAACAGTCAAACGCCCAAGTTTTTAAAATATGCAAATATTCACGTCCGTTATTTTTTTTTTGCTTAGGTATTTCCAAATATCTGTTCACAAGAATCACTGGTACATTATTTGTGATTATGGGCTCTAAGAATTCTTGGTCGAAGGACGATGTGAGTAAAATCAATATTGGGCTTAATTTGAAGTTCAATAAGAAAAACGAAGAGGTTCCTGGCTATACGAAGAAGGAAAATACTTGGCTGTATTCTAATAAGGCCGTGGATCTAGTTAGAGAGTATACGCAAAAGTATCCGAAACTGTTTAAATTTTTGGCTGGCCATCCGAATGACGATGTCTACTTTGAAGCCGATCTATTCCCGGAGGATAAGGCGTAATGCATTTTCATAAATTTAATATTGCTTTATATTATTAATATTATTTGTTTATAGGACTGGTGCTACGGTTAAAGAAATCGCTGCATGGCTCAAGAAGCAGCACTACTATTCCATTGATCATAAAATATGCGGCAGTAGAACTCTGGAACCTGAAGTTGTTAAAGAGTTAGAGAAGATTGTCGACAAGTTTGTGGAGAAAGTGTATGAGGAAAAGAATATCCTGATGCAAGTCAAGCCGCATTTGTTATACAAGGTAAGTGTTTTAGTATTTTTTTCTAACCCTAAGTATAAACAACATCTCAGCGACTTATTCGAAATCGAACAAACAGAAAATTTGCGTATTTTTATGTATCCATATTAATACCTATATAAAAGTTAAATATGTTTAATTCATATTTTTCGAAAATGATGTACAGACGTCCCTGAATTTCCGTTACTTTATTTATTTATATTTTCTAGTCTAGTGTTCTTATATTACATAAATACTTTAATTTTCAATATTAATACAAATAGACTACTTAGCAATAAATAGTTCTATTTAAAATACCAAACAATGAATATAATATATTTATAATTTATTATACAGTGGCACAGGATGATAATTAATGACATTATGTATTATGAATTTCTCTGGTATATAGTTCTTGTCTATAGTTAAACTCTTCGCCTGGTGTTTCGTTGTTAAAAAAGTCTCGATCTTTCCGTATATCTGGATTCTTGTTACCCCAATCCGAGCAAGGCCGCATTAGTTTCTTGAATCCTTGTTCCCTATTCTTCACAATATAAACCAAGAAGTAAACAACCATCAAGAGCAGAATAGCAATAAGCAACAGGATGTGAACTATTGACATCCATATGGGTGGATTATATGCCACATAAGAGGTGATCCTTCTATACACGAATATCGCGCCGAGACATAGTAAATCGAAATACCAAATGTACCTTACGTAATCTGTCTTTTGGTTTAGCATGAAGTGTATGTCTTTGCAAAAGGTCGACGTTCCGTAGATGCAAAACACTGCGTAAAATTGTATAAGCGCCATCATTAAAACCAACTGATCTCTACAGATTTCCTCCAAGAATACAAACAAGGTACTTCCCAAATTCGTGTAGTAAATGAAATTCAGAAAGAATATAGTTACACAGATGAATGCAACGGATGTCTTTGGGTAAATCGCAGAAATCTTCCATTCCTCATTCAAATTTTCTAGCAACACCAAAACGATGAGCATTATAAACCGCAAACCAATTAGCAGTAGCATCGCGAAGTATAAGCAATTCCAAATGTGCGGATAGAACGGCCATCTCAGGAACGCCATTGGGATTTTGACGAAGAGCAGCGACGATTTGTGCTCGAACAACAGGTTCGCGTCGATATTCTCCCAAATGCAGTATCCGGAGAATGTTAAGTAAACGAAAAGCACGAAGAATACGTCTCTGGCGTTAGCAAACAGCGGCACAAACGTCGATACTTTGAATACGTTGTTGCGAAAGTTACTGTGCGATGAGATCGTTATCAAACCGCCCATTCCGATGCCCATGGAGTATAGATTTAAGCCAAACATTTCGAACCATAAGTTGTAATCTAAGAGCATTTCCAGTTTCGGCGTTAGGAACTTGCATAAGCCTTTCAGAGTGCCAGGGTAGAACATGGATGTAAACAGGAGCACATTCAAAAGCAGGAATGGAATGAACGTGAGGAAGTTGAGTAATCTTTGTATCGATGTCAATATTTTCGAGCAGCATACAAATACTGCAACAATTACGACGGCCGAGCATATTAGCAGATATATGTTCATCTGTTCGAAGCCATCTGATCCTTGCTTCAGTATCACCACGTTGTAGTAATGTTGCACGTTATTCTCGTAATCCGTGCAGTTTGAATAGGAATCAAAATTTTTCATGGTCGTCAAATTGAAACATTTCTGGGTCGCCCAAGACCCGCACGAGCTCCATGGTATTTCCTTGCTCATTGATTTAATTAGATACAATAGTACTTGAGACGTGATGTATGTGTTCAAAGTGGCTATGCATACCAAAATTAAACTTGTAGCATAGGCAACACCCTTCCAAGGTGGTACCATTCGCCATATACCCATATTACATCTATTCGTGTATTGTCCAATGCTTAGCTCTGCAAATACTAAAGGTATTGTAATTATTATATTTGTGAGCAGAAGTGGAAGTCCAGCAGCAGAGTTTCCATATTTGTAGAATACATTGGGGAGTGTCCACAGATTTGTTAATCCACAAGTCCAACATATCAATGCCAGACTGTACTCATTTATTGATGCCCATTCTTGAAATTTCACTTTGCGCGCTACTTTATTCATATTTCTTTGAAATTGTAAATTTTGAATGTTACTTTCTATCAATGTCATATCAATCAAGGATTCTTGATTAGTTTTTATAGGAATCATAAAAGGTAATTAGGAGAGAAACTCAATAAGATAATAACACATTATTGCATTTATTTCTTGCCTACAAATGAAATTGGCTGCTAAATAACTAAACGAGCACTGTTGATTGTTATTTTGCCAGTAACTTAATTTTTTTTTCTTTAAATAATACATGGAATGACAAGATCTATCTAATAAGTAAAATGCTTTACAGTATGATAAATTTAAAGGTACTATACATTATAAACAATACTTTATAATTTGTCTTATACACTGAGTGATGATCTGCTGTTGGCCCAGAATTGATGTCCCGAGATGGCCAAGGTTACCACATACAAGCAAGCAGCAATCCAGCAGTTATATGCGTTCTGGGTGTAAGCCACATCCACGTCGTTGTAGAATTCGGCAGGATCCTTGATTTCACCCTCAGGTAGTGGTAGATCTTCAGCCAAAGCCACAGAATGGATATAGTAGAAGACTCCCATAAGGGACAATTGGATGATGCCCCAAATGCTCATGATGAGCCCGCAAAGGGAAAGTTTAGGTCCACACACAGGCATTTTATCACTCCTCTCGGGTTTCCAACAAGAAAACTAGTAACAATATTATAACACACCTTCAATGCTGCAGCAAAATCATATGACTTCTATACTTCTGTCAGATGACAGTCGATTTTGCGATGTTGCCGTACATTCACGTGAATCTTGGCGGGTTTCGTACTTAAATATAAAATACATTTTAGAGAATTAACCGATACAAATATTAATTTTAGCAATATTATTTGTTTAATAATATGGTGGTATAAATATGTGGTATAAAAATGTAAAGCGTTACTAGAAAGTCAATTCAAAATATTCATCTGCGTATGGCAACATTGCAATTGAAGCGCATGATCACTGTATAATTTAATTAGACAGCAACAGGGCCGTATTACTTTTTTTTCTCTTAAATAAATATTGCATATATTTATTATATAATTGTGCTCCGATTAATCAAAATAATCAATACAGTACACATATACGGTTATTGAGCTTTGCATCCTATACGTCTGTAGATCTTAAAGTTACGAGGTATATTATCCACTTGATGTATTGTACTCCACCACCTGTATTGTAATGAAAACAATATTTGATGTTTTCCTCGTAAACAATATCTCAGCATGCTTATGAATGTTGGAAGCTTTATACGTTCTTGTTAAATATTTAATATGTTTATTTCTATTTATCGATCGGAATTATAACCTTTTTTTTGTGTATGCCACCTTATTATCCTTTTTTTCTGCATACTGATCTTTCAATGTTTCGTATATTTATATGTTATTTTAAGAATTATGAAACCACAACATTATGTACATTGCAGCTCGAATTTGTTCTCCATCAATCTCAAAGAATATTTTGGTTGGCTATGGATTTCGTCGAATTATTAAAGATTATGTTGTCATTTGTAATGTATTCTTCTCGATTGTGTTATTTTTGATGTTATTTACCGAAGTTGTTACAATTTTTACAATATGATTTATTTCATGTTGCACACATACACATACGTCTATCAGGTATATTGTATCTGATGAAAATAATTTATTATCCGGTTTCAAGTTTATTTGCATCGATTGGTCTTCGTAAATGCACGTGTGTTTCTTTAATTGCAGCCTGAATTTCAATCGGGCAGCTTGGAGGCAGATCCAACCACGACCTACGAGTTGTACGATCGCGTCGTAAATATAAGGGAGAGTTACACTGTTCCATTGGGTCACACCGGAACTGTGATTGCCATCCATAAACCAAAGTCGGATAAGCCGGAAGATTTCATGTACGATGTCATGTTCGATAAAGCTTTTGCTGGAGGAATGGCTTTGAACTGTTCCTCGAATAGAGGGTATCGTATGTCGAGGACTGCACTCATCAATAAGTCCCACGGTATGCGATACTTTGACGACAACTCCGGAAATAATTCAGGTAATTACAAACTGTTTTCCAAATGTAAATGCATATTTATACTAGTTTTAATTGACAGGAGTAGGTGTGCACCACCAGCAACATCAGCAGCAAAAGCAGCAAGCCGTTGGTTATCCAACTGGACCCAAGTTTCCGGATGCTTTCAGGTCAATGCAGCCGCAACCTCAACCACCCGTCTCCTATGGTCCTCCACAAAAACCTCAACCACCTGTCTCTTATGGTCCACCACAACCTCAACCACCCGTTTATCAGCCACAGCAACCTCAACCACCCGTTTATCAGCCACAACAACCTCAACCACCCGTCTATCCTCCGCCACCGCAAAACTCTGCATTTGTCAGTTGGAACGGGTATTACCAGCCACCGCTCGTCAACAACTTCATGAACTTTTGCGGAGCACCTCTGATGTTGCCTCCCAAATTCCAGCCGTCACAACAGCAGCAACATCTTAGCCCAATGATAAGACCTACCAGCACCGACACGAAACCGGACAACAAGAACAAGCAAAACGACTTGCAATCGTCCGAGTACTTGAAGAAGATGTTGAAAATAAAGGACAACGACCAGCAATCTGGTCCTAAGATCGATAATCCGTATTCTGTTCCAGATATACATGCTGTAAGTAATGATGCCGTTTTATAATATAATTATGTCATTAATTATTCCCACTTTATAGCAAGTGTCGGCCGCTATGCAGCAGTTGCCGAATATGTCGCATGCGAAACCTGTTGCCAAAAGCTACAGCTTGCAGTTGTTGTCGTATTATCAGTCGAAGGGGCTGGGATGTCCATATTACAAGTACTTCGACACTCCTACCGGAAAGAACTTTGTAGCGCAGCTTGTGCTGCCCTTCAATGGTGAACCAGTTTTCGGGGAAGCGGCTCCGTCGAGGGAACTCGCCTGTGAGAATGTCGCCAAGGCCGTGTTAAACAAGTTAAACAGTGGTGACCAAAGTGCACCGCATGCGGTTAATTTGCCTATGAAGTTTCCAACACCACCAAAGCAATGGTGTGAAACCCAAAACAGGAATTCTACCCACAAATCAGTTACTTACAAAAATCAGGTAATATATTAAAATCTATTATCATTATTCAAATATACAAGCTAGTTAACGGGATATGTTGTTTACAAATTGTTAAGTAAACAAATTGTTAGATATACAAATCATGTATTTCATATTAATCGTTTTATGATTCTTGTGGTTCATGTTTCATAAACTGTTTACCCACAGTTAGTGATTGATATTTGCTACTTCCATAGTATAAACATTTCTTCATGTTTACCATTCCAGTGCATATCATGTATTCAAGACTAAATCAATATATGCTATTTAAGTTTGTGCTACTGTCACGAGCTGCGGTAATGCATACTAGGATATAATACATAGACAGAAACATGCGCAACAATAGTACTATAGATACAGGGTGTCATAAAAGAACCATTATCATTTTATTACGACGCCATATTTTTTTTCTTATTGAGGTTATGTCAGTGTTCATTTGACAACCGTGTTAAGTTGATCATCATCTAATAATCATTATGGAACGTTTAACACTTCAACATCGTGTAATTGTGGTGAAAACCTATTATGAAAATGATTCGTCCGTTGTGCTAACGCAAAGAAAATTACGAGACGTCTTTGGTGCTGACCATGTGCCAAGTAAACCCACTATCCTTCGTATAATTAATAATTTTGAAACACTTTACACTGTCGCTGATCGGCCGAAGAGCGGTCGTCCACGAAGCGCACGATCGAATGAAAATATTGAATCCGTGAAAAGTAGTATCACCGAAAATCCAAATACCTCTGTGAGAAGTCTTTCACAAAAACTTGGTATAAATCGGCACGCCGTGTGGACAATATTGAAAAGTGATTTAGAAATGGTAATTGGGAGTCTATAATTTAAATTCAGCATCTTCATAAATGATTTTTGCAAGTCAAATACTTGGTTGGATGGATCTAAGGTTGCTGATTGAAAATAAGTCATTAAATATTTATATAATAATCAGTACAACTTCATTTAATTAAAGTTCTTTAGAAAGTTTTTTGTAATCTGTCTTCTTGGATTGTTATAGTTATATTTTGTATAAAACAAATTCGTTTGAGCTTATTTATTTCAATTAATATTTATTCCAGACTCGTAATAAGACTGAAGATGCCAAGTGCAACAAGTTTGTGCCGTTGCAGGCTGTGAGGAGACAGCCGAAACCCAGCCATTCGAACGATAATCAGAGTGCGAACAAGAAGGGCGGAAACGATAATCAAAGCGATTCGAGCAATGCCAAAGGTCAGTCACGTCCAGGGAAGAAAGAGAACGCGTCGAATCATCCCGGCAACGATTCGAAACCACGGAGACAGAGGAAGATGCGTATTGCAGCCAACTTCTCCGGACCATCGAATCCTCATCAATCGAATCAATAATACTGATGACAAATAAAATGCAAGAATGAAGCCGCGCTCGACGCACTAACAAATAAAAATAAATTAAGTTTATCAAAATTATATTTTTTAAAAGATTTTATTCGAGGATGTACGCGTATTTGAACACTGTTCAACAATATTTGTTGTTTTTACTGTATGTTTTTTTTTATATATTTAGTTTAACTTTTTGATTATAATTTGCAGAGGTTGTACATTTGTTCAAATTGCTTTTTTAATAAATAAACTGTAGATAGTCTGATTCATGATTAAGCATATATTTTATAATATTAGAAGATGTTTTTGAAAAGTTGATGAGAACGAGTGCGTGTATGAACATATTACAATTTCTCCATTATATTTGTCACACATTACATGTATTCAACGATAATTAAGGATAATAAAAAACAAACAAACAAGTTATTAGAAAAACTCGTGGTGTGTGTTATTAGCTCAATTCAGTTTTAATATTTTCGAGATTAGATTAGGTATAAGATCCGTGCAAATAGATGTGAGGTGAGTGACGGTGATGCGCGACGGTGTTCGACAATCGTTCGGAAGAATTATTGGAAGCATTTTGTGTGGCGAGGAAGCAGTTATTGAACGATGAATGCCAGACGAGTTATAATTGATGTCGATGTGGGCACCGACGATGCAGTGGCCATTCTGCTGTTCCTCGAGGCCGATAAATTGGGAGAAATTAAGATCGAGGCGTTTATCTGCACGAAAGGAAACGCCTCATTGGATAACGTCTGCAGAAATCTGGTCAGACTGTTGGAATATGCCGATCGCACGGACGTGAGTATGCATGTTTACTCATTTAATGTTAAATAATTCAGGTTGATACCATACTATGAATTTCGTATTATCAACTTTCTTTATATAGTAATTTTATATATAATATAACAACATTGTGTTCAATAATATGCACACTAATTCAAGTTACAATATGCAGCTCGATTTAATTACTGTCAAAGTTGACAATGTCACTGTCAACTCTACACGCGTAAAAATACGTAGTGATAGCTGTTTAGGAAATTACAAATAAATGTAAAATATTTCGCAGTTCAATATTGTTGCATAATTATGAATATTAGACAATTTATATTTTTAGTAACCGTAGGAAGTTCAATTATCAGGAAAAGTTTAGCTTAGCCAAACAAACATCAATTTGGGAAAATTGTTTCACATTAATTCAAAACAAAAGGACAGGTAATTTCTTGAGTATTATTTAAAAATTCCAATACATACATTCTAATTATTTTACTTCAAAAAAAAAAATAACATTTTTGTTTTATCTACAAATGGCTTTCACCGAATTTTTGGAAATTTCCCGGCTTCCCGCATATCAAGCGACTCTTCATCCTCCAAAGGAACTGAAATCGAAGCATTCGTAAATTATGCAATAAAAGCTTAGATCAAGTTCAAACTCACTTGGAAATTAACTTTTTCGTTGTACATTTTGGCGAATAACTCCTCTGAATCTCCACCAATCGCCTCGTGCACAGTGCCCTTGTGATTGATGAAATGGCAATTGCTGTCAGCGAAATGAATTGATATCGATTTCCTGAATCCCTGAGAAAACAATATAATTGAATCGAACGTGCGCAGTAATTTGTTATTTCGTATTGCTTCATCTACTTTAATCACTTTCTCAGTAGTTTAGCAAATGTTGTAATTGTTACGGATATTTTACGAACTATACAGACATTGAACAAATTGAAATAATTTATAAGATATGTTAGAAATGTTTACGTTTCATACTTTTGTGGTATTTAAACCGGAGCCGTGCATCAGATGCGGATGGAAGAAAACGGTGTCTCCTTTCTCCATGATAAGATTCACTTTAGGAATGTCGTCGTATCCTTTCAATCCGTAGAACAACATTTTTTTAGCAGGCTAAGATACAAAATAGAAATCATTAATAGAAAAAAAAAACTATCCACCTTTTTTCAAAATAATTTACATCGATATTTTTGTGCTGCAACAATGGACCTTTGTGCGAACCCGGAAGAACGTACAAACATCCATTTTCCACAGTAACTTCTTCCATCGCCGTCCATGCAGCAACGATTTTATCCGCCGGTCTAAAAGGGAAATAGTGCAGATCCTGAAATACAATCAACAACAAATTGAAACGTTATTGTTAAATTGTTAATTACCTGGTGAAGATGATGCGTCGCGTAAAGTTCGGACGTAACCGGAGGTTTGTTGATCACCATCGAGTGGGTAGCTGTCACATTGGGACCAATAAACTTTTTGACTGCCTCCACGAGATTCGGATGCGAAGCGTAATGCTTGTAAAACACGTCATCGTAAACAATCTCTTGGATCTGTAATAGTTAACAGTTTATTAAGGGTTGCCCTAATCTTAGATAATTAATTACCTTATTGAAGAGATATTCAGGTCTCGTCTCGCCTGTGGCTTTCACCTTTATGTCCTTTATGACGCTTACCACAGAGACTTTTCCGTTGCACACATCGAGGAATCGTTGTTTGCAAATATCGAGATCCTCGTCGGGCAGCAGCTTCCTGAAGATGATGTAACCATTTTCCTCATAAAAGTCCCTCTGTTCTGGCGTCAAACCGCAGTCAACTGTGTATCGGTAGTTTCTGAAAATTCGTTTTTTATTTACTCAATCAAATCTAATCGAAGATGACTTACGCGTTCGACATGTCTGCGCATTTGAATGTGAAATGCAATCCTTTCCATTTATATCCAGGCTGAAAAGCTAAAAAAAAACAAACAAATACGTAATAATTTCAACAGAATTTCTTAACGCTGTCCATAAATTTTGCATTATCATTAACTGGAATAAAATAATTCAATGCAAAATTCTGATAAAGTTTTTTTTTTTTTAATTTCGGTCATAATTGCATTTATTTAGCAAAAATATTATTTTTTAAAGTAATACATTTTATCAATGTTGAGTAATTTACTTTTAGTAAATTCGATATATTTCAAATGGATGATATAATTTATATTATAAAGTATTAGGTTTAGCTGCATAATCTTTTCGAGTTTTTTGGGTTGAAATAGTTTATCAGCATTGACTCAAATGTCGATTATTTTTTGTTTTCTTCATTCTTCATTGATTTCAAATTTAAATGTTAATTAACTGATGTAGATCATGTTTCTCGCAGATTTCAGAACCATCTAGAGGTTTATTGAATACCATCGAGTATGTTTTCACGAGTTTAAGATGCGATACTTTGTTCTTGAAAAGAACGTCATCATACAAAATCTCTTGGATTTGCAGATTTTCAGTACCAGTTTATTGAAGGCTTTATAAATCTACTATTTTAGTTTTATTTTGGTGATATATTCAGATCTGGTTTAATTTCTGATTTTTGTATGTGTCTGTATTACTTTCGTAACGAAGACTTTGTAGAAATCACTCTGCACTGACGTCAAACTGTGTATCGGTACACATTGCGTAAAATGCAATGGATTTAATTAGCTGCGATTAAATAATCAAATCACTGTGGTACATACATTTTTTTTCTTTTCCTTTAAATTCAGACTTGATAGCAATTGAAATTACAATTGTATAAGCATTGCAGAATAATTTGTCTTGTATTATGCATGAATTTTATGATTATTAATATTAAATTTAGAAAATCTATGTGGTAGATCTAGAACAAGGATCGGAAAACCGCGGATCCGGAACCGCAAACTGCGAATAGTAATTGTTCATTTGTTGGAATTGATAAAATGAATAATACTCTAATATATGCAACCAAATATACTTTGTACTTACACAAACTTTCAAATTTATTATTTAATTATTACGAGAAAAATATTAACTGATATATATATTCGCAGTTTAATAAACATAATTTCAAGTTGATCTCTCTTTTCGTTTTCAATTTTTATCCAGAACCTTTATAAATTAATTCCTATCATTGTCGTACCAAAGGCAGCGGTTTCCAAACTTTGTCGGTTTCCGGCGTACTTAATATATCAGAATTTTTCAAGTCAAAACATTTGTCTATCTCAGGGCGAACTTTTTGTTTATGGTAGTTTTTCTTTATTTCCAATTTAAAAAAAGCATTGATATATCTATACCTCCTATGTTGTTCAATTTTATTTAATAAATAATGAAAACTCCGGACTTGCTTGTGAAATTGAAATACTTGACTTTTTTACGCAATTAATCACTGCTCTATACTATAGAGCAGGAATGAGCAACCTTTTTAGCAACAAATTAAAAAAAATTCTGCCGGCTACAAATAAGAAATTCAACAACTAAAAATTAAAAATAAATATTAGTGTAGAATGTAAGAAAATTGTAGTAATTGTTCTATAGTAAATATATAAAAACAATAATTTTATAAGTATTTATACGTGCGCCATAAATTTAAGTTTCAGGTAGAAATAGATGCAATCTCATATTTTCTATTACTTTTGTACCCAGATTCCGGTCTTCAGGGGAAGTTTTCATCAGATTTTGCCGCTGCAAAATACGCATTCAGTGTTTCACGGAAACGACGGATTCGGCGATCTAAAATATCAAGAAGAACCGGACCTCAACATAATTAAGAAAGACATAGCCTCAGTGGGTATGCAGAATATTGTGTCGAAGAATCCGGGCGAAATTTCGCTGATTTGCTTAGGACCTTTAACTAATGCGGCGATCACCATGAGGATGTTCGATGATTTTTCTAGGAATCTGAAGGACATGTATATTATGGGTGGCAATATTCACGGTAAATAGGTGCTGCTTTTCAAGTTGAGAGTAAAGAAACATTAATCGTTGCAGGCGTCGGTAACACGACTCAATCGGCGGAATTCAATTTCTTCATAGATCCTGAAGCGGCGAGCATCGTTTTCGATTGCGCTCAGTGTCCAATCTATTTGCTGCCTTGGGAGACTTGCAAATCGTCAACTATAACATTTGTAAGTTTAATCACTGAAAGAGTGAATGTATGTTAAGTTTGTGTTTCAGAAATGGCGTTACGAAGTTTTGGGCAAAATGGGTGGAAAACTGTGGAAACTAATCGACAGTGCAGAGAAATCCGTTTATGGTGAACCGACTAAGCAGGAAATCTGGATGCCGTGCGATGCGTTTTTGGCATTGAGTTTCCTGCATCCGCAGAAAGCCGTAGTTAAGTCGCGAAAAGAGCACGTTTCCATCGAACTTCACGGAAGGAAGACCAGAGGTCAAGCGGTTCTCGATCATTTGAGTCAGAACCAGGCGAATGCAGTTCTCATAGAAGAAGTGAACAATACATTGATGAAAGAGATTCTAATGAGAGCGTGCCAGAATGTATGACCCCTGTATCAACATATGTTTATCAATAAATTACTTTGTTTTATTTTCTTCTTATATTAATATTTAAAATTTACCTCAACTGATATTAATACAATTTTAAAAATGTTTATATAAAAAATGAAATTAAAGTAAAAATTCCTTATGAAAAAGTATCACTCTGACATTTCCTGATTTTAAAGATATGACAAATATTTTGTCAATTTAGATAGCATAATATCACAGAACGAGTAAAAAAAATGTTGGCTAAAAGTAATGAATCCAAATTTTGAAAATAAACCTAGAAAATTAGCAGAAAATTCCTTGTATAAACATTGACAATTTAATAAAATAAAGCATATTTGGGAATCAAATGTAGATAGAAAATATTTAATGTGAAAATCAAGAAAATATTGTTCATGAAAATAATTATCAATAATCTTCTTTATACAAAAGAGATTGCAATATAACTATTTCAAAGATTGATCTTAACCCTTTGAATCTTTTACAGTTGTTAATAGACAATTTGCATTTATTATAAGATAAATGAATTACAGAGTTGACTTTCTAGATCTTATGTTGACCTCTTGATTTTGTCTCTTGTCTGAAATCACTCACAAAGATGGGTTTCTGTTTTCACATCATTCCTGCCACAGCAAATGTACGAATTGATAGAACATACTTCTAGAAGAAACGTTTTTCATATTACAAGAAGAATATTAAAGTATTATAATATGACTACACAGTATATATATAGCCGGTACTTGCAATTATTAGTAGTTGTCTGTGGTTATATAACGGTATTAAACTAAAAAAAAGTAAAAACAATCGACTGAGAAACATGCCCAAATAGAAAATGATGGCTGTTGTCACCTCCAGTATGAAAATTTTAAATAAATATCACAACTAATTTTAGAGAAATGAACGAGAAATCGCTTGAAAAATAAACCTGTTTATACCTTTTAGAATTGATGAAAACTGTTTTCAAATTAGGCCATTTCACTCTCAATGAATAAATAAACACAATGGAAGGTCAAATTGATATATCAAAATAATCTCTGGCAAACGTTCAAAACATTGGATTATCTAAATTAGATTTGAATAATAAGTTTTTCAGTCGACAACGCACCTGACCTTTCTTCTTTTCATTCGAATTAGTCGCGAAAAAAAAATTCGAAGATATCGTCAATTTTTAATAGGGGTTGATAAGTGCTGTTATCAAATGTTGTTCCTTATTAGTCACATGCATGCAAATAATAACAATTATAAATAATGTTTTAAACGACGTATGTAAATTATTTATAAGAAGTTGAACGACGATTGTTTAAAAGTTTGTCGAATAACAATGCATGGATATTTCAAATTTTACGTAAAATTACAACAAAATAAATTCTAGTTATGCCAATTTACTCTAAATTAGTATTTAGCCACGTAACTCGTTGCATTATCTCAATCTCAATATTTTCAATCATTAAAATTACTTACTTTTTTTTGTTCAGCTACAAACAAATATTAACAAAAATTATATTTATATGATAAGGCAAAGTATAAGTACGAATACGATGCTGGAACAATATTAGTTCAAAAATCAATTATGCTGTACAGTATACTTTTCATCACTTCCTTGGTATGTTTACCTGTAGCTTGAATGTTTATTTAAAAAAGTATATCATGATAAAAATATTACATTTTATAATAATAATACATATTGATTTAGCTATTTGAAGTGTATAGCCATATTTATCTATAATTTGCACTTATACAGCGTTTCTCAATCTATGGGTCGCGTTAAATTTTTAATGTATCACGAAGTTGACAGTTGTCATTGTCAACTTACGTCATAGGAACTGTTGACTTAGCTGTCATCGGTACTTTCCAGTCTTATTTTAAACTTAAAACAAATATATATATATTATTGATGTCGACGCATTCAAATTCCATTTGCGGAACAATAGTATACAGGTAATCGTCGTTTTGCGCCGGTTCGATTTACGCCGATTCACAATAACGCCGCTGTGAAATAACACTTATTAATTGCTGATTTTACACTTGTATAGAACTAAACCTCACTGTAAATATTCATTTTACTCCAATTTTATTTGCTTTACCTGTATTTGAATGTTATTACATTAATCCTTTTGTTATATTTTCGTTAATTTGGCAATAAAACTAAAAGCTCTTAAATAACATTTTAAAACAGAATGATATTAATGATAATAATTAATCATTATTTTAAGGAATTATCTTAGTACTTATTATGATTACTTTGCAAGGGTTTAAAACAAAGTTATCTGTAATGTAATGTTTTTACTAGGTTTTGTGCGATGCCGCACTTTCACCAAGAAAGGTAATTGTCGATGTGGATGGAGGTGTTGATGATTACCAAGCTTTGGTCATTCTAATGAACGCCGATAAGCTAAAGATAATTAAAATTGAGGCGATTCTTTGCACGAAGGGAAACACAGAATTGGTGCACGTTGAGAATAATATTCTGAGACTGCTGGAGGCGGCGTCCAGGACCGATGTAAGTAGAATACAGTAATACCCTCAATATCTGATTTTGATTCTCTGCTTAGTTTGTAAAGTTTGTTAATATTAATTTTATGTTCTGAAGAAATTTCATGTTTTTAAGAAAATAGCGAAATTACAGGTAAATTTTGATAAACCTATTGGCTGGTAAAACCGCTTATTTAACCGCTCATTACCGGTGAAGAAGTCGGTCATTTGAATAGTTTAAATAACTCTGGTATTTTTTTTCATTGATGTAAATAATGTAAAATTAACTAAAACTTGCTTAATTTTATTAACTGTCGCAAACAAATCAACCTTTCAAGATATGGTTTCTTTACAATTTCTTTTGATTTCTTCTATAAATTATGCTAAATTTAAATTTTTTTTTTGTATCCAATGTAAGATAAGTTCAATTAATTAAACTGTAAAGTTTCTATTTATTACAAAAGTTCTGATTTTTTAAAAATGTAGACTTCAAATATGTGAATATGGAAATGTCTTGGCGTGTCACCTTTGACACCTGTGTCATATGTTCGCCATCTCACAGAAAGCACACTTTTCAGATTTATCATTGTTATGATCTATATTAGTGTATTATTGTTTGCTATTATTTGAACTAAATCTATATCCTTAAATATGATGAAATAGAAATTATAATAGAAATACATAATTTATATTGAATATGAAATTGCTCAGATTCCAGTATACAGCGGTTCTTACAAACAAATCATGCCAATAGATGGTGGCACGCAGAGGTATTACGGCATTGATGGCTTCGGTGATTTGAAACACGAGAAGCAGCCGAATCGCAAACTCCTGAAGAAAGTGATCTCACCAACGTACGTGTTCGACTTGCTCAAGAAATATCCGAAGCAGATTTCCTTGGTTCTCCTCGGACCGCAAACGAACAACGCAATCGGATTTAGGATCTACAAAGAGTACGCCAAATACCTGAAGGAAATGTACATAATGGGAGGCAACATCCGAAGTACGTCCATTCAATAACTGCTGTTTTCTCTCAACTGATATTATCGTTTCTCTATATTTCAGATACCGAGCCAGAATTCAATATTTTGGTCGACCCCGAAGCTGCAGAAATTGTATTCTCCACCACCGAATGTCCCATCTTCTTGCTTCCATTCGAAACCTGTCAGGAAACAACAATAACTAACGTAAGTATACTAAATTTAAATATATAATATGTTTAATGATATCTTGAGTAAATTTCAATATTATTACTTAATACTAAATTTAGTTATATAAATTATTTAAGCTGGTGTAATTGACTAAGTTTTGCTTGTATACAAACGACAGCTTTAATTTGGTTTTTAATTGGCAAAAATATGTATTCATCTAAACATATACTTGACCGTAATTATACTGTAAATATACGCTTGAATTTCACTAACATATAATTACTAACTATATGTTATGGGCCATGATACAAATATACAAAGCACACGCAAGCGAATATTAATATGTGTGGCATGTAAACATTTGTCAATCTGACATGATTCTACTGTCAAATTGACAAACATCATACGCGAAAATTAAACGTTTGTCAGACTGTGAAAGGTTCACCTGTGTTTCCATGACAAAATAAACATTTTAAAACAAAACAGTAACGATATCACGTAATACGTTGCTTAATTTTTGGTTATATACCATTGATAACACTCCGAAAATATAATTTAAAAATCAATGAGTAAATAATATTTATCGCTATATTTAGCTTGAGATTACATGTTTTGTTACTAGGTAATATCGAAAAGAAACAAAATAAAATTATCAAAAGAATTTTAAATTTTGAATTATTTGCATAATATTTATCTTCTAAATATGAATATTCAGAAATATCAACTTTTAGACTTTAACTTTTAGAGACAATCATTTTTCATGTTAAAAATAAAACGAATTGTAACTTAATCTAATGTATTATGTTTTCTCTTCAGGGCGAATTGTTGAACATGACTGATATTATATCGAATCCGGTATGGAATCTGATGATGAAGGCCGAAGCCAAACTGATGGCAGAGCGTCCGGATGATCCGAAAGACAAATGGGTGTCCTGCGATCCAGTCGCAGCTTTGGCTTACTTGAGCCCGAAGAAAACAATAAAAGTTCTCACTAAGCGTAAAGTTTCGGTGAAGTTGGACGAACCCAACAGGGGATCGCTCATCGTCGACAATCCGACTACCAACAATTCCATCAACATCATCGAGCAAATCGATTGGAACTACTTTATGAAGAGTTTCAAAACTTCTTTTGCGGATATTTGCAAGTGTGGTATTTTCAGGAGATGCGTGGTACAAAATGTCCTTTAATGACTTCCATCAACGCCCTCTAGAACCTAAGTACCTAACAATATTTCAATTTAATTGCATAATTGTTTATTTATATCAAAATGTTATATACTCTAAACTAAATAACTGATACTGCAATCTAAACTTCTAAATTTAAACTTGAATTACATCGATTTTCTTATCAGTAATAAGATATCTGAAATATTAATAAAATATGATTGAATTGAAATGAAATGATAAAAGTAGATTTTAGCTGTAAATATTACATCTAATAATATATTTAGAATATTATGATAGATATTCTGTAATAAATATTACTTTTATACTTATTTGCAATCTACATAACGATTGCTATAAAAAATGACTTGACATAATCTATTCAGCTTTACAGTTAGAATGAACAGTAACATTTAGTTAATGCGAATTGTGTATAATTATAATATTTATAGTTGCTCATTAAATTATAATTATGGTAATAAATTTGTAAATAATCATTATAATAATTAAAGTATATGTACAATACAATTTTTTTTTGAAAATACGTCTGATGGCAACTGCAATGTTGCTGCATACAATTTAACTTCTATGTACATCATACATCATATGTTTTTTACTGTCCTTACAAGCGTTTCGTTCCAAAATTGGGTCAAGTTAAAGGGTCTATATCGCAAGCCCGAAAGACCGTCTATCGAAATCCCGATGTTCGAAATCCCGACGATCAAAATCCCGACGCTTGAAATCCCAACTATGTCAAAATCCCGACTCTATCGAAATTCCGACTACCATAAAAAAGTTATTGTAGAAATTTATAATAATAAAAGACACTGTCGGGATTTTGATTGTTGCGATTATGGTAGTCTGGATTTCGATATAGTCGGGATTTTGAACCAACCGGGATTTCGAATTTGAGTAAAACGTAATATTAGATTGATTCTAAATGTAAGTCCAAAGAAATCTACAAGGTCTGAAATACAATGTATTGACTATAAAAATAGGGGAAAACAATCAATACCAAATAAATAAAAGTTAGGACATACATAATTGATGCGAACACGTACAACATGACGTTGATAAATAATCGTTAACTATAAAAATGAATTATATATAATATATTTATAAATTTATGCTAAATATTTAACATTTTAACTATTATTTTTTTTATATTTGGACTTATTTTCGTTTAGCAGACCGGGATAGTCCCAATTACCAATAACAAAAAAGGAAATATAATATAAATGTATGCTAATTAGTGTTTCTAATGAGTTGCAACTTTAAAAAGTCATTACTTTAAAATCAAATGTAGATAACCTCTCATTCATTTGCAGTTTAGATTTAAATTTTATATGAAGCAATGTGTTACATGTGATAACAAAAGACTATAATGTTGACCAATAAATATGTAAAATAATAGATCAAATTACATTACTAATACTCCCAAATTTAGCAATACCTCGCATAATGCGGTTAATCGGTTGCGCCAATATTCCGCACTGTTTGAAACAGTACTAAGAGAACTTGACTGAACAGATGAAAAATTTGCTGAATTTAAATTTAGTTTTTGTTGAAAATTTTTCAAACCGCACTATAGTGAATCCGTCCTGATCGAAGGCGGAATATACTAAGTATTGCTGACCTTTTGTTTTAATAACTATAACTCGTTAATCACTTAAAAAAGTAACTAGATCAAATTAATATTACTGCCAAATTCAGAAATACCTCGCGTAGTGCGGTTAATTAACATATCTGCTAAATAGCAGATATGAGGCGTTTATTTTAAAAATTATACTTATAATTTGTCATTAGCTATCATAAGCAATAATTTGCAGTTAAATATATGATAATTTAAAACACATAAATGTTCACACTTAGTTAAATAATATATAAATATATCCGAAAGTGGGGATTTTCAAATTTCTGAAGTAAATATTACCTGAAAGATACTAACTTTATTCTGAATTAAATTCAGAGCATTTCATATTTATTGCAACAATAAATTACAAAATAACAAGTTAACTGCTGCTAAGAACTATTGACCATAGCTCTTTCTGCTCTGAGCATTATTAACAAGATTTTTAGAGAACGAAGTAAATAATTCTAACGGAGAAACGTAAATTGTAAATTGATTAGAAATATACTGGATGAGTAGTTTTTTGATAAATAAACCATATACAATTATCAAAGATATCAATGGATGTTTAAAATACTGAATACACCACTTTATAAATATATAAAACGAATGTAGATGAGCAGTAAATGGTCATGTAATTTATATAGTTAGAAGATTGCGTAAATTGTGTTTTTAAAGTGTTGTACAGAAATATATAATAAAGATTTCAATGAAAAAAAAGCCTGTTCTGAAACAACCATTGTCCTGGCCTATTCGATAAAATCATCCATAATCCAGCAATGTGTTCCACAATTTGGGCTGGTTAAAAAATCAATCAAATTAATTTAGAACTTTTAATCGATAACTTATTCTTAACTAATTAACAATTTTTCGATATTTGTATAAATTTTTTTAATGAGAAACTGATACGTAAAATAATATTGTGCAACAATGACTTATCACTTATCACGATATTAGTAACAAGTTGTTATTTCTAATGTAAAATACTTTATAGATAGCATTCTTTTTTGTTATTTTAGTTATTTGTGCAATGTTTCTGAATCGGTTAAGTTTTGTCTTATAAACGTATGTAACGATGAGCGAAAACGAAAATGCATATTGTTTTTCTAAAGTGGCCGGACTTATTGATAATCAAATTGTGGTAGTGATTGATAAAGTGTACATAATTATAAATTGTAATTTGTTTATATTACCACCACCGCGTTATTAATTGCACGCTTGCGCTTTGTAGGAAAGGAATTTACAATAAATTCATCCTTCGAATGAATGGAAACAGTCAAACGTAAAGTTGACTTTGGCGTGTTCAGCAACACCACGAAAATGTTGAAAACACTTTGTTTTTTAGCAGTAATCCTGCACGTGACGGTAAGAAGCAAATATCTCCTTTCATTTTCGGAATTCCCACTGCGCAAATGACCGTTATAATTGCAAAGGTCAAAGCGATTTATACGACGGGAATTCTGAATCGGGAAGTTCAAATTGGAAGAAACTGCGGTTTTAACAAGATATTGTTGTATATTTAGACATCGCGTTTGATTTTTACTAAACCTGATAAGAGAGTAATAATAGACGTTGATGGTGGAATCGACGATTACCAAGCCCTGACAATCCTTATTAATGCCGACAATCAGTTGATGATAAAAATCGAAGCTATAATCTGCACAGACGGTAATACTGAATTGAAGAACGTTGAGAACAATGTCCTCAGGTTGCTGCAAGCTGCGGACAGAACAGATGTGAGTAACAGGTAAAACGAGTTTAAAATTAATTCTAATTCAATTATTTCTGTTAGATTCCGGTTTATAGCGGATCGTATGAGCAAATCTTACCGCACAAAGAGGAGATGCCGAAATGGTACGGGGAGGACGGATTCGCCGATCTGAAATACAAAAGGGAACCTAATCGTTATCTTCTTAAAAAAGAATTGGCACAGGTCGCCGTATACAATATAATCAGCAGGAATCCGGGAAAGGTATCGCTCATTGTCCTGGGACCGCAGACGAACAGCGCGCTTGGATTCAGAATTTACCAGAAGTACGGTGAATACCTTAAAGACATGCACATTATGGGTGGAAACTTCGGAGGTAAATCAATGCAATCAAAACTTACATTTTTCTAAGATTCCTTTCGGTTTTGCAGAGGATGAAGTTGAATTCAACTTCCTGTTTGATCCGGAGGCTGCGGATATAGTTCTGACCACCACCAAGTGTCCAATCACCATGTTCACGTGGCAGGCCTGCGCAAAAGCAAATTTCACTTTTGTGAGTCTCATTGCTCTTGTTATTTAGTTTTGGAAGGAAGATGTTAAACGTCCTCTTTCTTTTAGGGCACCCTCTTTAACATCACCGGTATCTCGAATCCAGTATGGAACCTTATGGAAAAGGCGGAACGAAAACTGTTCAAGGATAACAAAGAGAGTATCGATAGTCAATGGTTTGCCTGTGATCCGGTTACCGCAGCGGTTTACCTATACCCTGAAGAAACTATACTTTCTAGTAGCCAACACAGTCTTCAAGTAAAATTGTCAGAACCCAACAGAGGCTTGACTGTTGATGATGATTCGAGGACTGAAAAGCAGATCAAAGTTATAGAGAAAGTTGACTGGAAGTTCTTCATGACGGGTTTCATAGAATCCTTCAAGAAAATCTGTACAAATAGGATTTGCGTCGATCAGGGAGTTATTTCTTAATACTCCTGTAATTATTATGTTTCGTTGTTTTGTTGTTGTTGTTATTAATTAAATAAATTTGTTCATTTAAAAATTAGTTTCTTTGATATTTTGAAAACTGTCTGTACTATTTATTTATTAAATTATTAAAAACTAATTTTACATCAACAATTTTAAAGTTCTTAAATTATCTGTTATGTTACACTAGCGTATGTGTTACATATTTAAGTTGGTACTTTGCTAGCACAGCAAGCCCAATAAACATTTTTGACAACTAATTATGATTTTCTATAATGCATACAAAATTAATTTCCTACCATCTAATAATCTTAGTATAAGCATATTAAAATAGTTACCTAATTATAGCGACCTTTGCTGATTAGGTGTATCATTAAATGAAATTGCATTACAAAGAATTGCATAATTATCGTTACAAAACTAACAAAAAATAAAAAAAAAGTAGTAACAAATGATTTAATTTGTTTTCATTTTGACACATGTTGTAACTATTACCTCTATCTGGAAAATAGAATGCAGTTGTTAGTTTTTAATCCCATACGTAAGGATAATAATTATTTAAAAAAAAAACTGAAGTAGAGGGCTAGAAATTTTAAACTGTTTAATTTGTATACATTTAGTGTTACATATTGCGGTTGAGTTTAGAACAAGGCCACCTTATCCAATCGATGGTACGTCATTCGAATTTTTACCTAATTAATATTATTTACTTTCAATTTACTTACTACAAAATAACTTGGAGTGAAAAAATCATGATAATGATTACAAATTTGAGATCCGCTGCATTAGACAATTTAAACGCAGTGTTTACTAATAGAAATGCTGGGTCTACGATAATCTTTATGATCTAAGGTAGTGATTCGCAAACTTTTTGGGTCTTCGTCTCCCTTTTGGATATAAAAAGTTTCTGCGACTCCCCGAAGAATGGGTATGTGTAGAAAAAACAACCAGGATTGTTCTGTCTTTACTTTTTTCCGACCCCCAAATATTTTACGCGAAACTCTGGTTGACCCACACAATCTGTAATAGCTACGCCAATGTCAATACGCATTTTATATTCAAATATAAATATTTGGAGAGTTTAGATTTGTAGTAATGTAACATTAATATTTTATATAAATTAAAGTAGATAAAAAGCATTTTTTTTTAATAATGTATTTAATTTACAAACCTTTATTCTATTTCCTGGGAACTATACTTGCGAGTTTCAATAAAAAGTAAAATGCCACGATAAATGTAATTAAGAATTTTTTTTATAAAACTTAATTGGTTAAATAATTTTGCATAATATGCATTTGCAAAATTGTTTTTTATTGCAAATTATATTTCAGTTGGAAACAAATTTGAAAGTTAACTGAAGTTGCTTCTCCACCTTGAATAGAAACTGAGCTAGTTCCAGTTAATAGGAAGATGTTTTGACAGTTGTTAAGTAATTGGAACGGATTATGCATAAAAGTATCATATTATTATTTATTTTTCATTATCTTTACGTTTTAATAGTAAAAATCCTGTTTCACATTTCCATTTTACGAGGTCGTCTTAATTTTAGAGCGGATTTTATATACAGTAGTATCTGAATATCATTTCATGATCTGATCAAAATTACAACAGTGTTAAAATCCCGCCAGTATCTTTTATTATTTGATAAAAAACAAATGAATTTAAAAATTCAGCGTTATTACTTACAAAGTGAATAAAAAAAGAAGCTAATGCTCGCAAACCAGGAGTCCAATGCATTTACAAAATCATAATTTATATTACATAATTGATTCAGTATATTTTCACTTCAGATTTAAAATCGGTGCTTCCGATTCTTTAAGTATTTACTCTGCATCGACTACTCCAGAAGTAAAATGTATGGAAAAATTCTTAATGAAAACAATTCTTCCAATCTGGAGAGAAACCTGTCGAGACATCATTTTGACCTATGGGATCATCTATGCAAAAGCAGAGTCGCAAGCTGAATCACATAAAGATGAAGGAAAACTCTTCACCGAGCACGTTCAAAGAACAACGAATGATTTCGCTACATCCGATGTTAAGGGATGCTTTCAAAATAACACCAACGAACATACAATTGGATATGCTGCACAAACAGATGAAGAACATCAATACGAGGATCACCGCATAAATCGTACATCAAATCCAACAAAACAGATGTTGATAATATGTTCATCAAGCAATAGCTAACATTTAATGATGATACAATGGATGCATCCAATCTTTATGACACTAGAAGTGTGTCTAGCACTAATGATTCAATGGATGCATCCAATCTCGATGACACGAAAAGTGTGTCCAACATCAATAATACTGCAAAATCTTCTATTCTGACAAGTGACTCTCAAATATCTAATATTTCTATTCCATGAAAAAGCACCCATGATTCGTTCCAATCACGTGAACCGCCGAAACCTAACGATAAATATTTTGAACGTCCGATTTCTAATCGACGGTCCGAAATAATCAACAAAAAGACGATTGCAAAGATTGTTCGTGTTCATCTTTGTAATCGTCTATCGGGGATAATCTGCAAGAAAATGAATCCGATCTGTTCGCTAAATATCTATCACTATGCCGGACGAAATAGCCGCGATATGCCAGCAAGAGATCTTGTTCGTTATAGCAGTGATTCTCAAAGTGTGGATCGCGTAAAATATTTGGAGGGTCACACTGACAGTTATTGTTGCAAGTTCAATTTAAATGTCTTTATTGAATTTCCTGTTTATTCTACATTGTTCTGAATGCAAACTCAATGAACAACATTTGATTGCTTCTTCAAGCTTGTTTCAAATAGAAATGGAACATTTAAACAACCTTCGATCACTAAAGTTCTTTGTCTTCAGAAAACATACAAAACATGCAGCTAACTAGAGACAATTCTTAAAATCTGTTTTAAAATATTACTCTATTAAGGAGATGAATAACAACTATGAATGCTGTAGTACCTATGATTCTATTGTTGCTTTGTACATGATCTTTAGAGACTGGATAACATTTCTAAATGCTAGACGCATTAAAAATACTGGAAAAACAAAAATGTTAATTTTCATCAAATCCCCAGAAAGACACTAAAAGTATTTTATATAATTATCAATCTATATTTTCACTTATTTTAATCTCTGTAGATTGTAGATCAACATTCATGTTCAACACTCTTCTAGAAGCACGTGCTTACGAAAATACAGGCCATTTTAATTAATTGTGACAAAGCTATGGTAGCTACAAACCTGTATTTATATTTATTTTAATCTCTCTATATTCAAGATCAACATTAATGTCCAAAACTCTTCTGAGAGTTGGAGTATACGAAAATACAGGCCATTTTCGAAGACTTTATTTTCCCAACTCATTTGTGAAATACCAAAGTTTGTTAATCAATTATGAAGACACCATTGCAGCTACAAATTAATATTTACGCTCATTTTAATCCGTGTATATTTAAGATCAACATCAATGTATCGATGTATTATTCTGGGAGCTTATGTTTACGAAAATACAGCCCATTATCTAAGACGTTGTTTTCCTATTTGTTCATCAAAGTATATATGTATGTCCGGTTGCGTGCACTTTAGACGCAAAATAAATATTATATTTTGTGACTGCTGGCGCCATCTGTTAGCAATATTTCAAATGTTGTTCAGGCATTTTGGTGCTGTATAAAATCCACTTCTTTAAAAACGTTCTAATTTAAATAAACAAACATGTTAAAATAGTGCTTGAACGATTCTTTTAATAATTTAAATGCTAATTGCTTTTCGAGTTTTAATTGACACAGGCGTAGACATCCGCAACCACACATACTGATTATTTCCTGAAAATTCCGACAGATGTTTCAGCTTGTAATAATTTAAATTTATATTACTCGAAAAATAATTATCATTTAAATGATTAAACTAAAGTAATAACATTACATTTGTTCAAGCACTATTTTAACATGTATGTTAATTTAAATCAGAACACAATCAATGAGAATGTTGATTACATTATTTTTGGGGTGCAGATTTGTTGCTTTCCTCATTACTTGTCTGTTGATTCTGCATTTGCTGCCTGAGATCTCTGTTATCTTGCAACAGCTTCTGCAGCTGAGAGTAAATATTATCGTTCTTCTGCTCAACAGAGTCTAGGGCTGAATTGAGTGCATCTAGTTGACTGGTCAGGGCATCCCAGTCTGTAAAGAGTTGTCAGTGCAATTGAATGTTAATATTGTTGATGGAATAATGTACCTTCTTGGTTCATGTCCTCCACATCTGAATCGCAGAGCTCCGAATCGGAAACCTGGTCCTCATCTATGTTTTCCGGCGGAGTGATCGCCTTCTCAGCCATAATATTGATTACTGTACCTGCTTGGCTCATGTCATTCACATCTGAATCGCAGACTGTAGAATCGGAATCCTGGTCCTCATCTATATTTTCCTGTGGAGTGATGGCCTTCTCAACCATAATTTTGTTTACTGATAATGCGATAAGCGATAAGCAGTAGAAATCATATGACTGTGACAGCTCAAAGTGAAGTTAGCTGTAGTTTGAATGCGTCATGAAATGCACTTTTTTTTAATGATTGCACCGTAAATTGTCCATGTTGTTCATTGGATATTTTCTTGGATGGTGTAAAATTGGATTAACGAGACGAATCAATTGAATCCGTTAGTAATTATTGTGGCTTTCGTGAAATCGTGATGACGTCAAATGAGAGAATCGTAAAAATCCCCAGCAGTACGGGTTGGAGTTGATAAGATGTCGTTTTTTGACACCATCAGATAAGATGTCTCAACATCACATAGCCAGTTCAAGTGATTATACAGTACAGTGATTTAACCTATCCACCACTAAATTCTAGTTGGAAGGAACACATTTTCTAGTCAAACCTTCCAAATACGCCCATATCGAAATTTTAAATCGAAAATTATATAACCTCACACTACTGAGTAAGTTCCTGCGAAAGGGAATTATTATAATGGAACCTCATACATTAAGCTGAGTAAAGATCACACCAAAAGATGTATGTAGTCACATTGGATCAAGTGAAACAACGGATTGGAGATGTTAACTGGAAGGAGTTTGCATGTGGCTGGGGAGCTGCATTCATCAATATCACCCTCACCTACCCAGTTTATAAAATCATCTTTAGACAAGTAAGTTGAAATTGATAAAGCATGTATTGATGTTAAATGGTTTATATTTTTTGCTTTTAGATGCTAGATGGTATATCAGCGTCAATAGCTGTGAAACAGCTGCACAATGAAGGCATTTACTTCTTGTACAGAGGGATGATGCCCCCATTAGCACAGAAGACCATTTCCCTGTCCATCATGTTCGGCATGTACGAAGAAGTGCGAAGGCCGCTGATGCAGGAGGGAATCAATCCGTACATGGCGAAGACGATCGGCGGAATCGTGGCAGGTTCCGTTGAAGTAATCCTGATGCCATTCGAACGAATCCAAACACTCCTCGCCGATTCCACTTACCACAACCATTTCAGGAACACCTACCACGCCTTCAGATCTGTCGGTCTGCATTACGGCTTCCGCGAATACTACCGAGGCATCGTTCCAATCATCTTAAGGAACGGTCCATCGAATGCGTGCTTCTTCATAGCGCGCGACGAAATACAGTCCAGATTGCCAAAGAGCAAATTGTGGTTGCAGAAGACCATCAACGAGTTCCTGTGCGGAGCCGTAATCGGAGCCTGCGTGTCCAGCATATTCTATCCGCTGAACGTGCTGAAGATCACCATGCAGAGCAGATTAGGTGGACCCAGTCCGAGTATATTCGTCGTCTTTCAGCAGATCTATAACGAACGTGGCGGCAAATTGAAGCATCTCTATCGGGGTGTGCACGTGAATTGTCTGCGTGCTTTCCTCAGTTGGGGCGTGATGAATGCGGCATACGAGAACATGCGGAAACTGCTTTACTAGCAAACTCATCGCATTTCATTTTAATTTAAGGAAACTTGATCAGTAGTTGAGGTAGATTGTGCGTGTGTACATACAGATATATATATTTATTTTTGTTAAACTTTATTTTATAAATTAAACATTGTGATTTCACTCGTAAAGATGATCTTTTTAATTAATTTATTCCATTCGTTTATTGTTAACTCATTTTAGATATTTACGATAAACTGTACAAATATATGAACTGTGACTATTGCAAATAGCGTCCCCGTTATTATTATTTCTTATTATTATTATTTTTTTTTATGTATGTATATATGTATAATAACCATAACATTATTGAATCAAATATGTATAACCATTTGGAATGATTCCAATCTATATATATATATAATAGCTAATTGAAAAAAAAAACAATACTACATGCATTATTGTGATGTAGTATTTATTATCTTATAATAATTGCGCAATGTTGATACATTTATATTTGAATTAGAGATCGATCAATTAATTAATGAACATTGATATTATTAAACTTTTATAAATGGAATGAAGTGGTCATAAATAAATGTGTGAGAAATATCACGTGCATCGTTTAGTTTGATTATGTAAATTTTTGGGAACGTTCTACACTACACTTACTAAATACGCGACAATGACGATGTCTCACGTAAGTATATTTTGAGAATAAAGTGTTTCGTTGTAACTAGGCACGATTTTTTTCTGCTAATGCGGTTATAGAAAACCACAAGAATATCATGTTATTTTATTTACTTACGTAAAACTTCTGTAATTCAGAACTTCGGATTAGAATCTTCTGCATTGTTGTTACAAAATCAAATGCTTTCCTCATTACAATTTACTTATTATCAATATTATTATACATTTACCATTATATGAACTTCTTTGTGGAATAATAAACATGGGTTTACTTTGACGCTGACCTTAAAATTTACAAAGTACTTTTATTAAATCGAATAAATTTATTACCTTAGTAACGAACTTGTATGCAACCAAATGTATTGCAAGTATTCAATATATGAAGGAAATCAAATATTTAGATTGAATCATTTGAGACAAAATTATTTAAAAAAGAACTATTTCGTAACATTCTTTTCACGTGTTTAAGCAAAAGGACATTGACCAAAGCTACTATCAAGTATTTGCACATATATAAAATCTAATCTTGTTGTCTAAGTAATTGTTTGAAGAAAAATATTTATTTAGCAAAATAAAGTGAACTTTATAAATTAATCATTTTAATAATATATTTGTTAAAAAAAATTGAATTTCAGATATTTACTCATAACAAATATTATTAAATGGCTGTTTATCGAATCGTTTTGGAAAAAATCAATAGATGTAGATCGAAAAAGGATAAATGTTTCAGGGAATTCATTTCAATGAATAAAAGACGACAATATCATTTGTAATTATTAATTTATTTCACATTTCAAAGAATCATTGTTATTTTACTTATGTTTTTGTTGTTGTTGCTGTTTTTGTTTGTTTCTGTTTTTAAATTATTTGTAACGCACAGTAAGCGTGTTCTAGGCCAGGCCAAATGCGCCCCCTTATCTACTAAGATCACTACATCGTTGTACAACTTAAAAGCTACGAAACTTGGTGCTCACGAAGAACGTCTCCGTCGAGCCATGTATACAATACAATAAATTACTGGTTGCGAATCGTCCTCACTCATTTTGCACTGTACATATCATCATCTTCTCTTTTCACCATCATAATCATCGACATCTTCCCTATTACATATTACAATTCTCTTATAAAAAATTACAAAGTGCGCGCACCTTTGTTTTCTCCATTCTTCCATCGATTAATCATTAATAGTAATATTTTGTTTTGTTTTCAGTTATTTAAATATGCGCTTAACTCTTATATAAACCGTGTTGTTGCCTAATTATTATTATCTCGTCCATCCGATACAAATTTTATATGAAAGAAAAGTGTCTGCGTGGTGTCCAAACGAAATAAAAGTAAAGATTATAACAATTGTACATGAATCAACCTCAGTACAGCCACGTTTTCTGCAAAGACTTTTTATACAGTCTCCTCTTCGTAGTTCTCTTCTCCACAAAACACTCTTCTAATAAGGAATATCTAAAAATATAATCTGCAGAACCATGAGACATTCTCAGCTGTACAACAACAAATTGTTCCAAATTTGACTCATCCAAATAATAATAATAATAACAACGTAAACTGAAAAGCCTAAGCACTTGAATTATCATTTATCGTCGTTTGTAGCAAAACAGAAAGGTTTGCACGTATCAATTAATATTACAATATTGAAAGTGTCTACGAAAGCAAAAACAAAAACAATATCTGTTATCTAATTTATTATTCCTTTGAAAATATAGTTTTTGTGTGAGTTTCAAATGTAAGAACGAGCGAGAGCAACACCTAGCGTGCCCTTCCGATCGAAGAAGCAAACGGTATTAATTAAACTTATCGGTATTTATTTGCTCTGTCATCTCTCTTTACACACTAATCGCAACTTGTCGATTTATTTTGTTTTACCGATATTATCTTCAATTTTTTTTTTAAATAAATAAAGCACGTTCACAATACGCTCATCACCTGGATTGCGTCTTCCTTAATTGTATTTATTCATCTATTTATTGAAAACAACGAAGGGGAAAAACGAAATAAGAAAGTGATTAGTGATTAGCCCTAGAACAGTACAGTCTTTGGTACAATATACAATTAAGTACAAAAAATCTATCTATTCTCCTGTTCCGCAACAAAAAAAAAAGAGAAAGAAAACCATACCCCACCCTTAAGTAAAGTTAAGGAAGAGACAATTCAGCTGATGTCCAGAGTGTTTTTTTTTTTAGATATTATACACAATATATAAGATAGGTACCTATGTAATTACATGTTTATATTTTAAAACCCGCATATTTTTTTTATTTCTCTCAGTTTTTTTTTTCTTCTTTTTCTCATCTCATAATTCAATCTTCTTCGTCTTCCTTTAATTATTAATATTATTTATTTATTTCCTTATGCTCCTACGTTATTCACCGCCGGACACCGCAACTTCTCGATACATCGCATTGTCGTTTGACAATGCCGACGTCGTCGTCGCCTTCAGAATCGGCGAATCCGGCGGACTATTGTTAGCAGCCGTTTCTTTAATGTCCTCCACCTCACTATTTTCAGTCACACCGTTTCTTTGTTCTTCTAGCTCCTGCCCGTGCTCCTCCTCCTCTAGTATGGTCTCCGTCAATTCGTCGCTCTGGCAATCATTCAACGTCGTATCCTACAACAAAATAATATTTATTAGATCAAACAACCGCAGTTCATACATATTTAGCAACAAGAAAAATGATACACAAGTACATCAATTAATCATAATACTTTGTCCAGTCAAAGTAAAGAAAAATAGATTTTTAAGTTGATGTTTTATTTTATGATTTTTTTAATAAAAAAAATGTGATAGGTGATGATTATTTAACAAAAGCAAATTTGAAAATATATCATAAATGAAGAACAAGAAGAAACCAATCAAAATATATCTTTACCTGAGCTCTTACCGAAGCGACGCCATTGGGTGAACCATCTTCGCCGCACGGCCTGAGAACCAAATACAAGAGAAGATCGGATAGCGAGATGATGCCTATGACCTTGTCCTCATCGTCGACGACGACGAGCCTGTGAACCTCTGCACGCACAATCTTCTCCATAATGGCAAATAGCGTCTCGCTTAGCCTGCATTTATGAACTCCCTCGAACCACTCGTTTCGGTGTTCGTTGGCCTTCTTCAGGGAAACATCAAGATCATTGTACGTCTTCTCCGCAGCCAAGTTCTGTAGAAAAATGGTAAAGAAAAATTAGCACATCAAATACAATTACGTTCTGAATCCGAACTGTGCACTCACGATGACGTCGAATTTGGCGTATATATCGACCAGACGACCCTCAGGATCGACGATGGGTAAGGCCGAAACTCTCCTCTCCACGAACTTCTTCAAAGCTAGTATAATTGAGGTATCTTCAGAAGCAGTCTCTATGTTATCGTACGTCCCGATCTTCACTTCCCTCAGGGTCTTGCCCATGTAAGCTGGCTTGGGTAATTCGTTTATGTACAAGAAAAGGAAACGCAGTATCCTCTTGTGTGTTAGGATGTAAAGAACATTGCCAGTTTCCGGATCAATTACAGGCAACCTGTAAACAATAATTTATATATTATATATATTTATCAATCACACAAAAAAATTGTTTTTATTATCCACCTGTGAATTCTGTTGTGAATCAGAGTTCGGATGGCGTCGTAGAGAGAGGCGTCCGGGCCGATGCTCGTCAAAGGTCTTTGATCCTTTAACACCTGTCGCCATGTGTCCAGCTTGTGCTCCTCCAGCTCTTCCATCGCCACCTCCGGCGATTTGTAGTACATCCTGAGGATCTTGATGAAGTCCGTGATGGTCAACATGCCTACGAACTCCTGCCGTGTGCTGTCCCATAGCGGAGCGGCCCTCACGCCGTTATACACCAGCGCGAAGAAAGCCTTCTTCACGAGCAGCTGCGTATCGAATACGACCAGTTTCGCAGAGGTCGGTATTAGATCGTAGCATTTGTGGAACTTGAAGAATTTGACGAATATCTGCGATTCGTCCTCCTCTGCAAAACGAAACAGAAATTTTGTAAAAGAACGAATGTTATTTGTACGCAAAGAAAAATATTAAATAAATGCGCGCTTCGAAATACAACAACTTGCTCTTGACATTGCAGCTTCCTTTTGGCAAGTGATTTAACTGGGGAATAATATTTAGATTCGCAGACGCCAGCTGGAGCGTCACGCTATGAAACACACAAAACGAGCCAGAGTGAAATGAAAGCGGTTTCGGAAAGAAAACGAAGAAATCCTTCCGCGCTTTATTTATACAAGCATCTGCTGTTGTTTCAATTGCAAACAAAAAAAACTAGATTAATTATACATCTCGGCGTTGCTTGTTTGTGCCGTGCAGTTCGTTTTTTTTTCTTTTCATGTTTCTCATTAACTAATATGCGACATCGACTTTACATTCCTCGCCTTTTGCAAAACAAGTCAACGAGTATTCCGGCCAAAGATTGAAAGTGTTGCAAGAACATCGCACGCATTTCAATACACTGCACTATTTTGCAACGATTCAATTAAGCTAAACTCGTCTGAAAAATTAATAATTACGAATGCCGGATAACCCAATCAAATGCAGCATCGCATTATTTAGGTCCCCGTTTTAATGTTCATCATAATTCATGTTAGAAACAATATGTATAATACAGGTATACGACTTACGAACACTCGGACTTACGAACAAAATTCTAAAAGCTCAAACTTGTTACAAGGAGATCTATAATAATAAAAAAATTAACTGTCCAAACAAAAATTGATATTTTCTTTAATAAAATGTAATATTTTTGGAAGATGTACTATCTGTTTTGTTGCATTTGTTTCTTTTGTCGTTTTTTATTAAATAATTGTGATTTCTATATTGAAAAGTATTTGTAAGTAAGTATTTTCTTTATTTTAATCTATATTTTCAAATTTATGCAGCAATACGAAAATTTTAAAATTCCTTCGACTTACGAACAAATTCGACTTACGAACCCTTTGGAACGGATATACCTGTATATCAAACTAGTATTGCGCAATTTCAATTGTTCAGATTGGGTGCGTAACAATTTTGTAATATACAAACAAGCTGACATAACATGCGATTCCTCAAATTCAAAGATTATTTCTTTCGTGCAATGTTTCTTTATTATACTCACTTCAATATTATTGCAATTGTTTGGCAACATTTTGTACATACAAATTAATTTTTACATAGACAAATTATAATAATTATCAAAAAAATCAACTTAACTTTCTGTCGAAATAATGGAATTATTTAATATATTTTATTTACAAAATAATTTTAACACTTAATATTCATTTTTAGGCATAGACATTAATAAGCATCAAGTTAAGATTATTATTAATTGCAAGACTTCATTACTTTATTTAAAGCAAAGTGATCTCGAAACTAACTTATTTTTTTCTCGAATTAACCTAATCCTTGAAAATATATAGAAGAAATTAAAAATAATTAAACGTATGGTTATTATTAAGCATTATGTTTTTATTTCTTGTCCGCGGACGTGGAAATGTTTTCAGGCAATGAGATTAAGTCGGCTGCCTATAATAAAGTTTTCCGAGTTATAATTGTATTGTGTAAACAGAACTATAAGTTTTCAATGCCCACGCAGAAGTTTCAAAAGCAGATAAAACGGAACGAACTGCCACTATTTATAAATGGATATAACATTATATTTTATTGCGTCACGGAACAAACAAAATGCAAATATATATTATGAAATTTTCAGTGCTTAATGTTGAACAAAAAAAAAACAGTGGCGTGCTATTATTTCTTATTATTGATATTGCTAATTTTTAATTTCTACATCAATAAATATTTAATTAAATTCGTATTTAAATTCTAATGGTTCGGATATTGAAAACACCCAAGAGCTAATAAAATAGCAATTCTCAACCTGAGTCACGTTGGCAAAAAGTTTGAGAAACGCTGAAATAAATCACTATATCAATTGATAATATTTTTTGATGAAGTAAAGAAACAATACAATCTTAATTAATCTATTGATATTGCTATTTTTTAATTTCTACATCAATCTGATGTAATACTAATAAATATATAATTAAATTCGTATTTAAATTCTAATGGTTCGGATATTGAAAATACACAAGAGCTAATAAAATAAATCAGCAATTCTCAACCTGAGTCACGTTGGCAAAAAGTTTGAGAAACGCTGATATAAATCACTATATCAATTGATAATATTTTTTGATGAAATAAAGAAACAATACAATCTTAATTAATCATTGTAAACTGAATCATATCTGAAAATTTTATTACAGCATTAGGTAAAGAATGGTTCAGATACAATTGACGTGTAACGCTTGGATGAAAAGGCAATCAATCATTTTGTAAAAAAATCTCTTAAAAACAATATTTCCGATATATAAATTCAATAAAAAACTAGATAATTTTACAAATTGCTCAACAAAATTGCTGTTCGACTTTAAAGAATTGTTTTCAGAAAAAAATATTATTGCATTTACTTAAAATAAATCTTTATTAGTCATGATGTAGGTCAGCGATTCACACTGAACATGAAATTCCGAGTAAACCACTAGATATCATCATTACCATTATTTATGCTATCGATTCAAGTGCGGCACATAATATTTATTTATAAAACGACGTCGCACAATCACGAACTATATTCCCGATGTAAACTTACAAACATGCATCTGGATTCTACGAGGTTTATGCGCAAGACGTTGAGGAAGGTCAGTTATTTACTACTACTTAGTCATTATTGTTAGTTCAGTTCATATTACACGATCGTTTCAAATCGCACTGAAACATTCAATGAGAATAACTAATTATTAGTTCTATATTTACTAAGCAAATGTAATAAAACAAAATGTAGTTAGATTGAAAGTTTATTCATTATGTATATGAATCAATATTTTGTAATTGCTTTAATATATTATGTATTTGTTTTTTGTTTTCTTTGTATCTAATAAATTGATATTATTAAATGCTGTTAGAATATAATCAAACAATAATTTAATCTATGATTTTACAGAAAAGTCTTAATACTATCGAAAGTATTAAAAAGAAAGTATTGAATTTCTGTATTTGTATACCTTTTTCGAGCTTCTCAACTAGCCATTCTTTAGTGGTCTGCGAAACATCCTCGAACTCTTTGATCTGATCTATGCGATAGACGTCCTCTTCGTCCTCGTGTATAGTCGAAAGCACATGGTTAGAGTAATAGTGCAATCGCAACATAAGGTGCACATTTCAAACAAATACTTTAAATGTTCACACCCAGCCGACATCAACCGCTGCAGCACTTTGCACAACTCAAGACTTCGCGTTCATGCCACTAGCACATTTCTTCCATCCGTATTATATCATGTTTTCGCATCAATATAATTTAACTGAAGCGACGATTTTTTTGTTTCTTTTAAAATCAAGATTTCGTTTGAGTTCTTGGCTTCGAAATCATACGAAGCAATTGAAGTTGCAAGCGTTCAATCAGGTAGGCAGTATTCTGCGAGCAAACGTCCAACCGGGTCAGAGATCTACACACCATTAACTCGAAACTATATGTGTATATTATTTTTTTCCTGTCATCTTCGGCCACTCGAGTTTGCGTTGTTAATTGAACGCTTTTTGTTGTTCAGTTAGTGTGTAGGTGTAAAAGTTGTACAAGAACCATATTTTCTAGGTCCATGCGTTTAAATATGTAGTATATATAGAATACACTCGTATGCATATACATAGGGAACAGACGCAGTCTATTTAAAATATATATAAATGTAGTTAAATGAAACTGGGAGAGCATTCCGAGGTTCTGTTGTGTCTCCAAAGCGTTGCGAAATTACATATAAATCCCGGACGAAAACAACAACATTTACAAATCGAGGAGGCTCGGTGTTAGCGTGTCGTGCAACGAAACTCTGTTTGGTTGTAGCCGAAGAAGGAACATCGTGTTCTTCATTATTCGAAATTAATAAGTTTCTGCGACTCAATGTGAACAATCTTTAATAGGTTGTCTTTTGAATCTTCAGCACCGGTTCGAACTAAATGCACTATCATTTCTAAGTTGTATCGTGGATGCGAAACTGTTGCTCCATCGGTTGACGAAGATGCTCGTCTCTTCGGAACTGGAAGACGATCTTTATCCCTTTGATCGATGGTTGAAAGAGCGAGATGAAAAGATTCGAAGAGTAGAAGTGTGTTTGTGTGTGCGAGATAGAGAGAGATCGCGCACGGAAGCTCGATCCGGGTGAAAAACTGGGATGACTGAGGCGCGTCTTGGTGTTGGGACCATATGGCCGGAGGCAAAATGGACGTGCTATTGCTATTATTGGCACCGATGGATCGCAGCATGCATGTGCCAAAAACACGAGCCACGGCATTTCGTTTCGCGTCATCGACTGGAATACTACACTAGGCCTCACACTACCAAACACCTCGATGGATAACCCAAACACTTCCACCCATCGCAGAGCACATTTATCATCGCTTCATTGCAATTCCCACGCCTTCGGAATGCAATTCATATATTACACATTCCAATTTTATAAAACATTATCTCATCTTAAATTCAATGTGTTTTATCATCCGTATTCTTTCATTTTTATATTATATTATTTCTGTCTTCCTTAAAGACCTTATCCTTATCCAAGATTTCATAATCAAACCATATTGGATTTTCTATTCGTTAAGTTAAAATTTGCATCAGCCAATATAAACGACGAAGACAATAATAAATAAAATATTCTTCATAGTTAAAAGGATTCAATGAACACTATATATAAGAAAAATACCTTTTACACATTCCACGTTTCTTGTTCAATATTTCCATAAATACCAATAGTATTTCTCTGTTGTCTTAAAAGATTTGTTTACATTTTTTTTTTGTTATTTAAATTTAAAAAAATATATATCTAAAAAATACGCAACGAAAAATGTATTATTTATAAAAAAATATGTCATGTTACATAATTTATAACCTATTTTTTATAAGAATCTATATAGTTTATAGTTAAAATTATTCAATTAAATATATTTACAATTGATTTCAGCGATGATACACGCGCTGATGTAAATCTGTTTGAATAAATCGATTAAATAAACAACCTTCTTTCAAATGTATATACACATTCCAAGTATTGCAAGCTACTTTTACTAAAATTTCCATAAAAGAGAACAACAACTGCCACTTAACAATATTATTGAGAGAATTGACATATATATATATATAGTATGCTCGTTCAATAGTTGATATAACATAGTTTTAATTCTAGTATGATCACGTAAGAATCATTTTTATTTATATAAAGTACTTTAACACTCAAGTTGCACAGAACTAGATTAGATATTCTAAACTTTTCATTACCCTTAATGCATATAAAGTTGAAAATATTTTTTTGGAATTGGTATTGTATTTAAAAGGAAAATTTTTTAGAAACGATTTTTTTTTTAAATTTCCTTAAGACGCAATCCAATTTGAAGTCGATTTTTCTATTATATAAAGGTGCATCTTATTATTTAAAAATACACTTTTCATACAAGATATCAATAATCATGTTTTTGTATTTATAGAAAAGTCATATTTTACTCTTGAGTGAAATAGTTATATGTTTAACTTTGAAAATATCAATAAGTTCATTTAATTTCATCAGTTCAATTTAGTACATTTATAATAGTTTAATTTAGCAATAATATATGAATCTACTGTATAATCAAAGCATTTAAATAAATAGTGAACATAATTTGCCTCCTTTAACATTATAATATACGATTTGATCTAGTTCCCAATCATCTTCAAAAGTCAATATATAATCTTAAATAATAAATATTCGTTATTTATGGCAACGAAATCGAATGAAATGCTAAATCATTCGCATAATTTGCTTTTAATATTTCAATTGGTTTTGGCACGAAAAACCACATTTCAATATAAATGCTTGCCAAACATCATATTTTTTTGAAATTTTCGCACTTTAAATTTTATTTTCTAAATAATGTATTACATAAAATATTTATCGTTAACAACTCGATCCAATGCAATAATTCAAAAACACAACACATTGTTGATCAATTACGAATATTCTATAAATATAAACAATACTTTTAACAATGTTAAATTATTGAATAATATAGCCTTGTACTTTCTAAAATTATTAAATGTTTATTTTGGTATTTTATAAGTTTAGTTATTATTTTTTTATATTGTATTCAATTATTCAATGCATTGCCTTGTTTTATGAATACCACCAAATCAGTGCTTTGGAAACCGAAATCTAATTAGGCTCCCCTGATTCCAGTATTTACATATAGTAACAAAATAAGCAAAGAATTCAAAGATTAAAAATTGATAATTAATTACTTCTTCGGGTAGTTTTCACACATTTCGTTTTGTTATCTTGTCATTTTGTATTATTTAGTCAAGGTTGTAATACATAGATAGAGGGTTCAACAAACTCATTTAGCAAATACTAACTCAATATTAGCAAACAACATCAATTTTCTCTTTAAGAGAGTATAGTATATAGAGATATTTATAAAAAATAATTAGAAAACGTAATAAACGTAATTTAATTGAATATAAAGTAAAACTTGGATAACTTACCTAAATCGGTAATATTCACTTTCTCCAAGAACGGGTCCACGACAGGAAGCTGCAAGCAAAATGAGATTATAAGAAATTGATTTAGTAAACGACAAATAATATTATGATGGATTAACACAAATTACCAATGCCTTTTTAAAGAACGCCCTTGGCGATAGATTCGGATGCCTCCGTTTCAAATTAGAAGCCAACCTCGTGTACCAATTCACCTGAACGGAGTTGTTCAGAGGCTGAAGTGGCGGAGGCGGCGTCGACATTGGGGATGCGGTTTCCGCCGTGAACCGTTTGAACATCGTTTCCGGTTCTTTCGGTAATATCCGGAGATGGCGCCAACAACAAATCGAGAGAGAAAAAAAAGCACGTCCTTCCTCGCGTCGAAATAAATATAGTCCTATATATATATATATTTATTATACGCACTACATTTAGATAAGTAAGTCAAACAGAACCAATACAATATTTGCTCAATATGCTTACGTTAATGCATTGTGGATGCGATATTATTTACAATTTTATTGGATATTTTGTTGAGGCCTCTAACTCAAATACCGGTGATTAGCATGACGGTAAATCACTGTTTAGAAGAACCATGTTAAAAAGACACACTTCGAGGCAGCAGTTAGATCCTCTCTCCATCACCGCGACCGGATTTTTGGGGGGATGGCGTTTGCGAGAAGATGCATTCAATCTGGGAGTGGGCTCGAATAATACGGAGGCAAACGTAAGTGATTAAATTATTACGTAAATAAAAATATTGATAAACAAGTGGACTCCTTCCTTTAGCGCACTTATAGTAATTGCACGATAATGACGCGAAACAGAGTGAGCGAGATGATGTGCAAAACCGGAGGTGTCCTTATGTTTTCGAAGGACCTGCAGGAATCGCCGCTCGTTTTTTTCCATTCGATTAAACCCAAGAAGATTATTTATATAATGTTATAACAACATAAAAAACGGTCAAATTATTAATAGCAATACAGCTTTTACGCGGAGTGACCAATAGGTCAACCGTAAACATTGACCCTTCTTCCATCGACGTACATCAAAAGAAGTGAAACACGCACTGGCACACACAATTACAAAACGCGTTCGGATAATTGCGAATTTCCAAAAATGGAAATATTGCTGCAAATCGTAATGTTTCCAGTCCAGCGGATTGCGCAAAAGAGTTTGAAATAGTTTCGTTGTTGCACTTCGGAACACGCCTCACTCAAGTTGTTATTTTTGTTGTTGTAGACGAGAAAGCACTTTAAAAACGAATGTAGCAGGTGAAGAAGAGGATGCTGCGTTTGATATCGCCATGCAGAATGGAACTTTTTATTAACAATGACGACATGTGAGTATATGTATGTGCGGACGGATAACAAATTTCGAATTATGCACGGAGCCGAGCGCTTGCGTATAATTTTTTTCTCTTGTTTGTTGTTCACCTCAACTTCGAAACATCGATTCTACAATGACAAATAATTCAGTTTGCAAACAGCAAAATACGTTATATGCAGAGCAAACAATCGATGAACAAACTCAATGCCAGGCCAGAATCGAAAGAACCACAATCAGCGCGCGCGAAATATAATCTTTTGTTAATGCAGGAAAACATGAAATATTTTATTTCAGCTCTGCCATCTCGACGCGAGTAAACATTGTTTATTTTAATAACAATAAGCAACAAGCGATAAACGAGAAATGCGTTTTTTTTTTATTGCGGAATCAGATTGAAAACAAGTAGTCCTGGATACCAGGAGAGCAGAGCTTGCAGCAGGATCGATCTCTAGTACCAGCATTGACACTCGATGGCGCTCCCATAAATGGAGGGGAAGTAATCTGTCGGTAAAAGTTGGAACTGTTGGCCGTTACAGGAAGCGACTTGAAAATGTTGCGCTTTATTTGGTATTCGCATTCAAGAGTCAGTCCACAAAAAATAAATTTGTATTAAAAACCGCAGACGTCTCTCCTAATTGGAAACACTTTGGCACCGAAAGCTTCCTTCTGCAGCAGCAGCGCATTTCTTTAATTATAAAAATATGTCACAGCTAATTTGGCATCGCCTGCCGAGCCAACTGTTTTCAAATGTTCTCCAATTCATTTACATGGTATATATATACTTAATATAAGTTTTTCTACGCTTTACTTTCAAAACACCTTTCAACGTAGCGGAATAATCCTATCTGGATTGCACAATAATCCAATTAGTTAATAAATCCTAGTGATTTCACTGATAATTAAGCAGATTCTCCAATTCAATGCACTAATAAAAAAAAGCAGCAATATGTATATATATACATATATAAATGGAAGGAAAATTGACCTTGATAAATAAAATGGAAACATGCAATTTTCGGAATAGAAATTTGCTTTCTCAATGATGCCGAAGAACGTAACGACACTAAATCCAATAAAACACAAATATTGAAATAAAACAAATGTTTAGAAACCCATTTTTTGTAACAAAAGTGCAAGTATCCATAATATTTTGTGCAAACTGATCTTTAATTAATGTATTTTCGTCATTGCCAACACTCTTTGCTTAATATTTGTATACATTCACAGTTTCAGTATTATTGAAAAATATAACTCCTGACTTATGTCGTATTTCATAAAGTGACTTATTAAAACCAATTAAAAAAGAGTTTAGATGCAAAATGATAATATAATCTAAATAAGATATATATTATGCTTTATATGAGAGACACTGCTCTATATAGCGAAACTATGCGAATACCTTGGCAGGAACATCAAAAGCATACTTAATGGCGTCGAGGATAGTTAAGGTTAATCTGGGAGACTTATCCTGTATTTTTACTTGTAAACGTATTAGTTCACTTGGTTTAACAGCCGACTGATTAAGTTCAGCAGCTTGCACTGAGGATTATCTAAATAAAGATCCGAATGTAAAACAAATAATCCACAGAACTAATTTAATTTTAATTGAAAACAACTGATTATTTAAGTTTAATTCAAGTTCACAAGTAAAATAAACGTGAATGTGCCAGTGAAATTTTATATACTGTTGAATATCTTAGAAACCAATGAAAATAAAATTGTCAGCTATGATTATACACTTGTTTATACTATATTCAGTTATTGTTTATATATGAATTGGTTTTCGTATTGCGTACTACGATTAACTGGCGATTTATATTATCTTTATTTCATTTGGAACTCTGCACCAAGTTATAGTGAATCTAGAAATACATCGCAATTCTAAAATGGTATATCGATTTCGAATTCACTTAGCGAAAATCAAAGAGTGTCTTAAATGACTGTACCTATACATTACAAATAAAGAATTGAAAGACTCCCGAGATTGAATGGGCACTTTAATTAGAGTAAAACTCTGAGAACGGGTTGAAATCTGATATTTTAATTAAGATCGATGAAGAAAATATGCACGACGGAGCAATTATGCAGGCAATTTGAGTCGAAGGATGAAGCAGTAATCCAAGAAGCGTCGTTTGGTATTCTCATCACGTTCCGTTGGATGAGAGGGAATAAAACCGAGGAAGGACATTTTTGACGACGGGGAGGAGGCATCCGGAATTAAAACAAAAAACTACGTTTCGCGCTGCGAGGAGGAATACATTGAACGCAAACGGCATAAAGATCGATCTGTTGTTAACAATGGCCACAGTAGACCTAAAGACGCACGTCTCCTATCTCCAATGATGCAATTGGGTAGAAGTAGCTTACAACTAATAGCTGTAGGGTTTGAATAGGACTTACTCCTCTAGAATCCCTGAACAGTATAGCAGCATGATGAGGGTCAAGAAAAGAATCTGACGCTCTGTGTGGAAGGATCGTTCCAAGGGACTGCCGCCGCCTTTCCGGGTCCAAGGACTTCTGCCTCAGGTGAGCCCCTATAACAGCAACAAGAGAAGAAAATTATTCATCGGAACATAATTTTTAATAAGCGAATGCATAAAAAAAAAACAAGATTTCGCTAATGCAAGTATGGTGAGAGAGAGAGATCGTCATGTATGGCCGTAACCTGGTCGAAATGATGTATAATAAACTAAGTACAATTCGCTGTACTTAACTAAAACTTGGATGGTTACGAAAGCTATAACGAAAACAATGGAAAACCTTTTCAAAACCATCCGCGATGCATTCCAACAGCAACGTCAATCCGGCAATGATTAGTTGCAGCACGTCACTCAGCAACACTTTCAAGTGATCCACTTGCATAGCTAATGGGTAGCTAATGCTCTGTTTTAACATATCCAAACAACAACTAAAATCGCCATCCTACAATTACACACAGTTAAAGGTTACTTCTGTCTAAAGGTAGACACAAAAAAACAGTTTCAATACTATATTTAAATTATGTTCGCTGAACGCAACAGTAAATGGTATTAAGGGTGGCGCGATGTTAAAGGTAAACCGCACTAACTTCATTAGAAGCTTTAAAAAACTGCGGAAAACAATGGAACGAACAAACTTCTCCGCTTTTATAAAATTCCAATTACATAAGCCGGGTTAATTAAAACTCAAAATACGATAACTCGATGCGTTAATTTGATAAACAAATATTTTTTTCTACCAAAAATCTCACTAACAAAATATTTAAAACAAAAAAAAATCCCCACTTTTGATCACTATATTTAATTTTCAAACATTTTACTTTAAATATTTAGTTTTCTTCAACTCAGTTTTCTTAAACTGAATTGAATCTAGACTTCAAACAGCATTTATTTACTTTTAAACTAGAAATAATATTCACTATCGTTACGTTTATTGAACATACCTTTTATATCAACGAAACGTGTTCTCCTTTCGTAATTAGGAAGTTTGTAAGTTTTCGTAGCGCGAAAAACCATTAAACCACTTGACTGCAAGAAGCAAGGCGAGCACCTGTCTTTGAGCGCACTTCGGTTTAATGAGGCTGATCCGCTGCGAGTATTTCCATTTTCGTACATTTTTTTTGTGCAAGTGTGTGTATATGTTCCAACTTCGATCATCATCATCATTATTATTTCATCTTTCCATCATGTGATCTGTTTTCATCCTTGTTTTTTTTTCTTCGAGAAAAATAGTAGGGACGCATACATAACTCCTTTTAGCAATTCTCATCTCGTTCTTAAATGCTTGCGTCAACAGCTTCGAAAATATTTTCTCCAAAAACCATTATACGTTAAGCATTACAATAATTGAAAGATTCCTTTACGGAAAGATGTGTTACATTTTAAACCCATTAGCGCATATATTCTGTATTCAATAAAATAAATGGATATATATGTTTCATAAAAGATTCAATTAAAAAATTACAATGTAAAAAAAATCTGCAGTTTTTATTTTAAATAAAAGCGAAAACGTACGTAATAATAAATATTTGAAAATGTCGAATGTTTGCGCATTTGTAAACCAATTTTATTTAATCCGAACACGTAGAATTTATACAATTAAAAGCAATTATTAATTAACAAATTTATTGCAGATTGATCTTTATTATAAATATTATTATTCATTGAATATTTATAACCGAATATTGAATAATTATAAACGGGAAATAATTTCAAATATAAAGTTAAAAATTTGTATTGACGTGAAAAAAACTCAACTGTATAAAATTATAAAACTATTATCAGAAATGATTAAAAATAATGAGAATTGCGAAAAAAAATGCATTTGCATATATTTGTCATTTTGTTTCATTAGAAGTGAGTCAACTAATAATAGCCACAAGAATATTGAAAAATAGTGGAAACTATTTTCCTCCATTATTTCACATTCATTAATCAAATCAAACATTAATAAACAAAATATTAAAGTAAGTAAAGTTATTGAATTAATTAATTCATTCAAATGCAGATAAAACTATACTTTAGTTATAAAATGATTAATTAACTAAAGTCAATATTACTATAAGTATAATGCGGATATTCGGATTAATTGAATTCGGACTAATACATACATATAAGAAAATAATTTTGTGTATGAATTTTTTAGAAATTATTTTTATTTTGCTGAATTAAATTAGTTTGTTTTGAATAATTCAAACCGTACAATAGTCAAACCATGGTCTGATCAAAGCCGCAATATGCGAGGTATTGTTATAATATTCATAAATGTAACACTATAACGTTAAGCCGAATGTTACTCAGAAGATGATAAACTTAACTGAAGAAGACTGTTCGTACATCTGGTTGCCTATATTATTACCGGTATTCTTAATTCTAATAGACCACAAATTATTTAACGTGAAAATATCAAATATTTAAAAAATATTCGTTTAAATTAAACAATTTTTAAATAAAATTCATCATCAAATAATGATAATATTAACAATTAACTCACATCCTTTTATACATGATTGCAACATGATAAATAGTTGCTGTAATTAGATAATTTCTTAATATGAATCAGAATCTTGAGGTGAAATTTGAAGACAAAATTCGATTTTCTTTATAAAAAAATAGTAACATACATTTTATTATGCAATATGCTTCAATTAAGCGATTATTATATTACTTATTGTTATCTTGTGCAGACATAACGTAAATAATAAAATGCTTACATGTGTAATCGACATCCATTTGCATTTGCACAGAAAACCGCAGAACGATAAACGAAAATGCAGAGGTGTAGTAGTTAACAGCATCGAGGAAGGAAGGAAACTGACTGAGTGTAGTGTGATTGAAAAAAAACTGACTTTTATGTGTATAAATCACGACACTGCGATCATGATGAAATTCGCGACGATTGATCAATGAATCACGGCAATGCTTGAGGTACGATTAGGATTATTACGTATCTATTTACAGTTAAGGACCATTTTATTTTTGAATGCGTATACATTTTGCATTCACCTCACACGCACGCAGACATATGAAATTGCTTCATTTTCATCGGAATATGTATATGTTTTTTTTGCAAATATTATACTGAATGGATCAAGAAGCATAGTGCTCCAATTTAATTGCGGATGAGAACAACGTTGAAACGTTTACAGACTATGAATTGCTCTTTCAGATATTTCTTCTTCATTTCATTTGAACATGAAAAAAAGAAGAAGAAGAAAGTTTGTGTTTCGCTGAAATTATCTTTTTTTGATCCTTCATTTATCTTATCTTTGAAATAGTGTCATTCACAATAATGTTACTAGATTTATTTCCCTGAGTATTTCTATATAGAGAAAATAATTAGTAATTACTCATAAACAAATTATTAATTCGATTAGTAATCTTTGCATATCATAAAGAAATGATTAATTAATCAAGTAATTAATCATTTATCCATTTGACTATAAATCATTTGAATCATATACTTTAATGCTGCACTTATTTAAATATATTAAATTGTTTTTCGTTGATGGTTTTTTTTTCATATTGAACAAACAACTATTATTAAGCTTGTGCAGTGCGTATGGATGGTTAAATCGAATAACGCGATGCATTATTCAATCCGGATAATCATAAATTTGCATCGACAAATTTTGTTCAATAAACAAACGCAAACCGGGCAGTTTATTCATCTACACGTATTTGTTGTTATTATGTCAATCGTAATTAGAATCTAAAAATATTTCCAAAATGATGAAAGATATATCAAGAAAAATTAACGTTTTCAGTTTTTGCACATTACATGTTTTTTAGATTTTACATCTAAATATTGTAATTATCGTTGCTTTTATCGAACAGATTAGTAATGTCTTTGAAATTGTTGTTATTGATATTTACTAAGTTAAAAATAGTGTTTAAAGAACTAATTTTTTACTTTTAATTTTGCTCAATTAAAATTTAGTTTTTTTTTGCAATTTTCAAACCGTACAAGTTAATCCACACTATATGAGGTATTGCTGTACATTAAAAGAAATCTTATGTTTAAATTTAATATTGATATCATATATACACAGTGGAACCTCGTTTAACGTGCAAAATTAAGAATTAATTAAATTAAAAAAATTAAGAAAAATGACTCGCTTAACGAGCATAACGAGTGACGACGAGAAGAGAAGTTCCGGATTGCGCGCCTGCTACATCATTTTTAAAACTTGTTTACACATATTATGTGTATTTTTGAATATGTTACACATAATATCCGGAAATTTTGGAACGGATTAAACTCGTTAAACGAGGTTTCACTGTATATCTATATTATATAACAATTAGATTTTCAATTTAAAAAAATAACTTGTAAGTATAGAAAATATTTTTGTCGATTCTCCCTTTATTAAAGAAGAAATAAATTTACTACCAAAAACATTAACTACTATTTAGTTATAAATATCTATGATTATTATAAAATCATATGAATTATTAATACACTTTGCAGATATAACTTTATCTAAAATAAAATGAATATGCATGAATTATTCGCGTAGCGTGAAACAGATTAAGAGCTTATGAAGCGGGTAGCAAATAACCAAACAAAAAAATGAATTACCTCATGCGCTAAAAGGTTATTTATATGATAATATTTTCCTAGCCACAAAGATGGAAAATTACTTTCATTTGCTTCTCGTTTTTCTCCTAATTCTCTAAAGATTTATAAAAGTAATTAAAAAATAGATTCGTAATAGTCTTTTGGATCGTCTCAATTTAAACTAGTATAGATGGAATTGGAATAGTTTCATTAGAAACAACAGTGGGAGTCGAATAATGAACGGTTTTATGGGAGGAAAGTTTTCGCCCAAATACGTTTACATTCCAACCGGATTAGACCCTCTTTTGTCTATAATTTAAAGACCGCAGTGGAATTTGCTATTTACGTTTCCAGCAGAACTCGTTTCATTTCCTTCTGCACATTTCTACGTGCTTCTCAGAATTCCAAAATAAATACGATATTTCAGTTGCATCAAATTCAATTGATAATAAATAGAAAAATAGAAAATATGTGTTGTAAATAGACCTTCAAATTT